TCGTTATAAATAAGTATGGTAGTTTTTTTCAATTTTTCATATTTTTCATGTCGAGGCCTTTTATATCCGACTATACGGTATGGGTTTTTCTCATCGTTGGAGGCTGTACGGTTGCCTATAATTGCTTACATACACTTCATTTGAATTTGGGTGGTTAGTTGTCTCATTTGCAATATTACCACATCCCTTATTTTTATATTAAAATATAGCTAATAACCCCATGTCCTGCCCATTGAAATCGATTACAAGCGATAAAATGAATAATTCCCGAATTTAAACATCAATAATAATATATCACAATTCTGGTTATCCTTACACACTTCACTACACGTACTGTTTTTTTTTCTAGTTGAACAATCATCTACTGCTGTTTCCAGTACTACAACTTCAAGGGGTACCAATTCCGGTGAGTATAGTGGTATATACAGCAAATGGGTTCGTCATAAATAAAGGCAACAGTCGTTTAGTATATATGATGAGTTTATTTACTGATGTTCAAATCTGATAAATCGATCAAAATATGAAAATCAATATAACAAACAAAAATGAAGGAATCGCATTAAACCTAAAAGAGAGGCGAAAGATACCAAAGGGACATTCAAACTCATAAGTCGAAAATAAACTGACAACGCCATGGCTAAAACAGAAAAAAAAGACCAACAGACAAACAATAGTGCACAAAACACAACATAGAAAACTAAAGACTAAAAAGTAGCGAGACCGGGTGTGTCGACATGATATGCATGCATCGTCCTATAAGTCCACACTCGGGAGTAGCGCACAATCAGTAAAATTATAATCGACTATAGTGGTATATAACGTTATAAGACTGCAGAAACATGTCGATAGTGAGTTGATTCACTAAAAAACCAGTCAACCAATTCGTGATGGTGCTTGTAAGACTTATGCAGTGTCGATGTCAACCGTCCTTCCTCATTACTCTGTTGTAGCAGTCTTTCATTAAGGAGTACACCCCTGGAAATGAAATCTATGAAGTAATGAAGTATTAGTGTGAACATGCACTAGTGAATCCTATATATATATTGAGATATGTAAACGTAAACGATAGAACATGCATGCTACTGCTGCGAAATGATCATAATTCTTATCATAAAAAATAATCTATTTTATTACAATCATTAGTATATTCATTCAACACCTAAGGTGATATTGTTTTAATGGTTCTATTTTCTCGCTTTCAACCTTTCACGACTTGTAAAGAGCATATGAGCATTGCCAATAGTTGTTGGTAAGTAAAGTACTTTAAGCTTTTATTCAATGCTAGCCGAAGGCCACTAATGTGTCTTCAACACCGCGAGAAAATCCCGCACCCGGAAGATTATTAGCATGTTTATATGGTATTAACAAGTATTATACAAGTTTTTATCGTCTGTTCATTGCTTTTTCTGACTTTTTTTATGTATGTTTTCCTTTTTAACTATCTTATTGATCGAGGTAAATTGGACAGCGTTGAATACCCAAAAATCTACTTAAAGTATCCTCGTAGCTGTCTAAATAGTATTTTTGTTCTTTAAATATAAGGTGTTTATTGCAACGTATGAATATCTTTATTTCTTGCATTTTAACCATACGTTGATACTTTTTTCATCGTCGAGATGCTGTCGTTGACAATATCTCGCAGGCTCTTTTATTCGTATAAACATCATTACACATCTTTACATTATTAATCGACACCATTTTGCATTCATTTTATAACAGCATGCTGCCTTTTCATAGGGAAATTTATACAGCAGCTTCTACATATGTCTATTTTATTTATCCAGTCTGACTTTCTATATTTAAAAATGAATTTGCATCACTTCATAAATCAGATACGCAGACATCAATTTTCTAAAGATTTACTTTCTAAAATGTATGCTGTGTCCACTTACACTTCGACAGAGGATACATGCTTGTAATCTGGCCTTTCACACGACAAATGTGCGTAACGGACTTTCAAAAATCCTTTAGTCAAACTTACCTTAATTGGAACAAGAATGGCTAATGTCATTCAACCAACAATATGAAATCGTTCTCTTAACGAGAAAAACAAACTCTTTTATTTTTTTAACACACTACACAATTAAATATTAAAATCGACAGACAATATGTTTAACTCTGCCATACTATTCATGTGCTTGTCCCAAGGAAGTCAGGAGCGCAATAACCTGAACATTTTTGAAGCCAGTTATGTTAAAATACGTAGCCACATTAGGGGATAAATCAGCGTAAAACCTAAAACGAATAGCCAAATTCATCTAAGGTCAACTTTGCCTGAGGGAAATGTAACCTATGTTTCTTAACAATTTCTTAATTCATCAACGGGAAAGTTTAGAAATGTCCCAAAATATAGAAAGATACTGCTGAATAGTCATATTTTGGATATAAAAAGTACTACAGTAAAACCAGAAGCAGCTACATATTTAGACAGACAAGAGTGAAGAAAATCATCTACTACCATTCCTTCTTCCCGAGAACATGACAATGCAACCGATAACCAGAATCTGTAGTGAAAATCGAATCATTTGGAGACTTTAGGACCAGAGAGATCACCATCCCCTCGACCCAGCAACATTCTAACTTAACATCATTGATGTTAGTGTATATTCGATACAGTTTTGGATTTTTACTTTTGGCCAAATGAATCGCCTCTTGTCTGCTTAAGATGAGCCCGAGTCAATTAAACTCAGAAAGAGTCCGCCTCGTAATTGGGAAGAAGAAGGACATTATAATTTGAACAAACACTTTTTGTGAATTTATTATTACTTTCTGGGGGTTTTTTTTTTCATTTCCATCTCACTTTCAAATGACCTACTAAAATACATGATATAAGAGAGCTGATCATGATACTTGTTACAGTTTATAGCTTTATATTTCAGGGGAGTCCGATGTGATTATCATTAGTGTGGTAGTGATAGTGATAGTTCTCATAGGATCGTGGTTTATCGTGTTTATTATCTGTAAGGACAGAAAGTAAGTTCACTTGGCTTTGGACAAAAAATCTGCATTTGTACAAGAAATTTAATATTCTACAATATTTGTTTATCATACATATCAATTTGCCCACAAATAATATCACGTTATTTACATAATAATCACATAATCAATAATTATTAAAGATACCAGGCTTAAAAATTTACACAGTAATAGTACTTTGCATTTAATCAAAAGTAAAGTATTCGAGTTATATTTAACATAGCTGTTAGTCGGACCGCAGCATTTATAAGTCAGTCAATTTAAATATAACAAATAAGTATTGTTCAGTCAAAATCAACATTTAATTAAAACGAAAACATACGTATCGAACCAGTATTCTTGGTCGAATAGAACACAAAGAAGCTTTATTAGAGGCAGCAGAAGTTAACAGATGTTTCATCAATCAATTCAGGAAATACATATCAAGGTAATAAACAAAAACTGAGAATCCAGGTTACTCTAAGAATATATGAATAAAAAATCTAAGGAAAACGCATGAAATCAAAAGAAATAAGATGTGTGTCACAAAGTCAATCATCTGCTGTGCATGCATCCCTCGTCATGTGAATAAAAACTCTGTTAAAAAATGTCTTCATAGGGAAGAGGACACAATTTTACAGATCAGACCACTATTCTGGTGTCTTAATCTTAAGGTGTAAAGTTCTGAGACCAAAAAAACATGTCTGCTATGAGTTAAGACACAGATAATTTGTTTTGGTAAATAAATTTGTGATAATGAACATTAAACTTGTGTAGTCCTTCTTCTTAATTTCATAACTCTAATATTTTGTGTCCCTGTCAAATGAGTATTCGCAATAAATATCGCAACAGCTTGAAATTGTTTTCGTTTTTACTTTCAGATGTTGTGATGTCTCCAACAGATGTTTTGTTGTCTCAAACAGATATTGTGTTGTCTCCAACAGATGTAGTGTTTGTTGTGTTTTCTCCAACAGATGTTGTGTTGTCTCCAAAAGATGTTCTGTTGTCTCCAACAGATGTTCAGATATAACTGTCTTTACAAAAAAAGATCCAGTGAAATGACTAAATGCTTATGTTTACATTTTCATGTATCTAACAATACTATTCAAATTATGGCTTGCAATGTTTATAGCTTGAAGGTGTATTTCTTACTTAGATTATTATCATTAATTAGCAGATATTAAAGATTCTGATATCTAGGACAACTATAATGTCTCCAATGAACAGATAAAAAGGCATTTCCATACAAGATAGTGTTATATCTGTCCAAATAAGTGTATTAGTGTTTAGTTTGGGTAATCTTATATTTTGTGCTATTCTTCTCAGACTGAATGTTATTGTACCTTTTTTTTGAAGATTTTTTTAATAAAACTTGAATCATAAAAGCCTTTGTAATACCATATTTTCCTTATGTTGAATATATATATAACAACTGATGCAGATATGGTCAAATGTAATTTAGAACAAAATTGTCATTGCAATATAGGCTTATAAAATAGACATGTAACTGTCAGTAATTGCAAGTACTCTCAGATCTGTTCTTAAGTGTCTTTTTTGTTGTGAGGATGTATAAGTACCCTGCCACGTCCGGTCTGTGTTTTTGTTTGATGTTTTTCTGCTTTGTATCGATCTGATGAGTTAAGCCCTTTTCAAATAAGTTTATTCTTATGTTGTACTGTTACACCACTGTCCCAGGTTAGGGGGAAGGTTTGGCACAAACAAACTAGTTTAACCCCACCACATTCTGTATGTGCCTGTCCCAAGTCAGGAGCTTGTAATTCAGTGGTTGTCGTTTGTTGCTGTACATCATACCTTTTTTTTGTTCGTTGTTTTGTACATAAATCAGGCCGTTAGATTTCTTGTTTTCTTGTTTTACATTGTTTTACTTGCATAGATGACTATGCGGTATCGTTTTTGCTCATTGTTAAAGACCGTACGGTGACCTATAATTGTAAACTTCTATGTCATATGGTCTTTGGTTGAGAGTTGTCTCATTGGCAATCATACAACATCTTCTTATTTTTATATTATAAAAGAGACATGTTTATTTAAATGTTTTATGTACATAAACATTCAACAAATCCAATCATTCATTCGTCTTTTACAAAAACAAACAACAATAATGAAATAATGATTAAATACAAATGAACTGCACCTTTAAAGATCTAATCAGGACACTATAATAAAGATTTCAATGTGGAATTGTCTTTATATTTACATACAAGTCAACACTACTTTAGATCTTTCTCATAAAGGACATGGTATGATAACACCACTTTTTTGCCCCCTGACTTCCAATGTAAAAAAAAACATTATAAAAATAGCACATAACATACTACAGGCATTCTTAAGACATTAGTTTGTCAATCTTCAGTAACTATATTTTTAATTTTGTCTTTCATATTTGCATTTAGGCTCCAAACTTCTTGAATTTAGTGTAAAACTGGAAAAGCTGTCAAAATAGCCACATTAATATTTTGATATGAACTTAAGCTTTACCCAAAAAGATATTCTACTACAAGATGTATTTTACAAAGATAGTAATGTGTGTAAAATATCTTTTTGTGTAATGCCTTGACTCATATCTACTTTGACCAATTACTATGTGTAAAATGGCCATTTTAGGTCAAATATAACAATTACTACATATTTATGACATCATAGTGACATTGTAAGTGGCCTTTCTGCACTGAAGTGTCCAGGTTAAACAAACCTGTTCATTTCTCAACAAGAGTGCACACGCTGAAATGTCTCGCCTTCTTTACTAATCATTGATATTATGTTGATAGTCCTAAATATAAAGCTTTATTACAACTGTCACATAAACTTAACATTAACCAAGTAAACTAAACATTGACCAATGAACCATGAAAATGAGGTCAAGGTCAGATGAACCATGCTAGGCAGGCATGTACAGCTAACAATTCTTCCATACAACAAATATAGTTGACCTATTGCTTATAGTTTAAGAAAAACAGACCAAAACACAAAAACTTAACACTGAGCAATGAACCTTGAAAATGAGGTCAAGGTCAAATAAAACCTGCGTGACTGCCAAATAGATCATAAAATATTTCCATACACCAAATATAGTTGAACTATTGCATATAGTATTAGAAAAAAAGACCAAAACTCAAAAAACTTAACTTTGACCACTGAACCATGAAAATGAGGTCATGGTCAGATGACACCTGCCTGCTAGACATGTACACCTTACAATCATTCCATACACCAAATATAGTAGACCTATGGCATACAGTATAAGAAAAACAGACCAAAACACAAAAACTTAACTATAACCACTGAACCATGAAAATGAGGTCAAGGTCAGATGACACCTGCCAGTTGGACATGTACACCTTACAGTCCTTCCATACACCGAATATACAAGACCTATCGCTTATAGTATCTGAGATATGGACTTGACCACCAAAACTTAACCTTGTTCACTGATCCATGAAATGAGGTTGAGGTCAAGTGAAAACTGTCTGACGGGCATGAGGACCTTGCAAGGTACGCACATACCAAATATAGTTGAACTATTGCATATAGTATTAGAAAAAAAGACCAAAACTCAAAAACTTAACTTTGACCACTGAACCATGAAAATGAGGTCAAGGTCAGATGACACCTGCCCGCTAGACATGTACACCTTACAATCATTCCATACACCAAATAAAGTAGACCTATGGCATACAGTATAAGAAAAACAGACCAAAACACAAAAACTTAACTATAACCACTGAACCATGAAAATGAGGTCAAGGTCAGATGACACCTGCCAGTTGGACATGTACACCTTACAGTCCTTCCATACACCGAATATACAAGACCTATTGCTTATAGTATCTGAGATATGGACTTGACCACCAAAACTTAACCTTGTTCACTGATCCATGAAATGAGGTTGAGGTCAAGTGAAAACTGTCTGACGGGCATGAGGACCTTGCAAGGTACGCACATACCAAATATAGTTATCCTATTACTTATAATAAGAGAGAATCTAACATTACAAAAAATCTGAACTTTTTTTTCAAGTAGTCACTGAACCATGAAAATGAGGCCAAGGACATTGGACATGTGACTGACGGAAACTTCGTAACATGAGGCATCCATATACAAAGTATGAAGCATCCAGACCTTCCACCTTCTAAAATATAAAGCTTTTAAGAAGTTAGCTAACGCCGCCGCCGCCGCCGCCGCCGCCGCCGGATCACTATCCCTATGTCGAGCTTTCTGCGACAAAAGTCGCAGGCTCGACAATAAAAATCAACGTAGTTTTTTAAGGCTTCAAAAATTTTACAAATTTTGCAATTCAGGGGCCAAATAACAGCCTTATCATACTTCTCCTTTACAATGACCACCAAATCATTATAGATTTTAGGGATTATATAACTTAATTCACATGTGTAATCCACTGGCATAACACCCAGAAAGACCTTTAAAGCTGTACAACTATTTTGGGCTACCATAATAAAATATATTCTAAATCAGGCATTCATTATCCTCAGTTACACAGAAAAAAACTGCACTGCTTTTCACAGTGCCACTCTCATTCACCATATTCACAATATAAATCAAATCATTATAGATTATAGATGGTAAAATTATAATTCTAAAATTTGTTGACAAATGGTTTAGAGGAGATATATCCCGATAAAAGAGGAAAGATTTGCATTTCTTTATTTTTAGAAATATATATTATATGTAGGACTTGCCATGGTACGCAGAACCCCAATGGTCATGTTGAAGTGTGATTGTTTGATGATGAAGTGCATTTTTAATCATGTTGAAGTGTGATGGTGGTATTGTGATCTTGTAGATAGCTACACTGAAGTGCACTATTGGTAACGCTGAAGTGTGATGGACTACAGAACCTATATTTTCAATGATTTTCATGTTCTTGTTTGGTAAATGCCGATTTTCAGGTTTTTAGTATATCTTTGAGAGATGGCAGCAAAATTAAACAGTACATTTTCTCATTTAGTATGAAACTTAGGACAAACATAATATGAAATATATTCTATTATTTCAAATGTTGCAAACACCGTTTAAAAGAATGTACCTTAATGGTTTGGAAGGTTTAGATGAAACTATAATATTAACAGGGTACTTACAAATGTTATTCAAACAGTATACAAATGTCACATAATCCTAAATTTGTTTATTGCAGGATGTAAATTCTTTTACTGATTCTGATCTTGCAACCACACACAAAGATTTTATCGAAAACCAAAATGCCATAAATGTTTTCTGGACAATAATGAATGCAAATTTATATACTAACTAGATAGTAAATTTATAACTAGAAATCATGCGTCATATAGACAATGGCACATCAGTGGAAGGACCATCATACTTCAAAGCAGACCATGGCACTTCAGTGTCCCCATCACACCTCCCAGTCCTACATATATGAAATATGTAATTTTGCTTTTAATTCAATTTGAAAAGAAAGATATAGTGTTTCTTGCATAAGGGACAATATTCACATGAAATATTGGGGAATAATTATTATATAGATAAAACAGCATTGTATTGCTGTTCTTCATCTAAATGTTAAGGAAGGTTACTGCAATAAAATAAGTACTTCTTTGATTATACAAATTTAGACCACTCTCATTTTCAACTCAAGCAAAAGTCTTTGATATTCAATTTACTGCTGAATAATCTAACCTGTGACTTTGTATATAGTCTAATTTTCATTGTACAAAAGTCACAAAAGATTCTAATTTTAATCACTACTTGACATACTTTCAAAGCAAAAATGAAACATTTTTAAATTGTCAAGTCTCAGCAATAAGTCAAAATACAGTTATTCCTGAAAATGAAATGTTATTTCCAACAACCATCAGGTAAATCATTTTAAAAAGTCCCAAATCTAAAGAAATCATTACTTTAATGATGCCCATTTTCAAATCATTTTGCAATTCCTGATCATTATTTTTTCTCAACAAATTGTGGACAAAAATGTATCATTTTACATCAAGTTCAATCATATACACACAAGTTCTATAAAATTACAAATTTCAAAGCACTGTCAATGCTGAGAGCCAGCCAATCTGATTTGATGAAAAGCAGCATATCCATACATGCATATCATTACATTAAATAATATCTGAACAAATGTTTTAACTAAAGCAGTTGTTGAAGTCTCTTTTTTTAAGTATTTAAATGAATATATATGGGACATTGTTTAAAGGTCTCCTACTTAGCAAATTGTATTCTAACAGAATTTTGTTATTTACATAAAAGCATTACTAAGTCAAGAAAACTTGTAAATGTCATCTGTTTATAATTTTGGGTAACTGAGATTGAATTGTCTCCCTTTGTTATTTGGAAAATAACTCTTAAATCAACTTTCATATCAATACTTATACTGTATATTCAATTACTTCCACCAGAATTTAATACTGATAAAAATACTATTATAACTTCTTATCAACTGTTCAAAAATAAACTCTTAACTTTTTATTTCAAATCATAAAGAGTGTTTTTGACTAGCATTGGAGCTATAAGCAAGTGTTTAGGCACCAATCAAGTGACATCTCCTTTAGTGATTGATGGGCATGAATTTTCTTTCTGATGATTTTTTTTTAAACTTTCTCAATAAAAAAAAAATATTTTGTTCAATAATATACAGAAAAAGATTGTTTTTCAAAAGTCAATGTTGCTTTTTTACAAAAAATTTTAAAAGGAAAGAAGTAATTTTTTCCATTTTCTTACTAAGACAAACTATTTTTTTCACAAAATTAAGAATAAAAAAATGTTAAACTTGTTTTTAAAGAAACATGCCCTCAAAAAGTTAAATGGGTGTTGCCTAAATAAAACTGAAAAAATCAGCTACACTTTAGCTTTAAATTTTCAGCCAATCATTTATACATCTATGGTCTGATTATATGACTTTAAACAGATTGGTTGGCTCAAATATATTTATTCCAGAATTGTGTGAATGGTTTTACCGATTCAAACATTATTTGTTCCAATAAAAACTGTTACTGAAGAGACCTCCCAGTTGATTGGCCAGCACAATCTATTGACAATCTGTAATGTTCTTCCATTGGTTGTATCACAGAGCCATATTCCTGCCTTCTACACTGATACCTACTGCTCTCTGAGCTTTTCCATGTTTCTTTTTATCGGCAAATGCACGGACATGTTTTTCATACCTGGAAATATCCTTTTTACCTCTGGACTGAAAATATAAGAATAATTACACCTCAAATATTTTTATTTTTACTTTCATTGCTATGATGTGTATGTTGTATGTTGTTGATTAGTTATCATTCTTGTGGTATACATGAACCACAAAATGATGTTTTAAACAAAATACACTTACATGTAATACAACTTTTCTTATAGACTTGCAGGCTTTTAATTTGATATGCTAGACACCTGTTTCTTCTAAATAGGATTCAGAAGTGGTGCCCTAAATAATGGTTCCTTATGTTATTTCAAATACAAAGTTGATTAGCATTTAAAACGAAAATAATGAAAAGTTGTGCCATAAACATGAAAATCAAGTATCCAAGAAAATATCAAATTTCCTTAATCCCTGAAAATCATTACAGAATAAAATAAAGAATACACAGTATTTTACAAGAACAGATAATCTGAAGTCTGCTATCCATATTCATAATGATACTTAACAGTGTACTATGTATGAATTCTGCTCAATGTTCAGAATGGACATCTTCAGATGTTGATCTAATAACTTTCAAATTTTATGTGCCTGTTTTGAGTTCTAATTCCTATATATGATGATGACCTCTTGTTATAAAATCGATTAAAATAGCATATTTGGGTACTGACATGACATACAAAATTTGCCATTGCATTGCCTCTATATGACAAGTAGATATTGCACAAAAAACCTATGAAACAAATTTGAAAAAAGTTAAAAAGTCTAGTCAATAAAATTAACTGATTCCAAAAATGTAAATGCCCTTTAATGGACAATTATACTAGTTCACAGAATATTTAGTAGTCACAGTCAAAAGTTGATGATCAGATGACTAGTGGATTATCATCTTTTATTATCTAGTTAGTATTTAATACAAGTAAATTGTATTGTAATACAATAAATGGTAATCGTGCAGTATCAGCATTCCCTATTATATCTGTCACGATTTCAAAGGTTTTATCAAACCTCTAATTTGTATTGTATAATGTCACATGAAAAACATCTACTTGAGGTAAACAATAAAGTGTATATGATATGGCTTTTTCAACCCTCATCCAATATAATCCCTCTAGCAGAGCCCTTGAGATTAATATATATATATATCATACAATAATTTCCTGATATATTAGATTCAATTAGTTCACTAATTCTCACAAAAAGGCTATTGATAGCTCCAACTTTTAGCTGTTATAAACATTTTCATCAAAGTGCTAGCCTCAAACATTTGACTGATAAAAATCGAAATTTCTCATATGCGCTCATGTTATATCAGTCTTAATGTCGGTGCCATGTGTGTGAATTTTTCATTAGACCTAAAAAATATGATGGACAAACATGTATTTTGGACTGACAATGTTCAAATACTTTTAGTCGAAATGTCCCATAAGACAAAATTCTTTTCAAGAACTTTGAATGAAGAAAATGAGTTTTTAAACCTTGTTTTGGAGAGAGGCTATGTTATCTTACTGACACTATAGTGACACCACTTGGTACATTTGTTACAATGAATATATACCCGAAATGCTTGCTTGCTCTTATTTGCACCAAGAGCTTTAGTGAAAATTATTGAAAAGTTATCATGAGTTGAAGGATTGATAGTGGATAAAAAATGATGACCAACCATGTTATAGCTGGACTATATGATCCAGTGCCTGGAGTAAGACTTTTGGTTAAATTGCCATAGAGTAATCTTTTTACTACTAAATGGAATGAACATAATTAAATAGGGTACCTTCTGTTGTTCCATTTCATATTCTGAGGTCCATTTTGGTCTTACAACATAATCTTTATTAGATGGCATGGGCACTCTTGCTCTCATTACAAAACCTTTTTCACCAGGCCTTACAGATCTATAATACACAAGGTATAAAATTGATAGTAATAACTTGATGTAGTATCTAAAATCTTTTTGGAAGAAGAAGCAGGACTAAACTTTATACAGCAAATCTCCATGCCAAAACATATTAATCTGCTATAAATATCATATGTAACAAAGTAAGTATTATTCATGTAAACAAAATTGTGAAAGTCTGTTGCCAAAATCAAATATTTACCTTAAATATGTTAAAACCATACTTAACATTTATATGAAGAAAACATATATATGATAACACATAAAAAGTTAATAGTGTTCACTTCATTTATTGACATATAGTAGTTTACATGTTTTATTCATAATTTAAAACATTTTTATTTTTAATTCATTTCTTCTTTCTTATTAGTCTTAATATACATTGTCCATTTGCAAAAATAAGTTTAGGAATCCAAAATTATTGAAGGCTTGCTATAACAGTAATTTTCAAAGGTAGTACATTGACCTGTGTACTTTCCTTGTTCAATGATCTTTTTGGTGGATAATTGATTCATTGGCAATACACATATTCTGTATATACTTACTGGTCTTCTCCAGCTAATACTTTATCTATATCTCTCCTTGGTGTCATTCCTTCAGCACTACAAACACAATTAGTTGAAAGCATTAATTTGTGTATTTTTTAAGAAAAAGTACAAGCTTTTTACAACAGTCATAAATTCTAGAGTAGCTTTTTACTTTAATTTTAATTGGCTTTCACTTCTTAACACCATTAGTCTACATAAACTGTAGATTTACTGTATGGCCTCGTAATATATGTATTGTGAAAGACAAATTTATAATGAATACTTCTGAGTTAAACATAGAATCAATGTGGAAATCATTTAATCTACAACATACAAGTCCATGCAATTACTTAAACCTGTATGTATTACCTTTTCATCTTTTGAATGGCATAATCAATTTAAAACTGATAACTTCTTCAAAATTTTTAAGTCCAAAGGGTAAAATAGACTAGAAGATGACCAAAATACAACTGAAACATGATCCATATCTTCTCCTGATCTATTTATAGCAGGCCAATATAACTCTGTCCTTAAAACAAAACTGTAAGCTCATATATATAGAGTAGACAGACAAATGTGGACAGACGCACAGATTGCAAAAAAACAATGCAACCTTCCATCTTAGGCTAAGCATAAAAATCATCAGCTTTATATCATAACAAAACCTTCACTTAAATTTTAACTATCATTGATATAATTATTTACTATGAAGTTGACATTTCAAAACATCTGAAGTAAACTTTTGTGAGTTAGAATAACAAAGTACAAATCTCTAGTCCACTTTGCTGGTATTGGACTTAATAGTTCATGTTAGTATTATGTCAACATATGTTGATAATTTGCTGATAATCATTTGATCATCTGTTAACACAATGGTTCATACAATGACAGACAGACAGACAGACAGAATATTTTATTATAGTGTCACATACCAATACAGAACAATATCATACATCATAATATAATTATAAAAATACAAATAAAAATTTCTATTGAAGTTAAAATATCGGTATCCAGCCACAACTGACTTATGAGACACTTTCGCTTAAAGACTTATTCTAACATTCATTAAAAATGAATAAATAAAACTTTTACAATAAAAGAACATATTATACACAATATTTTCTGCGATTAAACATAAAATATAAAGATTTTGCTAAAAAGGGTTGTATAGTCATGTGACATCAGAAAAAAAAGATACAATAACCTCTGATATGTACAAAAATAAAGCAGGATCAATAAAAGTTGTTGATACTGTGAAGCCAACATGACTACAGCAAGATTCTGACCACTTTAACCTGAGAAATTCTTACCATATATGATTTATATCCAAACAAATAAATTCAATAATAATAAAATTTAATTACATAAAGTAACAACGAAATCAATAATAAAACAACCCAAAAATATACAAATATCCCATGTCTTATACCTTTTATCACGTTCAGCTCTGTAAAACATTAAACCACAGAAGAAACACAAATATTACAATTTTTTTTTTTTACATCATAACAAACTTAGTTTAAAATATGAATGCATTTAGTCGATTGTAAATGATAATTTTACAGTTTGATATTTTTCATATTTTATACAAGAAGTATACTGCATAAATAGGATGAAAAGTTGTTTTATGTCTAGCTGCTGAATATATTTTACATGCATATTAAGGACTTGAAATGTTGATCTGATTAGGTTGATTGATTACTGTAAATTCAGATATTATTGCACATATTTATTAATGCTATTTTTCAAGAATGGACAAAAATGCCAGATTAATTATTGTGATTTCTGAAAAATCTGCATACATATATATCTATCAAATATCAGAATGTGAGTTCTTATTATTGCCATACTTACCCATTCACATAAATAAAAACATTGCAATAATTTCTGAATTTACAGTATTTGGTGTTAAAAGCCACTCTCTGCACTATTGGCTATTTTGTGATTGACTTCAATTTCAGACTTTGGTTTATCGCAGTGTGGGATCCAACTGATAACCTCCAAACCTAAATGGGAGAAAATTTCAGGGCAGATAGACCTTGACCAAATGAACATATTTAATCCATGTCAGATTTGCTCTAAAAGCTTTAGTTTCAGACAGGGCTTCCAAAATTATTTTTAGCCAGCCGGACATTTTATATATTATCCCGATTTTAATCCCTTAAGACTAAATAAAGAAAAGGCAATTATGGTAATCATTCAGTTGCCGAGTTGGCCATCCCAATGATTGACATTAAAAAAAACAATATTAAACTTTCTTTGATTCAAATTCGAAGTTCTGACGTAAACTGTTAAATTGGCAGTGCATCATTCAAAGTGTGCAACATCACCGTACTTATATCTGCCTTAGACTTTTTATTTGTGCAAAATAACGTTGTCAAAAACTTTACTTTCGTTTTAAAACTACCGGATGTTATCTTGATAATGGTAAAACATGGACCAGAGACGGATACGTAAATTCCGTGTACGCTTGCAAAGCATGAATGAGTGTATAAGTAGCTCATTCTACGTTATTTCTTCAAGAAAATATTCGAAATAAACGTGAGATAAAGGTATCAATGACAATTTAAGCATTTTTTGAAGAAATCAGGATGCATAATTAAATTTCACACCTGCGCACATGCGCACACGTGTACTAGTTCAAACAGAGACATGTCTCTGGTTCAAACAACGTGGTTATGACGATTTTTCATTTTCACCTTTAATTTTTTCATCAAATCATATTTGTAAATGTATTTCTGATAATTTAAATCTTTTTAACTAAATTAATTAGATGCAAACCGGTGAAATGTAAGAAAATAACTTTGAATAGACCGATCAATGTCCGGTTCAAAATAGTTTACCTGTCACCTGAACAGGTCAATTTCAGCTGTTCGAAAACTAATTAGCCTTGATTAAAATGAGAAGGTATTAAAGTAGGGATTGTTTTGATAGTACTTAATGATTATGTCACTTTTATGACCGGAAATGTGTGGCTGTTAAAGGCAAAAGTAAAAAGATCGCGAATTATGTTAAAAATTATTGTGACCGTCTCTAAAAAAGCCTTGAAAACTAAAAAGTAGATGACCGTTTCGTGCTTTGCCCAGCCGGACTTTTACCGGACATTATACAAATGTCCGGAATATATGACCGTTTTGGAAGCCTTGGTTTCAGAGATATGTCAAAAACTGCACTTTACCCCTATGTTCTATTTTTAGTCGTGGTGGCCATCTTGGTTGATGGGCGGGGTCATCGGATAATTTTTAAAACTAGATACCCTAAGGATGATTTAGGCAGAGTTTGGTTTTATTTGGCCCAGTAGTTTCAGAGAAGATTATTGTAAAAGTTAACGGACGACGATGGACACCAAGTGATGAGAAAAGCTCACTTGGCCCTTTTGGGCCAGGTGAGCTAAAAATGACTTGAATGTTTGTGTCAACAATTTTCATAAATATATTGTAAGTTTCTAAGTAACACTGACTATTTGACTCACATGAATGTTTAGGACAAATTTAAGAATATTACTTTTACAAATCATAACTTATTTAAGATTTATCTCCCTTGACCAATGCTTATGTTACCTTAAAAATTGTAATCTTCTCTGGAAACTATTTCTGAAAGAAAAAGGTTTATTCATGTGGGTAATTTCTTTAATACAGAATAAGACATATCAAATTATACCTTATTCTTCTTCTCTTTGGTAAATGAGCATAGTCTCTTTCTTCTCTTTCCTCTTTAGACATTGATTTATGATTAGCTGTTAAACTAAAAATTGGACGGGACCATTCATCTGAAAAAGATAGAAAAAGTCTTTTTATCTCTAAGTATCAAATACAAAAATAAATCTTATTTTGATCAAACTTCTCTAAGATATTTTTTTTCTGCAGAATAATTGATTGATATGCTGTAGCTAGATACCCCCTGTTGTCTCTAACTGAAAAAATATTTAATTCACCATTCAATGCACCATGCACCATTCCTTCATATGTAATTATTCAATATTGCTAAAGAAGTGTCATATCGTCATATATTTTGGAATCGAGAGAGGAAAAAACATTGTCATCTGCACAGTCTGATCAAATTTTCTATAACATATAAAGATGAGTAAAGAGAGTCTGTGCAATTGACAGAAAGATCTGTTTGTCTCTATGCAATTTCAATTAGATAATTTATTTGATTCATACAAGCCTTGAGCAGTTGTTTTACTCCTGCAAAATTGACTAATTACTCATTAGGGTAACTTTTAATCATTAATACATTATGTCTGAAAGGTCACAACAAGAATTCATGCCTTGTTGTGCTTAGCATATAATTTCTCTTCTCTAATGTAGTACTGGTGAAAAATTAAAGTGCATTCAACATAATGAAAAATTCAAAGTATCAGCAAACAGGATGTAGGTGTCTAACAGATCTTATAAGTGTTCACATGCTACAACTTGTCACTGTCAAGCTGCTGACTAATTATAAATTAATTCTGTTCAGTATTAGCTTGACAATAATTTGTTCAACCAATATAACTAGAGGCTCAAAGGAGTCTGTGTCTCTCACCTGATATTTTTGTTTACAATTGATGCATGAAATAATGCAACTGTTCTACTTTTGCTTTAGTTTTAGAGATATAAGCAAAAAACTGCATTTTACCCCTATGTTCTATTTTTAGCCATGGCGGCCCACTTGGTTGGCAGGCTGGGTCATCGGACACATTTTTTAAACCAGATACCCTAATGATGATTGTGGATAAGTTTGATTGAATTTGTCTCATCAGTTTCAGAGGAGAAGATTTTTTTAAAAGATTACAAAAATTCACGAAAAATTGTTAAAAATTGACTTTAAAGGGCAACAACTCCTTAAGGGGTCAATTGACAATTTTGGTCATGTTGACTTATTAGTAGATCTTACTTTGCTGAACATCATTGCTGTTTACAGTTTATCTCTATCTATAATAATATTCAAGATAATAACCAAAAACTGCGAAATTTTCTTAAAATTACCAATTCAGGGGCAGCAACCCAACAATGGGTTGTCTGATTTGTCTGAAAATTTCAGGGCAGATAGATCTTGACCTGATGAACAATTTTACCCCCTAGTCAGATTTACTATAAATGCTTTGCTTTCAGAGATATAAGCCAAATCTACATTTTACCCCTATGTTCTATTTTTAGCAATGGCAGCCATCTTGGTTGGTGGGCCGGGTCATCGGACACATTCTTTAAACTTAATACCCCAATGATGATTGTGGCCAAGTTTGGTTAACTTTGGCTCAGTAGTTAAAGAGGAGAAGATTTTTGTAAATGTTAACGACGGATGACGGACAACAGTCTTGAATATGATACTAATAAGTTTACCACATCTTTCTCTGTTTTCCTCCGTCTCTCTCTCTCTCTCTGGTGTTTATATAAAGATATCAGTCTTGAATCTGATACTTACTAATAAGTTTACCACATCTTTCTCTGTTTTCCTCCGTCTCTCTCTCTCTCTGGTGTTTATATAAAGATATCAGTCTTGAATATGATACTTACTAATAAGTTTACCACATCTTTCTCTGTTTTCCTCCGTCTCTCTCTCTCTCTGGTGTTTATATAAAGATATCAGTCTTGAATATGATACTTACTCATAAGTTTACCACATCTTTCTCTGTTTTCCTCCGTCTCTCTCTCTCTCTGGTGTTTATATAAAGATATCAGTCTTGAATATGATACTTACTAATAAGTTAGCCACATCTTTCTCTGTTTTCCTCTCTCTCAGGGGTTTTTATAAAGATATCAGTCTTGAATACGATACTTACTCATAAGTTTACCACATTTTTCTCTGTTTTCCTTCGTCTCTCTCTGGTGTTTATATAAAGATATCAGTCTCGAATATGATACTTACTAATAAGTTAACCACATCTTTCTCTGTTTTCCTCCCTCTCTCTCTCGGGTGTTTATATAAAGATATCAGTCTTGAATATGATACTTACTAATAAGTTTACCACATCTTTCTCGGATTTCCTTCGTCTCTCTCAGGTGTTTATGAAGATACCAGTCTTGAATATGATACTTACTAATAAGTTAGCCACATCTTTCTCTGTTTTCCTCCCTCTCTCTCTCTCTGGTGTTTTTATAAAGATATCAGTCTTGAATATGATACTTACTAATAAGTTTACCACATCTTTCTCTGTTTTCCTTCGTCTCTCTCGGGTGTTTATATAAATACATCACAGCTTTACCAATACCACTACTTTTTAATGAATCTTGATTGATAATTGGAAACTACAAAAGTCAGATACATGCGTTTTCAGCAGTTACAATCTTGAGCACATTATTTGAAATACACAAATTTACAGAAATTAGAAGAACACAAATTTGTGTAATTTCATTGATTAAGTAAAACTGACAAGACATGACAATCCCCAATTTGTCCTTCACTGGTTCCAAAATCTCTCAAATATAATTACCATAATGTATGAAACCAGATCAACACAGTGTATTAAAAAGTAAGTTATTAATAAAGGAGGTACAATCTTCAATCTGGCCTTGTAGTTTCAGAGGAGAAAAGATAAGAAAATTCACAAGAACCAAGAGCTGGCCTCTTTTGACTGTTTTTCATATCTTTCATTTTTCCTGCAGACTTTTGTTCAGTTTTGGCATTGAAAAATATGAAATGTTAACACACAACAATTATAAAGTCATGGCCAAAACTCATACTGACCATAATGGCAAGTATGAGCTAAAAATAATTAACAATGGAAAAAGACAAACACAACATAAATATAAGTCCATCTTGCTCTTTGAACCACTTCAGTTCAAATCATGTTATGCAGCAGTAACCAGCTTAGATGTCACATTGTGTTAAAATCAGTTTGTATATGGTAAAGGATGTTGGTTATTTTAGTCTTAATAATATTTTAGCATTATAAATTAAAACAAATACTAACCTCTTGCAAAACTTTCAGAAAGTTTTCTCTGATCTGTAAATGTGGTAAACTTTTGTCTGGTAAAGGAGCTAACCATTCCTGAAATAAAAAGAAAATGTTCTATTGGTGATAAAACAGTGTAAATATATGTGCATATGTATAATGGAAAAAGTAGGCATATATGCATGATATGGTCCTGGATGTTCACCAAAACAGGAACTGTGTCACTTGCATACCTCAATGCAATTAAAGGTCTGATAAAATTTAGAAAAATTACAAAATGAAAATTTGCTATGCTCTTTCTTTCTACAGGTATGAATCGCCGTTCTATATTTGCACACTCCTACATAGTAGGATGAACAAAAAATTTTAAATCATAAGGAAGATGTATCTGTATACTAAATTTTTTGAGTTATTGGAATACTCATAAAATATAAATGTTCAATAAATATGATAATTGCCTTCCATATTTAAACATATCTGGAGAGCAGATGTATAATGTAAACATATCTGGAGAGCAGATGTATAATGTAAACATATCTGGAGAACAGATGTATAATATAAACATATCTGGAGAGCAGATGTATATAAATATAAACATATCTGGAGAGCAGATGTATAATATAAACATATCTGGAGAGCAGATGTATATAAATATAAACATATCTGGAGAGCAGATGTATAATATAAACATATCTGGAGAGCAGATGTATAATATAAACATATCTGTAGAGCAGATGTATAATATAAACACATCTGGAGAGCAGATGTATAATATAAACACATCTGGAGAGCAGATGTATAATATAAACACATCTGGTGAGCAGATGTGTAATATAAACATATCTGTTGAGCAGATGTATAATATAAACATATCTGGAGAGCAGATGTATAATATAAACACATCTGGTGAGCAGATGTGTAATATAAACATATCTGTTGAGCAGATGTATAATATAAACATATCTGGAGAGCAGATGTATATAAATATAAACATATCTGGAGAGCAGATGTATAATATAAACATATCTGGAGAGCAGATGTATATAAATATAAACATATCTGGAGAGCAGATGTGTAATATAAACATATCTGTAGAGCAGATGTATAATATAAACATATCTGTTGAGCAGATGTATAATATAAACATATCTGGAGAGCAGATGTATATAAATATAAACATATCTGGAGAGCAGATGTATAATATAAACATATCTGGAGAGCAGATGTATATAAATATAAACATATCTGGAGAGCAGATGTGTAATATAAACATATCTGTAGAGCAGATGTATAATATAAACACATCTGGAGAGCAGATGTATAATATAAACACATCTGGTGAGCAGATGTGTAATATAAACATATCTGGAGAGCAGATGTATAATATAAACATATCTGGAGAGCAAATGTATAATATAAACATATCTGGAGAGCAGATGTGTAATATAAACATATCTGGAGAGCAGATGTATATAAATATAAACATATCTGGAGAGCAGATGTATAATATAAACATATCTGTAGAGCAGATGTGTAATATAAACATATCTGGAGAGCAGATGTGTAATATAAATAAACAGAAGTCTTACTGTCATAGCATTGAGAATTCCTTGATCCAGAAAAGCTTCTTGTAAATCTGCCCTGTAAAATGAAATAATTTCCTATCAGATAAACATATCCACAAGTTAAACAAGATAATGTAATGTTTTCATACATAAAATTCAAAATACACTGGTGTCAAATAGCAAAATATTTTTATATTGCATACCTTACTTTCTCATAGATTACAGAAAAACATTTTATCATTCTGAGTATCTTTTCTCTATTTTTGTGCCGGAACTAACTTATAAGAGATGTTCACAAAGCAGGAGATTAAAAAAAAATAAATAAAATAAATAAATAAAATAAAAAATGGAATGCTCCTGACAAATCTAGAAAATATCACATCTATGAAAGTAATAAGGTAATCCATTAGTGATTCCATGTCCAACTTTAACATGTAAACTATGCAAAAGTTTCTAAGTCAATCAACCATGACTGAGGGGGTAATTATATAAGGACATATACTCTCCATGGAAATGAGATATGTGTATATATATAGATTCTACCACTGCATCGAGTGTGATATGATATTTATCAACTCGAGACAGTTAAATTTTCAAATTTAAAACGCGAGGCTCGCCGAGCGTTTTAAATATTTAAAATTTAACTGCAGAGAGTGGATAAATATCGTATTGCATGAGATTTGGTGGTGGAATCTGTTTCTCTAATGATTTTCAAACAATACGCAGGCAAATTTATTCCTTCTTTTCGACTGATCTGCAAAAAGATGTGTTCTTTCTATGTGACGTCATCAGGCATGGTCGCCTTTTTTCATGCCGTCACAATAGGAAATTCAGAGGAAAGCAAGAAAATTCGACGTCATAATCAGATTTTAACCAATGAAGAACTGAGATCAAACGAACCACACGTTGATTAAATTTTTTTTATACAATGGGTGCAGAAAGGGATTAATTGACGAAGAATTAGAGAAATGCTAATACAACTGCAATTTGTGAGGCAATTTACAGTTTCAGTTATGTGACTTTAATATTTGTACATCTTGCCTTTGACAATTATTATGTTGTTTAAAATTTCATTTTATCTTTATACAAGTTTTCAGGATAATAGACAACAATGCCAAAATCAGTAAAACATTGTCATTCATTGAATTGTCAATGACGCTTATAAAAGGTCAATATGTAGTTTCAGTCATATTGACATTTTGAAAATCTTGTACTGTATGTCATATTTACTGTTTCTGTCTTTCTATTATAGTTAATAGGCAAACATTGTCATTTTGGAGAAATAACTTATGTAACTGTTTTTGAGAAGATCTTATCATGCTTATACGTATTGATTATCATTTTACTGTCCATCTTTTAAACCTTTCAAGATAATGACCACAAAAATGAAACCTAATCAAACATTGTCATATTTATATCAATATACTTTGTCTCTCAAAGATTAATCTGCAAACCAATTTAAATTACTATGCAGAGAACTAACTGTGATCATACACAAGAAAGTAGACATGGATGACAAGCATACTCCATTAGTCCACTAACTGAAGTTAATGTGAAGTTATTAATCATTATAAGGATCAGTACACGGTACAAATGTAGATATACATACTTGCGTAACTGTGAAGTAACAGAGAGAAGATATTTTAACTTTTTGATTGCAGGTTTCTTTGCTCTGTTCAATTCCCTGTCACCCTACAAACAAAAATGTTAATCAAGATTTGTAAAAATTGTCAAACTTCTACCTACAATTCCCAAACAGACATGTTGATAAAGAATAGTAAAAACCATTAAACTTCTCCCTACAGTTGAAAAACAAACATGTTGATAAAGAATTAGTTTAAACATATTTCATTGTTAAGAAACTAAACAAATGGATGAGACACAAGTTTTACATTTTAGTAATGTCTTCTCCAAAAAACAATTCTCCCTACAATTCACAAATGTTCATGCTGGTCAAGATTTGTAAAAACTGTCAAACTTCTCCCTTTTTAGTTTCCTATGTTAAAATGTATCCTTTTTCCAAAATTTCACCTCTAAGCATATTAGATAGGTAAATACAGAACTGTGTTTTGAGGTGAGATGATATACTCTATGACCTGCGTTTCAGCTTTGAATCAAATGATCATTTTAGTATTTTTAGTTTATACTGGAATTTTACAAAGTAATCACTTTCAATGATAAAACCTCTGCATCATTCAAAAGCAACTTAAGTCTTTAACTTTTAATTCAATTCAATTTACCTTTTAAAATTCAATTAGTTTAGCATTTCACCATAAAATAATCATTGATTTCAACATAATATCTGAGACCTTTCCAACATGTGCCAAGATTTTTTTTATTTTATTGTAAACATATTAAAATCATTTAGATATGAAAAGGATTGAGCCATAGTCACAGCCTATAAAAGCTTTCTCCACGTTACATGTACAAGGTATAAATTATATATCAACAACTATATTTAAACTAGACAAAGTGATGCCCCCGCACTCCACTCTGAAGTAACTTTTTTTATAACAAAGTCAATGTAGGACTTTCTTTGAGATATTATTGTGTCTGGGAGACACAAATAATGCCCCCGCAGATGCAAAGTGTTATTTTAAAATACACAAAAATGAGCATGGAAGCACATAAGTCTATGGTTCACTGTAGGAGGAGTTATCTGGAAACGATATGCACCTCTTATGCAAGTATATACTCCTAAAATGACAAAGTTCAACTATCTCCCAAAAGGGCAAATATTAATAAAATTCAAAACCCTACCCACATGCACACCTTCAATATATGTACAAACAGCCATCAAAGTGAAAACTTCCTAGCATTCAAACTGTAGGAGGAGTTATCTGGAATAGCTATGCACCTCTTATGCAAGTATATACTCCAAAAATGACAAAGTTCAACTATCTCTCAAAAGAGCAAATATTAATAAAAATCAAAATCCTGACCACATGCACACCTTCAATATATGTACAAACAGCCAGCAAAGTAAAAACTTCCTAGCGTTCAAACTGTAGGAGGAGCTATCTGGAATAGCTACGCACCTCTTATGCCAGTATATACTACAAAGATGACAAATTTCAACTATCTCCCAAAAGAGCAAATATCAATAAAAAATAAAAACCCTGACCACATGCACACCTTCAATATATGTACAAACAGCCAGCAAAGTGAAAACTTCCTAGCATTCAAATGTAGGAGTTATCAGGAATAGCTATATACCTATAATGGGATTGACAGACAGACAGAAGGACGGAAAGACGGACTGACGGACAGGGGTAAAACAATATGCCCCAAACTTTCAGTTGCAGGGGCATAAAAAGTAGAACTACATTGGATAAATGCTACTTATGAGCACACACAAACATATACATATTTACAGTGTTAATTACAAATGTATATTATAATCGAGTGTGTAGACAATTAATCATCAGTTATCCAAGTACCTTGAGACATGTTTATATCAACCCTATTTATAAGTCATTAGAAATATATATAAAGAATAAGGTTTGGAAGAGTCACTAAGCATACTTAGTGGGATAAATAAAAAAAATGTTGGAAAAAAAGAAAGAAAAAACAATGTAAAAAGATGTTTTTGTTCAAACAAATTAATTAAGATCTGTCTTACATCATTGTACTCATGGCAAGTAAAGAAGAAATGCTGTTTATCCTCAACAAAGTCATTGCAGTTTGAACAAAAAGTGTTCTCTGATAAAAATTGATTAAACAAATAAGATTTTTGGCTGCTAGCATTATTTCTAAATTGACAATTACTGATATTATATTTTCTTATCCCATAATTAAAAGGTTTAAATATTTCATCAGTCCTTTTAAAATTTGTCTAGTCTACTTTTAAATATAAAAAAAACTTGGGGATTCTGTGCCAAGATTCTGTTATATCATCTACAGACACTAAAACCACATTAATATAGGATGACATCAAAATATTTCTTGTGTATTCAGATATCCTTTGTCAGCTTTTGTTAAATATTTCATTTTAAAGCTTTCAGGTAAAAAAAAATATAAATTTAACAATAAAAAATTTCATCTATTTGGTTTTGAAACTTCTTGTTCAAAACATATCAGGGAAAAATAAAACAAATGGGGAATGTGTCCCATGGACACAGATGATGCCCCTGTTTGCATATAACGTTATAAAGGGACATAATTCAAGAACGGTAAAAGTGACAGTACCCCAATTCATACTTGATTTGGGGTTTGTGGTAATAAGCATTGTGTATAAGATTCATAACATTTGGTTGAGGCAAACTAAAGTTAGAGAACGGAAACGAAAAATTCGGCAATTTTTCCATTTGTAAAGGGACATAATTCTAGAAGGGTAAAAGTGACGCCATCAAAATTCAAAACTTGATCTGTGTTTTGTGGCAATAAGCATTGTGTATAAGTTTTATAACATTTGGTTGAGGCAAACTAAAGTTAGAAATCGGACACCAAATTCGGGACGTACAGATGTATGGACGGATGTACAGACGGACAAGGGTAAAACTTAATGCCCCCTCTGCTACGGCAGGGGCATAAAAAAACCTGAAGAATTGAACCTATCTTTTATTTCAATGAAAATCACCAAAAATGTATAATATTGCAATATATTAGGCAAATCAAGAGATGAGTCAGTTTATTATGAACATAACTTAAAATGGGCACTATGTCTAGCAATAAAATACCATGACATTTTACCTCAGCAGCTTCCTTCATTTTACAAATCATGTCAGCAATTAAATCATCATTATCATTTATAAGATCTCCCTCATTTTTTTTCCTTCTTTGCTTTCTTTGTTCTGCTTTCTTTCTTTCCATCATCAAATCAAAGTCTGAGATAAAATCTCTGAAATGTAAGTTAAATATCAATGCAAATAAGTAGCAAATTTTAATTTGAAATAGACATTGCATAAGACCACATTTTTGGATGACCTTGATACAAGTATGAAATTTACTTTAAATGAAGTTGCAATTTTTAAAATGTAAGACATGACTTTTAAATCAGCAGCTCAAGTACTCTGAGCATGCTTTAAGTTCCTGTGGGCATTCTATGATATAGCAATTTTTAGTATTGCTCTATATGTACCTGTGTTTTGTCATCTGTGATACAAGCATCTTGGAGTTCAGGATTTTTTCCAAATGATTATTATCGTGCACTTTTCACTATACTTCTTGTTATTCTCGTGATTGAGATAAACAAAAAAGCTGTAGAGTTTAGTAATCACAAAGCAGGGTAAGCCCTCCCCCTGGTCGTCCTTGTTGATTTTTTCGTGTTTTTTGTCAATTAAGGAGTTTCCTAATTTAATTTGTTTTTCTATCAAAGAAACGAATTACAATATGCAAAATGCTCATCCCAGTGCACATTTTCCCACATATGACAATCCAGCTCTGCAAATTTTACCTGCATATTCAGGACCACGGTAATACAATATTTATATAACCAGCTTTATACAAGACAGACACACTGATTCATATCTTTTATGTCCAAGTTTAACAATTTAACTATACTCAGGTTGTTTAAAAGGTAACACTATACACAAAGGTAAAGTTTTTTACATGTTCATATATATATATTTATGTCTTTCATTTTCTTCAGAAACCACAGGAAATGACATCCATAATCCTATTGGTTTTTCTTATTAATCAGACATTACAAACGACTGATTTAAATCTTACTCTTGATCCCTAGCTGCCCTCCTGAGTGCTTCTTCATTTTCATCATCGGATAATTCTGGTAGAACCTGACCATCATCTTTCCCTGTGGCCATTCCTTCATCATTTTCATCATCTGATACAATAGCTGAAACAAAATATAATTGAGAAGTACAATAACTGACTAGAACCTGAGAACCCACAATCCAAATCTTCCATAAACTAATATTATGGCATAACATTGACAACACAATAAATTTTGTAAAATTATAAAAAGAATTTAAAGTACAATCTACTGTAGGAATAAGATTTACTGTGAACATATTCAGCTGACACTACATTTTAAGATAAGTAAGAAACAGACAAGACAAACCTGTTGATTTTTTCTTCTCTTTCTTTTTATTTGCTGCTTCGATGTCATCTTCATCAAAACCCTTAAATTCAAAGAATACTGTTCTTAAAAATTTGTCACACCTGATTAAAGAGTTTGATCAAAAAGATACTTTAGTAAAATTCAAATGATTTTTGTGACAATTTTTGTGAAATGCTAAAACTGCTAAAAATTCTCTTGTCTTCTTACCATTTTACAATTAAATTCATTGATTAGAAGAATTTTGTGTACCTATTTCTCTAGGTGATAATTTTTATTAAATGAAATATTCCATGTAAATAATCAATTGATGCTATATATTCAATCTCCATCATGAAAGTGCATACATGTGACAGAGTTGTCAAGTCACAACTGGAGATTTGAAAATTTTCAGCTGGAGTTTGGGAGTTTCTCATAACTGGAGATTTTTTATCAACATATTAATTGCCATTTTCAGTGTTCGTTTGATGAGAAAGCTACATATTTCCCCTTTTTTAAGATAACAGTATTACTATTAATGTATTCTCTCTGTATTAATATTGTTACCATGTGAAATATATGACAACACTAAGCTATAATATTTGTATGTTATATTTTTCCTTTCCTCATCTTTGTCATCATTTGTGTGTTTCTCAATTCTATCATCCAATAATTGCTTATGTGTTTCAAAGTGTTATTCCTTTTTCTAGCTAATTTTAATTTAGCCAGATTTAGCATAATCACTCACCAAGTCATAATACTTATGGGGCTTTTAAACAACCTTGACTGGCTATAAAGCCCTCGCACAGTCGGTAACCAAGTCATAATGATGATGGAAGTTTTTAACACCCTTGACTGGCTAAACAGCCCTCACACAGTCATAATGTAAGGTCAATACATATCTTATAAATTTCATTTTAAGCATTGAAAAGAAGTATAGATCTCTCAAATAATTTACGAAATAATATTTTCTTATGTGTCCTAAGACATTTAAAATCATTAAATTACCATCCATTATATGAATCTTTGTTCAATATGTATTTCATTGATATTCATTTATCAATTTACGTTATTTTAAGGACATGATAAAACAAGGGAAGTAACCCGATTTTTTTTTTATTTAATTATAAATGTTTTCAAATACACAAGGCTTTGATTACATAACGGCAGTTAGCCTGAGGTAAAAAATCGTTGATTAATAGTATGTTTGACACCCAAGCTGTCAAGTGAAGCCATTTAATTATACAAATTCTTTGAATCACAGGTAAAAATTACCTTCACTGTGACACAAAAACGTAATTAATGATGACATCCAAGGTAATAAAAAATAGAGACTGACAAATATTTTGGGGTTGAAATTTTGAAAAACGGAAGATTTGAATAATTAACGTGAGGGGGGGGGAAGAGGGCTTAAAAATCGGGAGATTTAGACTCCCACCGGAAGAATCACATGTCTGAAAGTGCAAATATCTTATGTATTGTCAGTTGATCTCTCAGAAAAGGTGAATGTCACTGTGCACTGAACATTCTCAAAACAATGACTTAGGGACCATACAGAGTCACAAGGTATAACAAAATTACATTTGAAAAGAAAACAATTTGTCTGCTTGAGGTAATTTTAAATTCATGCAGTCCTCAAGTTTATATATATATATGTAACTATAAACTTACTTCAAATTCTTCTTCTTCATCACTAGAACCAAAAATGTTCGCTATCAATTCACCAACTTCTGATCTGTAAAATAATTATAAAATTATATTATGAAATTGTACATAATATCTTGTTTATATTGAACTAAATTTCCCTTGTGAAAGAGAGTCAGATTAAAGACATAATTGAATGTTTAGCATGTTGATAGATTTAACAGAAAGTACACCAAAATTTACAACACTTTTATTGTCTCAAATGCTAATGGTCACTCAAGAAACAGTTGAAATGTTGTTTTTATCAATCAATTTATGAAGAACATGCAGTGAGTATGCATTTCTGAAGATAAATATTTTGAAGTTGAAGAAAAATGATACAATATAGCCATGTTATTCAGCAAATATAAATATATAATAGTACTCATGCTCCATTTTTTATAAACAGTCCAAGCATGGATAAAAGATTTCAATGATATAGTAACCTATCAACATAAACAACGCAAAAACATCTAGGGTCAACATACTAGTATGCTACCTATCAGATGCGTTCCACTGAAATTGAACTCTTCAAAGCTATATCTTTTTTAATTGCAGCCTCATAAACATTCTGATACGGTAAAGGGAAAATTGTATACATGTGTATATGTGTATAAACAATTGTAAGCATCCATATGATATTAAAGATTTTTTTATGGTGAAAGCTATTAATTAATATGAAAAATTAACTTAAGTAATATTTGTGTATAGAAGGAAAGTGTTGACTGCTTTATACTCACTCTTTATCACTTTCATCTTCATCATCACTACCTGTTAAACAAAATAATCTTAAATATTTCTTATCTTCTTTTATTGGATTAACATGATTATCAATGAAATATACAGAAATATAAGGGACCCTTTTTTACACACCAAACAATGCAAATTTTGTTTGAAAGAAGAAAAAAAAATTCCCTGTAAAAATTCGCTTGAAACTCCAGGTCCCAATCAATTTTTCTTCTTATTGCGATTCAAATAGCAAACTTTTTTTTCTGGAAAAACTCTTACCTGAAACATCTTTTTGCAGATATACTAGTCTATTTGGCAATTACTGATTTGATTCAGACAAAGTTGGTTGCTGCCCATGCAAAGCATGCTGAGTTTAAACATTTCAACCAGTTTTCATTGAAAAATAACTACCGGTATTAAAATAAAAACTTTTTATCGTAACAAAAATTAATGTAAACATTTATACTTTTATCAAATCGTGTTCATACTTCATTGAAATTAATACATGTTCTATATTCCAATTAAAACTTAAACATTGAGTGTAATTGTCTTGTTAATCATGGCAGTTGTCAATGAAATCATTGTCCAAAATAGTATTTGAAATAAGTGTGAGAAATCCCTGTTGATATCAATGTGCAGCTTGCACCAAATCTTACTTAATTACTTAGAAAAGCATACGATACTATTAAAATACTTTAATAATATAATATAACAAATTCTTAAAGTTGACATCTTACCTTTTCACATTAATTCATAAATGGTAATACTTAATAAATTTAGATTTACAAAGAAACTATATGCAAATGTATATCTAAAATTAAGTAGCTACATGTGAACTCTCTGTTTTCAATTTAATGGCAAATTACATGTCAAAAGTTGGTAGTAGATGATAACAGATGATCTGCTTTTTGCAAACCATTATACATGTCATAAAACACAGCATTGGTTCCAAAATGTGCCTAAAATTCAGAAACCTGCATGCTCCATCTTAAAATTTTGAGTGATAACAAAGACTCAGCTTGACTGGATCAAAAAAGGGAATTATACCAAAACCTTAATTCAAACTAATTCAAACATACTGTAATTTCTTTTGCAATTCTGACTTTGTAATTCTATTAGAAATAACATTTAAATACCTTTCTTTTTCTTTGTTTTAACCTCATCTTCACTGTCTGATCCGCGTCCACTTCCTGCTGGGGATGCTGATCTGCTTCTTGCTGGTGACCTAGATCTACTCCTGCTCCTTGATCCTGATCTATTTCTGGCTGGTGAACCTGACCTACTTCTGACTGGTGACCCTGATCTGCTTCTTGGAGACCATGATCTTCTTCTTGCTGGTGAGGCTGACCTACTTCTAGGAGATCCTGACCTGCTTAATACTGGGGATCCTGATCTACTTCTGGGAGATCCTGACCTACTTCTTGCTGGTGATCCTGATCTACTTCTAGGAGATCCTGATCTACTTCTAGGAGATCCTGACCTACTTCTTACAGGTGATGCTGACCTACTTCTAGCTGGTGATCTTGACCTACTTCTAGGTGACCCAGATCTACTTCTGACAGGCGACCCTGATCTGCTTCTCACTGGAGACCCAGATCTGCTTCTTACTGGAGAGCCTGACCTACTCCTTGCTGGAGAAGCTGATCTACTATGACTTCTTGAACGTGACTTTTGACTTTCACTATGAACAGATCTTGGGCTTCCTACTGGTGAAGCAGGTGCACTTCCACTTCTCATAGAGCGTGGGCTACCACTACCTGCCAGAGAACCTACTGGACTGCCAACAGGGGACTGGGGTCCACTTTCACCAACGACAGGACTTCCACCAGGAGACTGAGGTGGACTTCTACTGTGGACAGATCTTGGACTACCCACTGGAGACATACTGACATCAGGTGATCTGGGTGGACTCTGGTCAGGTGATGCTGGACCACTATTTGGTGACTGGGGCTCTACTTCTTCACGTTCAACTTCTCCTCCATCACTAACATAGTCATCATCATTATTACCCAGAATTCCTCCTCCACCTCTGTCTGTTTCATTATCACTTTCCATTTCTGCATCCTGAAATAAATGATATACCATGGATTCTTTTATTTTCATGGATACCAATTTTCGTGGATTGACGGAAAATTATTTTTTCCAGAATATTTCATTTTGTGGTTTTGTCGAAGTTTACATACAAGCCGTTAGGAAATTTGTCCTTCCTTTAACATTTAAATTTGTGGTTCACCTGTACCCACAAAAATTTGTATATCCCACGAATAATAATGAATTCACAGTCACTAAATACAATTCTAATATCTTTCCTATATGAAATACAATGAACATGCTGAATACATCTTTACTGATAAGAAACTTGATTCTTTGATCTGCCATCTACTATAATGGAAACGAATGAATATTTTTAATAACATCTTTAAAAAATAATAGACCATCAAATTGTCTGAAAATTTCCATTCTCTTCTTTCCCTCATGCTTTTTTATTTAATGCATGTATCACTAATAATTGAAAGCTCTTGATGTAATCCTGTTATGGTTTTGAAGTAGTGTTGTCAACGGTTAATCAGTTAACCTTTCAGAAGGACTGAATATCGAATACCAAAACCGATTAATCAGACCTTTTTCAATTAATAGTTTTGATATAAATGTATATTGAAATCATAAGTAAACCTAATGTGTTAACATTATCATTGTGGTACTTAATCATGTTAATGGGATCAATTATCCAAAGGCAAATAAATATATACACAAGGGAATTACTTATTAATAAAATAATAAATATTGATAGAAACAATGATACACTGTATGTCTATTTGACTTTTGAGTTGCCCAGTTGTTCTCTCATTGTATAGTCCCAAATGTCCTATTCAAAAAAAAAATTAATAAAGGCTTTTCAATCAGATAAAGATGAATAATTTTGTTTTAACTTTTAGTCTCATGTAATACAACACATGTATAATATTAAAGGTGTGTAGTTAATACACATGTACGTGTAATACATCAAACTTGTGTTAAACTTTTTTAAGAGAAATGTACTGTTTTTTTTTTTTGGCCTGATAAGTCTTTATGTAATTACTTGAGGGGAAGCCCTCATATCATAGGTAGGTTCATCAAGTACTGGGGTTAATCTCCCTTCATCCTGTACTGGGGTACACCCTCCCTCATCCTGTAATGGTGTACCCCCACCTTCCATCTCATCCATCACAGGAGTAGCTCTACCATCTTCATCTTGTACTGGTGTACTTCCACCACTTCCTGTAATGTACAAAGAAATTATAATGTCCATTCATTTTTTTGTTAAGCCTATGTACAGGCTCATGGAGTCATGGTAGATGTAACTTTTTTATGAACCAACACTTATTCATTGTCTTTTAGTTTAACTATTGTTAACATTGCTATGCCATTTTTCTTATTACAGTTCTTTTCCTGATAATAACTTATCATTAATGACCTCAAACAAGTTCGTCTTGAATGATGACTAACAACAGATATTTGGTAGAAAGTTGTCACATCTTGAACATGTTGAAATGTTCAAAAAGAAGATTCAAATTATTACTAAACATATATAAAAACTTATATGTTCTACCCTGTGCACACTATTAGTTTACCGTTTTGAAAATTCTATTGAATGAATATGATTGAGAAATTAATCCTTACTACAAGGCATACAAAATATAGGCATATTATGTGTACACAATGCACTGTACATAATGTTTATACACTTGTCACGGTAATATTTGATTTCTGCATTGTTGACATTCAATATTCAGTCTAACATTAAGTTTATATGAGGCAGGTGTTACCTGTGAAAGAGGACGAAGTCCATATATAAATAACTATTAAAATACTAATTTTGTAAAAAAAAATCCATTTTCTAGTGAAAAGAAATTGAAATATAGAAACATATCTGATTTTGGTATTGATATAAATTTCATTTATGGTGTCGCTATCGTCAGGTAGCGTCTTTATCTCTTACTTTAACAGTGTAGTTTTATTAATAATAATTTATACCTACAAGCAATGAATACACTAAGTCGGCTTATTACTGATCTTTGTTCAGATACAAAAATCTGCCTGATTGATCTGAGGTTTGTTTTCCCAGAAAACCTGTTTTGTTTACTATAAAATTGTATGTTGAATAAGCAATAGACTAGTTTTATTACTTACACTATAATAAACAGAATAAATTCAAAATGTTCATCCTGATTATTCTTTTTAGTTATCAGTTATAAAAATTAAAACGACATCCTATGATTTACAACATGACAGTGGCTGTAAACAGAACAGGAACAGGGTAATGCACAAGTGCAACTTGACGACTTTGAAGTCACAATTATAAAAATGTAAATTGATTTTTCAGTTTTATTGATTTTCCTACCGTTATTGAGGACTTTGTCCTCTTACTGGAATTCCCAGCATTTTCTAAATTCTAGTTAATAATAATGGAAATATGAAACAATTTAGATGTTGGTCCTGTTGTTAGAGATTTTAGTTATGATGTCATTTTCAATGTAAACAAAGAAACGCTATCTTCAGCATGTTCAGGTAATGTTTTATCATATTCAGTTAAAGAATCATTAAAAATGTTATAATTTATACCTTTAAAAGACGAAGATACAAAGTTGGTGTGATATAAATTGATCTTCGTGTAACAGATTCCTTATCAGAAACGATAATCGCCCGATTAATCAGCTGATTCTCCCCCAGAGAACACATTTTGTTTGTATGTTGAATAAGCACGACTCATTTATAAAATAATTCTGACTTTATTTTCATTGTTTAACTGCCAATATTCTGTAAGTAATCAGATACAACAAATTTGCTGGAAAATCATATGATGCCCATTCCTGATAATTTATGCAAAGTCTCAAGACAAAAGATACCAGAAGAGAGCAACAATACTTCAAAGGCACTGGCTACGATTAATCGCAAAAAGTAACAATAATTATTGTTACTTCCAAGACTAATTCCCCAAATGTATTTCCAGACAGGGACTCAATTTCATATGGAAATGGCAGGTAGCAATATTATCATTTTTTATTGTTACATTTGCAAATTATGTCTTTTGTGTGTGGAGCATCAGGATACTTTGTACTGTCTTCCTGTCATTGTCCTGTATATGTTACATTACATAAAATAGAAAATTATTTATTGAACATAGCAATAAGAAATTCAATGCACATTTATACATATTTAGAATTCTTTTTGCTTTAATTTGGTGGAACTTCCTGCACATCCAGTATGTAGCCTTATGTAGCATTTTAAGGCCAAGCCAACACATTTTAGATTGTACCACTCCAGACATCATCACAAACTAAAAATCCATATATATACATTTTTGTATGTATATGCACGTCTATACCGCACACTAAATAGTTCCATTCTGCTATGTCCTGCTTCACAGATAATTTGTTTTTAGGTATTTCCAACTCATTGGAAAAAAACTTTTTGATACGATTGAGAATTATGTTCTCGTCGAGAAATTCGTATGAAATTTCTCAACTCCTCTGGTCAGTGATTGCCTAAATATATTTTGATGCGCACGGGTAACAATAAAAATGATATTATTGTTACCTGCAATTTCCGTAGGAAATCAGATCCCTGTCCAGAAATTCATTTTGGCGATTAGTCTAGGAAGTAACAATAATTATCTCTTATTTTTACTTATTCAAGTTATTGCGGGTAATCACAAATAAGGGAAGCTGAAAAAAAGCTATCGAATTTGGATTCTAGTATATTAATTTTGGGTTTTTTATTGAATTTTCTACTGGTAATGAGGACCTCATATTATTGTTTATCACACCAGAAATGGTAAAGTTTCCGACTGTTGTTTACCTGATATAAAGACACAAACATTTCAAGTTTCAAAGAAGACGGGTTTATATCCGAGTTATCAAATACACTATAACGTAACGTAGGTGAAACAGGCGCAGATAAATGTAAAGATTGTTGATGTATTTGTTTGTATATTCGGTGAAAACCTTATCAGAGCTTACATTGTATCAGCATATTGACAAACATTTGACAATACATTATGTATGGTCAACTGTTTTTCAATATGCTGAATCAAAATAAAGTTGTTTTTACTTACTTGGAATAAAGATAGAAAATTGAATAAATATCTTACTTGGGGAAGTTTCCACATCCATGTGTTAACAATCTTAGGACAAAACAAGAAGCTTTTTTAAGTATGATGATGTCTATTTTCATGCGTTTTCCCTGAAGCGGAAGTTAAACATTTTGAAACAAGGGCGAGCACCTTCTTCTTCTTCTTCTTTAAGTAAATCCCTCCAGCTTTGGATCACACACAGCTAGCTGTGTTCCCTTAACGGATCAGTTTAAAAATGTAAACGTATTCACATAAAAGTTATTCCAAAGTTAAAGGGCTGAAAGAAATCCTCCACCGGAACTTTGCACATGCACAAAATGTCATATACTTTTTGCGATGCAATCACAAATCTAGTTCAACAGATCATTTTGAGAAAATTTTCATTTTAATTATGGTTATCTATTTCTCTGATGTTATATCTGATATGGGTATATTGTTGACATTTGATCAAGAAATGTAAAATCTAGTACAAGAAGCTCAGTGGACTCCTTGTACTCAAAAGTGATTACAATACGACCAAAGATCACCGCCCTGCTTGCAAAGTCTATAATTTTCTAAATAACTTGGATATAAAATAAGATGGAAAGTATTCAAGGTTTCATAGATTAGATTCTGACAAAGTTTTATTAACTTCTAAAAAGGGATTTACCGGTAGTTTCGCCTTGAAGTTGCGGATACACGATGGGGTAAAAACTCTGCCAGATAAAGAAATGCCAGGCATTTGATGAACGAAATATAAAAAAATAAAAAAAAATAGAAAATGCGAAATAGCAGAATACGGCAAAGTTAGGATTCTGAGAAGCATGATTTCAAGTATGTGAAAAAGGGTCTGGGAGGAGTTATGGATACAAAATGAGTTCCCCAGATAAAGCAATGACAAGATTTCCTTGACCTATCGTATGCCCTTAAAGCATAATGACTTTATGAAGGAATAAATGTATCTGATACATTGTATTCATAAAGATCATATTTTGAGCCATTGATATTTTGTTTGATAAAATTGCCACCCATTGACATCATGTAAGCTATAGATAGGCTGAAAATTGCATCCATTTCTATATTTAACATGTTCAACATCTTGAACAATGTACAGCGATATACAACTTATTTATTCATTCATCCATTCATTCATATAGAAAGTGACCCCCGTGGTTGCAACAACACTCATCACGCGGGGGTACATATTGTAGTTGCTGAACATTTAGCGTTTATATAAAGTCATGCCAATGAAAATCCTCTAATTTCATTTTTCTCAACTTAAAGGTAATTTCGCACTTCTATTTCATAGCGTCATTCAGTCATGTTACACTGATTTGCAATTCCATTTTCTTGCGGGTCAAATGTGAAATGGAACGGATATGGGGCCATATGATACGAAGACAACACAAAGTTACCCAATGCAACACGCAAACTAGACCTCGATTGATTCTATTATATCCAATGCGATTGGACCCTCTTACAAGGGGACTTACAATAAGCAGTCATCTCCGGGCGGTCCCGCAAAATATATAAAGAAATCATATTCAAGGGCACATCATATGTTTCAACCATTCCTACAACTTTTATCATCCGACCAAATTCCTTCTTCATGTGGGCTTCATTGAACTAGAACATGGGTTGACCTTTTGGGACTTAAGACCTACTACAGAAAGTCACGTAAGACATACAAAGGGTCCACAGAGAAGAATAGATGTGATCACCACATCAGGCTGCTTCATGATTTTGAATGTACAAATGTATAATGATACGATGATGGTGCGGTACCGCTAAAATAATTAAAAGAAGGTTACTTTCCTTTAATGGATAATTGTCATGGGGGAAAATGGCTATAGGACACCGGTACAGTAGCACATAGAAAGCAATCAGATACATAATCAGATGTTATCTAAAATAAAATTTAAAAAATATATTCCTACGACAAAATGTTTTGTGATTTTCCGTGAGTTATCTGAATCACTGTAACCAAAATGATTTTACTATTTATCTGTTATAAGAGTTTACAAAGTATAAATATATTTCATTACATCTTTTAAATGTACATATCACTTACATTTCTGACATTTGTGTCGATATCTTTTAATTTTAACCGTTAATTTAATTTAAGATTCAAAATTATTTTACTACAGTTTTATTTTTTGCAAAAATCGGCATTTAAATAGTAATTTTTCGGACTTCGTCCTCTTTCACAGGTAACACCTGCCTCATATCAGTTATGCTATATTAACTATTAGTCCCCACTTCGGTTAGTTGGCAAACAAAATCTCAACAGATTCCTTTGTTCAAAGACTCATAACACCTACAAAAGTCAACTGATAAAAAATTCTTGTGGATATGCACATCTACATGTTATGTATGTCCTTATTATCTATAAAGTTTCATGGCGATGACAAACTGTTGCAGTGGTATACTTTAGTTAGGCTAAAATTAAGTTCAAAGGGGCATAACTCCTAGAAAAAAATAAATAATAAAATAATTTACTGTCGATATGCACATAGTTTCATAATATTTTGTTGTGTGGCTACAGAGGAGTTGCGATGACAAACTGTTGCAGTGGTATATTAAGGCCAAAGTTCTGAGTTCAAAGGGGCATAACTCCTAGAAAAAAATCATAATTTCCTGTCAATATGCACATCTTCATAGTATGTCCTTATTATCTACAAAGTTTCATGAAATTCTGTTGTGTTGTTTCAGAGGAGTTGCGATGACAAGAACAGGACGGATGGACGGACTGACGGTCTGAATTCTGATGGACTGACAGACGGACTGACGAGTCAAAAACACTATACCCTACGGAACTTTGTTCCGTGGTGGGTAAAATATCGTCCTCCATCTAAAATAGATTGAAAACAATGTCGTCAGGTCATAAAAGACGCTCTTTGATCGTATTGTAAAAAATGGTGTAAACAGGAAAAATCTGATAAAAAATCTCTTGATTTTTATTTATATAATTGTATGAGTGTTGTGGATTTACGAATATCACATTTTGAAAATAATTTAGAAATAAATAAAAGAGTAAATAATACGCCTATTTCTAGATAAGAAAAAAAACTTCAAATACTCGCAAAGCCGTTTGTGTGTTTTACCGGCCGACAAAGCAACCAACAATGTGGTGGTGGTGTGCCGTAAATAATACACGGAAGTTCTTAGGAATGAAATTTTAAATTCTATTACATTTAAGTCCGTGAGCTCCACAGAGAGTCATATAGTAAACAATCATATCATAAACAACATCACAGCTTAAGGTCTCTTCTGAACATTTGAAGGTCCCTACTATGTATTGGTTACATAAACTACACAATAAAATACCGGTATCGTTTCATCACGGCCGAAGAGAAAGGTAAATATGCTAGATATACTTACTGGAAGTGTGATGAGATGACTGAAGCTCTTAATTTTCTCCTTGATAACATTCATGTGCGTTTCGGCAATAAAGTTTATCGACAGGTTGTAGGTATTTCTATGGGCACCAAATGCGTCCCTTTTTAAAATAGCAGACTTGTTCTTGTATTGTTATGAATCACAGTTTATGACCAAACTTAGTAAAGACCCGTCAAAATGGCATTTAATTGATATATTCAACAACACTTATTCTTATGATATCGTAAAATAATCAAGAATTTTCTAGATATACTGCCGAAATTAATCCGAAGGAACTATAACTTTAAATAAATCAAATATAAACGGTAATAACTGTCCTTTCATAGATTTAGATATTTCAGATTTCCATGCGAAACTCTACACAAAAATTTACGACAAAAGGGACGATTTTTTCGTTCCCTTTTGTTAATTTTCCTTTTTTTGGACGGCGATGTTCCTTTGGCACCATCTTACGGTGTTAATATATCGCAACTCGTTCGCTATGTCCGTGTTTGTAGTGACGTTTTGGATTTCAACGAACGTGATTTATGTATTACAGGTAAATTATTAAGTCAGGGATTTCGTTACCACAAATTACTTAAAAACTTTACTAAATTTTTCCATAGATACAAAGATTTGGTTCGGAAGTTTGGCTGTACCTGTAGAATACTTATTTCAAACGGGATGGCACATCCTAATTTTTCGGAAATGTTGTTTACCGAGCCCGGAAAATTGGATACGTTCCGGGTAAACTTTTCGATCCTTCAAATAAACTTTATTCTTAAAGGTTATCAATTCAATATTGTAATTAGCTCTTTGAATATTGTTTTTATTGGTGTAACTATTGATTTTTTAATCAGTAAATTAAAATCAAACACAATAGTATAGATCGGTGGGAAAAGACCAGCAAATCTCTAATTTGATGAAGAGTTGAAAAAGAGAAAGTGAAGATGGATAGGGCACACACTGAGGAAGCCAAATAACAGCATTACAATGCAAGCCTTACGGTAAGTGGAACCCACAAGGAAAGCGTGCCAGGGGCAGACCAAGATACACCTGGAGAAAACGTTGCAGCTGAGATGGAGAAAGAAGGGTACAAGTGGCATGATCTGGAGAGGCTAGCAAAAAACAGAACAAGGTTGAGGAATATCGTTAGTGGCCTATGCTCCACCAAGGGGCAACAGGATTAAGCAAGTAAACAAATATTATTTTTATATACATATGACAATTCATGGTTCTACAATCTGTCGATACCTGTTCCTTGGCATTGCACAAGGTCATGTTTTTCTCTGACTGTTAATGACATCTTTACACTAAATCCATTGGATGTTGGATGTGTACCGATTGATATTTTAGTCTTAAATGCATGAATTTTGTTATAAGTTGTTATTGGCTTTGAACTAGCTGTCAGTAACTGCGAGTATTCTCAGATCTGTACTTAGTGTCTCTTTGGTTGTGTTGATGTACAAATACCCTGCCACGTCCGGTCTGTGTTAGATGTTTTCTGCTTTGTATCGATCTAATGAGTTAAGCCATTTTAAACTGATTATTATAGTTTGTTCTAATGTTGAACTGTTACACCACTGTCCCAGGTTAGATAGGCGGAGGGTTTGGTGCCAGCAGACTAGTTTATATGGCCACATTCTGTATGTGTCAGTCCCAAGTCAGGAGCCTGTAATTCAGTGGTTGTCGTTTGTTGCTTTGTGTCATATTTGTTTTTCGTTCATTGTTTTGTATGATAAATCAGGCCGTTAATTTCCTCGTTTGTTTTGTTTTACATTTGTTATTGCGGGGCCTTTTAAAGCTGACTATGCGGTTTGGGTTTTGCTCTTTTTTGATGGCCACACGGTGACCTATAGTTGTTAATTTCATGTCATTTAGTCTCCGGTGGAGAGTTGTCTAATTGGCAATCATTCCACATCTTCTTTATATAATATTGATATAGATTTAAAAAAAGGAAACGTTGAACGTAAGAATTTGGGAGTAGACAATTTGAAGCAATGAGGAGCATTGGTAATATATAACAGGGGAACATACACATATATATATTAAAATTAAGTCATTATAACATCATAAACATTTTCTTGTGTATTCAATATAGTGCTGTACAGTTGTAAACTAGTCCATATTAAAGTCTTGGTCTTGTTATTAGATGTGTTTTGCAAAGTTGGCAGTTCTATGTGAAATCTTTTCGCTGAGGCTAGGCTACAGTTGTTTATCGAGCGCGGCGACAGGAAAAGAGCCCCTACTATGAATGCATTACTAGTCGTGAGCATCCAGACTCATTAAAAATGTACTTAAAGAATAAAACCCAATTAATAAATTTACAGATCAGACAACTTTTCTGGTGACATAATAAAAAAAGAGGAAAACGATCCCAAGGGCACATTCAAAACTCATAAGTCGAAGTAAAACCGACAACTCTATAGCAAAATTAGACGAAAAGAACAACAAGTCCAAAAAACACTACACACAAAAGTAAAGACTGAAAAAAATTATTCCACCGAAACAAGCGGTGATATCAGGTGATCCGTAAGGGTAAGCAGATCCTGTGCCACTAGTAAGTAAAAATTCGATGATAAGTCTCATTCGATTATGCCAAAATCGAGGAACAGAGGTTGGATTGTGGTTACGACATTCACAATTGGAACGCATATCTTATCCGTGGTCATCTGTGACACAGATATTCCGCAACAGTCAACCTTCAATTCGTGATGGCGTCCGTAAAACATTCGAAGATGACGACTATAATCAGTCAAGGGTGTAACTTGAATAAGTTATTAGAGAAAAATAACACAAATGTGTTATTATGGACACTTTCTCTAAATCTGTAGTAACATATGTTTGTTATCAGTTAAATGTACCATAAAAATTTTTATTTTCAGTGGGCACTTGGGAATTCTTGAAACTTGCGCAGTAACTTAATACATAACCTTGAAAACTAATTTTCCAATTCAATTAATACATTTTTGATCAACCATGGTAAATCAATGAGACAAGGCTTTTAAGTGATAACTTAGTTGTAGTAACAAGGCTTAGTTATTACAGGCATTTAATTTATTACATGAGACACTTGGGAATGACTAGGAAGCTTGCGCAGAACCTCATTACATGCTCCTATCATTATTTATTACAATAAATTAAAATACATTGTGATATATGTAGGAGAAAAGGCTTTGAAGAGATGTAGAGAAGCTGTAATAACACCCTTTAGTTATTGCAGGCATATTTTTTCTGTAATAACATGGGTGTGTTATGCATGATTGGCAAACTATGGGCTGTTATACCTTTCTAAAGTTTAATATACATAAAGACAATTATAATATCAATAGAACTAGTACACAATTTAACAAAATAAAGGATGTAAAATGTCCCTTTGAAACATGTAACATACATATGTTATCACAGATTTTTGATTTTTTAGCCCTCATTAACAAATGTATGTTATTTTTCTCTAATAACTTATTTAAGTTAGACCCTTGACTGATAATACAGTATTTTAATATGCTAAGATCAAACCTTAGAGTTAAAGATGGCAGAATAATTGAATTTAATATTAGTGAAACAACACATTGAGTGTACCGACACCGCATCATTACCTTCCCAGACTGTGTTCACACTGAGGCCTACACTAGTTTGAAACAAGTTTAAATGAGTTTTTGAACTAATTTGCAAACACTTGACGCTGTTTATTGACATCTGAATATAGAACTGAATGCATGTATACCAACTGATAAGTTTTTATTTCCAAGAAAAAAACATGTTTCACGAGGCCTTAGATATTAACACTTAATTCCACTCCTGAAAAACAGAGGTGTAATATTACATTTAACCTTACGTTAACCTGACTTCCGGCTATTTGTCGGAACACATCAAAGTGTCCGGTAATCTATACATGTATCATGTGTCGAAATGATTACTATACATCGTGTATTCGAAGTCTAAAAAAATGAAGGAAAATTCAAGCATCAGGTATTTTATATGTTTAATGTTATTTTAAATATCCAAGGAATTTCAACAAAGATTATTTCATTAAATTGGCTGATATTAGACATTATTTCATTAAATTGGCTGATATTAGACATTATTTCATTAAATTGGCTGATATTAGACATTATTTCATTACAGTTCACGAGGCTACGGGAGTGTTGTCTTTTACGAGAATTGTATACTTATTCTAAAATAGAGCTACGTATTGTTACTGTATATTTAACTGAAAAATTTAAAGAAATGACAGAAAGTAACCAATATTGTTTGAGGAATACGTCTTGCAAAAAATTGCAAGTTCCAAAAGCCAAAACAGAGCTGTATAAGAAATCTTTTATATTTTCAGGATCTATTTTATGGAATAACTTACCAATATCCCTGAAAAAATCGACCTCAAGTACAAGCTTATTCAAAAAAGGTTAAAAAAAATACTTTTTTTTTGTTGGAACATTAAGAAACTGTGTAATTTTATTTGCATACCGGTAATAATTTTTCACACACTTATCTAAACTTTATATATTGTTGAGGTAATTTGAAGGATGTCAAAACTCTATGAATTCATCATTTTTACCGGTTTTGAAAATTGCATATTTCATAACAATTTCTTATATGATTTTTCTTATGTGTGTGTTTGTTTGATTATTTTGTAATTGTTTGTTTGTTATATTTCAATGTATTTTATGAGGGCCTCGGGAAAGATTAGTTTTATAGCTAACTGTGTAACCCTCTTTGGATAAAGAATTATTATTCTTATTATTATTACTACAACTATGCTGTGCTGTCTTTTACGAGAAATGTATACTAATTCTAAAATAGAGCTACGTATTGTTAATACAACTAAACCGTGCTGACTTTTACGAGAGATGTATTCTAATTTTGAAATAGAGCTACGTATTGTTACTACAACTATGCTGTGCTTTCCTTTACGAGAGATGTACACTAATTCTACAATAGAGCTATGTATTGTTACTACAACTATGCTGACCTCTAGCAACTTTGTTGGTTTGAAAGCATCCGTTATGTGGTTGTTGTCTTATTGACCTCACCTCCTTTAATTGGTTCGTATTTTGAAGTCGTGGTCGATACACTGGTTTATTGTTTTTTTGTGTGCGCTTCGTACCGATCGGATTTCTGACTGAATTTTACAACTTATTCTTATTTTGTAGTTCAAGGTTAGGGAATGGATCGATTGAGCGCTCACAGACATGTTTTGCCACATTCTTTATGTGCTTGTCCCAAGTCAGGGGGCCTGTAATTCGTGGTTGTCGTTGATTTAATTTGTCTTATATTTTTCATCGCGTATTGTTTTTAGCATACATCAGGCCGTTGGTTTTCTTTTTTGAGTAATTTCACATTTTTAACAGCTAACTATACGGTATATGTTTTGCGTATTGTCGAAGGCCGTATGGTGACCTATTATTGTTTCCATCTTCGTCGTCAGTGATGGATAGTTGTCTCATTAGACTCTTATGTTTACATCAACCTGATGTTGAAAAGGCGTCCGGTAAATATAATGCTGGAAGCATTAACTGTTGTTTTTTTTTAACGTGGCATCGCCATTGTGTGCTGACGTGTGCGCATTAAGCCACAATCAACCAGCTACTTATAACCAGATATGCTGGGATGACCTGAGGATGTACCGATGGAAGGTCAGGAGTAAATTCGTGTAGTAGATGAGCTTGTAGTAGAAAGAACAGGGAAACGATAAAGTATATTTTGACGATGCGAGGTTTTATTATTAAGTATTGATAGATGCTGAAGATATTAGAAAGAGTGAATAAATCTGGTGATATGAGGATATGCTGGAAGAATAAATGGATTAATTTATCCCATTTATTTATATACTATTTTGAAGAAATAAATAGGAAGATAGTTATGTCTTCACATGTCCGACGTGGCCAATGTTATGAAAGGATTTAGGACGCTTTTAGAAATAATTGGAAATTGAAATAAAGTAGATCGTAGTAAAGCAAAAGTATGTGTTTCTAGTTTATTAAGATAGTTAAAAAGTAAATTGAATATAAATTTCAAATAATTCGTTGATATAAGAAGAAAATACATAAGTTAAAAAGATCAAGATTCGTAAGTATAACGGACTTTATCTTAGATGCAAGATAATCAGTAATAGTACAAAGTCAAGAACCTCATTAAATAAGTTATTTGGCACGCGTAAAGAAGGTTATTAGGTTGCCGGACAGATGTATGTCGAATTGCTATTACATCCAAGGTTATAACCATATTCTCAGAATCATGAATATTCAGTAATACATTAAGGCACACGAGAATGTTATTAACAACCAATCAAACAGCTGAGATACGAAGATTGATGTATACAAGATAATAATTAAACTTTAACAAATTTTTAATTATCTTTTATTATTAAGATCAGAAATTAAAATTCTTCCCTAAATATTATTCTTTTTAATTTTAGAAAACATAATTCTGATGCTTTTCAAAAACAAATAAATGCATTTTGCATATCATGAAGCAATAAATGTTTTGGCAGCAAATTCCATCGTTTGCAAAAGAAGCTCAATTTCGGCTGGGGAACAAGAATGTCGGGTATTCAATAGTGACTATAAAAGCAAATATAAGTCTACTGTCCGTACTATCCTTGTTCCTACCAGCAAATTGAGTTGTCTTATTTATTTCATTAAAAAGGTAAGTTATATACTGTTACTTAAACTTATTTAAAGAAAGAAATTAATTGCTATATAATTCAATAAATATAAATATAAATATATATATTCAGATATAACATTTTAGTCATTGCGTTTCATGAGGTTATTCACTCATGTATAACAAATAGACTGAACGTAGTTTACAAGGTAATTCAAGCAATATTTGAAATAGAAATACATATGTTATTGTCAACTGATAATGTTATTTATTGTTAATCTGTATGATTTATGCACTGTGATATTTTATGATCAAAAAGAAAAGAAAAGAATAATTAAACTATCCTTGTTCCTACCAGCAAATTGAGTTGTCTTATTTATTTCATTAAAAAGGTCGGAAGGCGCGAGTCCCACTCTCGCTGCCAAGCCAGTCCATAACAACGACATGTAGTCCCCAGATAGCCAGACATCTTTCTACCTACAGGAACCGTAGAAGAAGTTAACAAACGTGAGAAGGGAAATCACCATCATGTTTATCAATATAGAAGTCATAAAGCACAATCATAGTCCCACCTTAACAAGTGTTCCCCTGTGAAGTATACAACAAAAAGGACCATAAAAACCTTCACAACACCTATGCACATGATGCAGCGGAGAAACTGATACACCAGCTCATTACCACGAGAGAGAAACAAATACAAATATTTCTGATTCAAACATCTGTCAAGTTTATAAACATCGGCTTTGGCTATACTGTTTTTGGCTTATAGCTCTTCATCTTTTTAATAAACTTTGGATTTTCAAATATTTTGACTTCGAGCATCACCGAAGAGACAATGATTGTCGAAATGCGCATCTGGTGCAGAAAAATTGGTACCGTTTATGTTATTGTATTTATGGTTTTAATACTTGTTTTTTTCATCTATCTGTCAGAATGAAGTTATACAGAATTCTGTTGTGTATTGTATTGTTGGTTCAGACAGGAAAAGGCCAGTTATTGTATCCCGACTATTACAGCTTTCTTCCACAAGCTACCTGTCCTGTAAATACTGATAGTTTCACCAAAAACATTGTTATATTATGTATGTATATTGTATTAACTGTTATATTTAATATTTTTAACCAAATCTATATTTTTGGAAAATTAATCCCATAAGCATGATAAGTAGGTATTTAATATATTTTACGTACAATTAAAAGTAAATGTTTTGTATTTATTTGTGGATGCAATCCCAAATGGCCACATAAATACCACATCTTTCTAATGACTCCTTTGACGGATGTCCTTGATTGTTCGCACCTTTAAATGAAAAAAAATATGTATAATCACCATGAGTGCTGAGTTGAGATGTTTATGATTTCAAAACCGATATAAAAAAAAACAAAATTTCCCCAAGCTTCAGTTTATAACTTAATACGGCCTTTGACCCCTTTGACTTAAAGATCATAAGGGTTCTCCATCACCCTTTAAGGCATAATGAAACCAAGTATAAAAAAGATCTGAGTTTTGGTTCAAAAGATACTTTCTGGAATTGAAACTTTTCACAATATTTCAGTCTATCTATCGGCACTTTGGCCTCGACGATCTAAAAATACTGGTCTTGCTATATCAAAGTTGAATTTTTCAAAAAACTTGTAGGTTGGCTAGAAAAACATCATCTGGATACCAAATGTTTTACATCAGATTCCACAGTACTCTATTTATAAGTTCATTAACTGCAAAACAAATGGAAATACCCCCTCAAGCAAAGAGATATAAACAGCATAAGAGACACATGCTGTACATATGTAAATGAATAAAAGAGATGTGGGTATAAGTCAATGATACAGCAATCATCTTAAGAAACAAACTCTTAAACCAAAAAATAGGACAGGTGCAGATACCTCAATCATAAAGATGCAGTGACTACAGAGACAAACCATGTACATTGTTTGCATGTTGACAGATAATATACATACTCTTCATATCTATTTTAACCATGTAACACAACTTACTTATATAGTCTATGAACATACCCTGATGTCACCAGTTGATGTGGTAAGAATTTTATATTATAAACAAACTGTTCTGCCCAAAGCTTAAAGCTTTCTATATTCATTTTCATTTTTATTATTTGTACTTAGTTTCAAGTTGATATGACCAAGACTTCATGTACCTTAAATCAATTTTTATGCCCCACCTAGGGGTATTATGTTTTTTGGTCTTTTGCGTCCGTTCTTTCGTCCGTTCATCCGTCCGTCCGTCTGTCCTGTTTCAGGTTAAAGGTTTTGGTTAAAGTTTTTGGTCAAGGTAGTTTTTGCTGAAGTTGAGGTCCAATCAACTTGAAACTTAGTACACATGTTCCCTATGATATGATCTGTCTAATTTCAATGCCAAATTAGAGTTTTGACCCAAATTACACGGTCCACTGAACATTGACAATGATAGTGCCCGCTTCAGGTTAAAGTTTTTGGTCAAGGTAGTTTTTGATGAAGTTGAAGTCCAATCAACTTGAAACTTAGTACACATGTTCCCTATGATATGATCTTTCTAATTTTAATGCCAAATTAGAGTTTTAATCCCAATTTCACGGTCCACTGAACATAGAAAATGGTAGTGCGAGTGGGACAACTGTGTACTATGGACACATTCTTGTTTAACATGATACACAACACATAACAGATGTACAGAGAAAAGGACAGAAAACATAATGCCTCCTACTATCCTTATCTTAGCATAAAACAATGATGTCAGAGGTTTGCTCATTTTTGAAGGCCACAAGGTGACCTTTAATTGTTTACAACTTTGTCCTTTGATTTCTGATGTTTTATCATACCATATCTCTTCAAAGCTAGGATAACATAATGCTCTCTACTATCCTAATCTTGCCATAACACTGATGATTACTATCAATAGATATTCCTTACAGATACACAACTGTAAAATAAAATGTGATTGTTCTTTAACCTTTTTCAACTTGACAAAGATGGAGTAGTGGCTAGATGCTTATTAGATATATAAAAAAATAAATCCTAAAAATGAAAACTTAAAACTGCTGCATTAGGTTTATATCACAAAAATTAAAACTGGACTGTACAGCCAATATAATTATAGACTTCTATTTCAGCTCTGTGTGTAACAGTGGGATATGTAATGAATCCTGCTATTTCTACCTCCATATGGAAGAAATGTTTAGACATACCAACACTAGGTGCTTGCAACAGTGAACCAGACTGTGCCAGTGATGGAACTAGATGTGTTCCAAAAGACTCTCTGTAATATTGATGTTTTTCCTCTACAACATTTTTGTCAATTACTTGTCTTATATACATCAATGAATAAAAGAAGTCTGGTGTGGATTTTGTGTCAATTATCAGCATATAAGCCTGACATATTAGGTCAATATAAAATCATTCAATGCACTTATTTCTTTTTATTCGAACCTGAATAATACATAATAGTTGGAAACTCTTCAGAAGTTATGTCTTTTTTCAATTAAAGTTTATTTTAAAATACTAAAGAACATAGTTGTGGGAGAGTACAGAAATCAACAACTTATTACACATCTCAAATTTGGAAGTTCATCTGTTCATCTATAAAATAACAACGACAAAAATGATAAAATATCACAGATTTTATTATTTTCCCATACACTGTTGTTCTGATGTTTATCCAAACAAATCTTACAACTTAAGATACATACAACATATAACCAACCACTGAAAATAAAAACACATGTATTTGTATAAAGTCAAATAAAATTGGTCATTTTTCTTGAAAAAAGAATCACAAGCAAACTTTATGAAAATAAGGAGATTTGTTATAACTGCCAATGAGCATGATGAGACACCTGTTCACCAGTGTTCAAATGAAACTTTGACTGGTTATAGTCTAAAAGACAGCTCTGCAATGACAAAAATATAATTCTAAAAAAATCTGAACTGACCATCTTACCACCATTGCTAATTATATAATTTGAAAAGTTTGAAATAAAAAATTTCTGTAAAAATATAAAATGGGTTGTAAAGAAAATCATTAAGAGATGAACGGTTTTTGATTACATAGATTATTATCTGTTTTTTTTCAATCTAAAAGTAAACATCTAGTCCTCTTCTTTAAGATGGTTATTATCATTTTTATTTTTTGGTAATTTTACACATTTTTACAACTCATTTTTCTTTCAATTCCCAAATGTTTATAGAAACATTCTATTAGAGAAAATCAAAAATATTTTTCAGAAGGTTAAAAAGAATAAAAATATCCATTTTAAGTAGTCAAAGGTACCTTAGCTCCCCTGTTCAATCAAATTGTCATATTTGAATTATAACATACTAAAACCTATGGTCTCATCATAATGTATCAGCATTTCTTGTGTATTTTAGAGTAGACACCATCTAAATTTCCATACGTAAACTGCTATAACCTGATGTAAACATAAACATAAAAATACAGACAAGCACATGCAATAGTATAATAAGGATTTTCTGGGTCTGTTTGATGTCATTGTTTAAAAAAACATGTAAATGATTGTTTTACCTGTATAAGAATGATTTTTGTGTGTGCAGAACCAGTCGACAAAATGGTCCCTTGTTTCACTTTTCAATGTTGACATTTTTTTTCTTAAAACTGAATTTGCTTAGCTCATGCATAATCCATCAAGGGGAATCTCTAGCTAAGGGTAAAATTGAAGGTCACATTAATACAGATTCAAATAGGTTGACTTGCAATTTCGACAAAATTGAACCAAACAGACTGGTAAAGCAAAATGTTGTTTCAAAATTCCACTTTTATAAAAGTTAGAAAAAAAATCATATTTCATTTTTTTTTTTTAATAAATCTTATGCCCCTGCCCCTTTTACATAATACTTTTCATTAAAAAATTCTATAAAAGACAGTCTAAAATATACTTGTGATATGACAATTTCACAGTATGATTTATGTGTGGAATATCTCTGACATATAAAATATTTGTGTCAACACAAACTGTCAGATGATACTCATGTACAAGTACAATAAATATAAATACTAAATTCATAAATCATGCTTTACAATAATGAAATATATCAACAAGTTTCATAAAAATGTTAGTATCTAAATTAAATATTAAGTCAATAAACTAATGGAACATCAAGGTTCTTATTCAATCATGTATATTAAGTATGAATTTCTGCAATAAGGTTTGTTCTATAGTCTTTTAAAGTATTAATGTCATACGTAGAATCACCAATCAATAAAACTGAAAAGCTACAGGATTAAATAACTTTTAAAATATTGTTTCAGATATGTACAATAAGTTAGACGAAGATATCTGTCATATTAATTATGATATTTTATTATCAACTGTTAAATTATTCTATCCCCAATGAAATTTCATTAGCATTTATCAAACAATTAAGGTAAAAAGAGATGCTTGCAAGTTTCTGTTGCATAAAGGTAATCTCAATAATAAACTATCAGATGATCCAAGTTTATAATTAGAAAGGTCTGTATGACGTTGGATATTTAACCAACATCCAGTTTGATGCATAATTCTCACAGTGGGTCCAACCCAGTTTCTTGTACATCTGTAAAAACAATTGAGAAAATAAAATCACATCATTTAACATAATATTTAATTTTTATGTCAAATATAAGACTAAAAACAATCATAGCTTGCATTGGGCACTTGTTCAAGATTTCAGGTACCTGGTATTTAACAGATTTTTCTTTCTGATGAAACATTGAAGATTTTACTGATAACAAATTATATCAAATTTCTTGTTTTAAATGAATCATTATATTGAATGATGTCCTTTACTTATATAACTACTGATGAAGGGAATATAAGTTTGTTGGCTTTTGTATGAAAAAGTAAAATCACTAGACATAAACAATTTTCTTTAGTTTCTGTTTCATATATTTAAAGAGTTGTTGACTTTTTGAAATTAGGTTTAAACTTACAAGTACCTTGGTGAATATTGAATCCATTTATCACTATCATGAATAGGAATACAAACTGATTTAATGTTGTTGCTTTCTTATGTATTGGAATTTTGTAACTGTTGATGACCTTACTCTGACTTTTCTGTCTGTAAAGCTGATGCGGTTTTATTTTATCCTTTTTTTAAATTTGTCTCTCAGTTGTCTTGTGTGGGTCACATTTTTTTGGTGTGTACAACATTATGTGTTATTTGAGAGAATAACTTACATCAATAGCGTAGATTTATCCTCTGACTGTGAGAGAATCGCTTACCTCAAAACATTTTTTCAACCATATGTGGTGTAAATTTATCCTCTTGACTGAAAGATTTTTTTTTTTATTTATATCTGGATTCGATTGATCTTCTGACTGATGGAAGACTTTTACGTCGATACATCATTTTATTCCTACTTGTGTAGATTTATCCTCCGACTGTTAGTGAGAATTATTAACCTTGATACATGTTTTGTCCATCTTTGGTCTAGATTTATCATCTAACTGTTTAAAAGAATTGCTTACTTTGATACATTTTTAAAACTGTATCTGGTGTAGATTTTCACTTTAAATCGCAAGAGAACAACTTACCTCTATACAATTTTTTTCTTGTCTAGTGCTCTGACTGTGGGGGATAACTACTTACCTCTACACAATTTTTATACTGTAGCTGGTGTAGATTTTTCCTCTTACTCTCAAGAGAATTACTTACCTTGATACATTTTTTTTATCTGTATCTGGTGTAGATTTTCCTTCTGGCTCACAAGAGAACTACTTACCTCGATGCATTTTTTATCCATATCTGGTGTAGATTTATCCTCTGATTGTTTCAATAGAAGTTTCAAAGCCCTTCCATACTGTTGGTTAGCCCTAGCATGTAATACTGTAAACTGTGACATCTGTAATACATAACAATAATTATATATTAAATATGTGTATACAGTGTTCACAGTATTTTTATTATAATTCATCCATAAGAATTCGAGTAATATGATAAAAATAGCATATAAATAAGGGCCTACCGTTTCTGATCCAAAATTCAGAAATATACTGTAAATTCAGAAATTAATGCGAGGTTTTTATTTTAATAATGTGACTCTTTGAATATCGCAATAATAAGAACTAGCATTCTGATATATGATACATATATATGTATGAAGCTTTTCCTAAAATCACAATCATTAAACTAGCATTTTTGTTCATTCTTCAAAAATAGCAATAATAAATGCATGCAATAATTTCTGAATTTACAGTAAATAATTTGAAATATAAAAGCAGATATGTGTACTATGTAAATGGAATCTTACATGTCTCTCTCTTTCACTTACATCTAAAGCTAAACGTCATTTAGTATTAAGTTGTTCTACTGAAAGGTTCAACTCCAATACTTTACATATATTTCTGCCTTCTGCTTATAATCCTTCATCCCAGTGGGCTTTAATAGAGAAATGTGTGCTGTATAAACCAGAATGGTCATTAATATACATACAGTATGAGTTTTTCTCATTGTTGAAGGCCGTACGGTTGCATATAATTGCTTACATCCACTTCATTTGAACTTTGGTGGATAGCTGTCTCATTGGTATTCATACCACATCTCCTTATTTTTATACTAACCTTGTCATCATTGAGATCTATCCATCTCTGTAATGTTTGGTAGGTTTCATTCAGATCTTGTAATGTGACCTCTGGCAGTAAAGCTCCCTCCTCTTCCTCAACCTCTCCACCATTCTCCCTCATCAGGATGTCAGCCTCAGCACAAGCAAGCTTCACTAGAGATTCTATTAACATCTCTTTCTGTTTGTCCATTTCTCTAAAGTAAAACAGCTTACATTTAAATTTTCATCAAATTTTATTTATCTATCAATGTATTACTTGTGGAGGGGGAGGGGGGAGTCTCAACATACAAATTTGGGTACAGATGTCTGGCTGGGGTTTAAAAATACCCAACTTTTCATATATTGCTTGATGCGAAAAATCCCTTTCCATTCATATATTTCATAGGAAAATCACAACCCATTTATTTTAATTGTATATAATGAATCTCAACAGTTGGCAATAGCTCACAGTAAAATAACCTTCATTTGGTAATAAACTAAAATCTTTAACAATTTTACACATAATTTTCTTGTGCTTTTTTATAAAACTGAAGAAAAAAATCCTAAAATTAATTTTCACAATGTATAGAAAAATACTGGAAGGACAATAGCTATTTATTGATGTTCAAATCTCTAACTTTTTAAATATACCTTGTACTGTCTATTATCACTGAGACATTGGAACAATATAACTTACTTCAATGATGTTTCAGTTTTAAATTAAAATACATGCAACAATGGAGTGTAGGTTTCTATGTCAAGATGTTCATAGATATTAAATATCTGTCCTATACAAAATACCACACATATTCAATACCTATAAACAACTTGACATCAGAAACTTACACCCCATTGGTTCATGTATTTGACAAACGCATTATTTCTTACTTTTTAATGACAGTAGCTTCGGGTCTTGGATCAGATTTCATTCCATAGTAAGCAAACAGAGCATTCTGGTCAATTTTAGAACTAACAACCTTGGCTAAATCTATAATCTCTACCAACTTCTTTGATCTGTCCTGTAAAAGAAGATAAAACAACCCAGGTTATATCAAATATCTGTAACTAATTCTTTAACTTACACTCAAAATAAAAGACATGCAAATTAACAAGAGTGCTGAAAAGTATAGCATGATTTACTGATCATCCCTGAAATCTATGTTGAAAGATTTCAAGAACAAGAATGTGTCCATAGTACACGGATGCCCCACTCGCACTATCAATTTCTATGTTCAGTGGACCGTGAAATTGGGGTCAAAACTATAATTTGGCATTAAAATTAAAAATATCATATCATAGGGAACATGTGTACTAAGTTTCCAGTTGATTGGACTTCAACTTCATCAAAAACTACCTTGACCAAAAACTTTAACCTGAAGCGGGACAGACAGACGGACGAACGGACAGACGAAGGAACAGACGCACAGACCGAAACACATAATACCCCTAGGTGAGGCATAAAAGATATTACAACAGGTATCACAAAAACTCAACATTATCAATGATCCATGAAAATTAGGTCAAGGCAAGATGGACCTTGTTGTAACAAATATGTAAATCAAACAATCCTAATTGCCTCTTTTTATGTGGAATTTGGAGTTTAACATGAATAAAAGAAAATAGCTGATGGCCAAATACTGCACTTATATTTGCCCTCAATATTCGGGCAAGCTATAAAAGGGCCCGAAATGACAAATGTAAAACAATTCAAATGAGAATTAAAACTAATGGACTGATTTATGTACAAAACAATAAATGAAAAACAAATATGATTTACAGCAACCAACAACTACCCCTGAATTACAGGCTCCTGACTTGGGACAATCACATACACAGTCTGCACCGTTAGCAAGTAGTCAGATGCCCCAGACTAGTAAAGTTTTATTCTGACTAGTAAGTTTTTGTAAAACTTTGTTCAGCCACATAAGAAAAATGTTGGAATATTGGTCTTCTGAATAAGTGTTGGAAAAGATTTTGGTGCAGACTGAATACAGAATCTGGCCCATTTTATCCTTCCTGCAAGGTGCAAACAATACTCTCAATGAGAAGATTTGACTGAGCATTTTTGTTATGGGACATTATTCTCCCTTAGCATTTGCTATCATGAAAATTTAATCAATACTGTAATTGTCATCAAAATACATCAAGCCATGATGTTCTAAAATTAGTCAAACAGACTAACAGTGTAAAGTCATTCAGTGCTCTTAAAATGTATGATTTTCAGACCGAAAAAAGCATGGCATGCATTTGGACATGTCATGTTATGTTATGATTTCTCTTTGCTAGAGGTTGGCAACTATACTGGCAATGACTATACAACATTGTTAAAACTTAAAATTATTTGGATCAGCAATAATATAAGATGTAAACAATGCAAATAACTGTTTAATTTACAACTAGTTATCGATGAAGGAGGAGTGACAGATACAAATAACTGTTTAATTTACGACTAGTTATCGGTGAAGGAGGAGTGACAGATACAAATGACTGTTTAATTTACAACTAGTTAGCTGTGAAGGAGGAGTGACAGATACAAATGACTGTTTAATTTACAACTAGTTATCGGTGAAGGAGGAGTGACAGATACAAATGACTGTTTAATTTACAACTAGTTATCGGTGAAGGAGGAGTGACAGATTCAAATAACTGTTTAATTTACAACTAGTTATCAGTGAAGGAGGAGTGACACATACAAATAACAGTTTAATTTACAACTAGTTATCGGTGAAGGAGGAGTGACACATACAAATAACTGTTTAATTTACAACTAGTTTTTACAACTAGTTATCGGTGAAGGAGGAGTGACAGATACAAATAACTGTTTAATTTACAACTAGTTAGCGGTGAAGGAGGAGTGACAGATACAAATAACTGTTTAATTTACAATTAGTTAGCGGTTAAGGAGGAGTGACAGATACAAATAACTGTTTAATTTACAACTAGTTAGCGGTGAAGGAGGAGTGACACATACAAATGACTGTTTAATTTACAACTAGTTAGCGGTGAAAGAGGAGTGACAGATACAAATGACTGTTTAATTTACAACTAGTTATCGGTGAAAGAAGAGTGACAGATACAAATAACTGTTTAATTTACAACTAGTTATCGGTGAAGGAGGAGTGACAGATACAAATAACTGTTTAATTTACAACTAGTTATCAGTGAAGGAGGAGTGACACATACAAATAACTGTTTAATTTACAACTAGTTATGGGTGAAGGAGGAGTGACAGATACAAATAACTGTTTAATTTACAACTAGTTATCGGTGAAGGAGGAATGACAGATACAAATAACTGTTTAATTTACAACTAGTTATCGGTGAAGGTGGAGTGACACATACAAATAACTGTTTAATTTATTTCTAGTTATTGGTGAAGGAGGAGTGACACATACAAATAACTGTTTAATTTACAACTAGTTATCGGTGAAGGAGGAGTGACACATACAAATAACTGTTTAATTTACAACTAGTTATCGGTGAAGGAGGAGTGACAGATACAAATAACTGTTTAATTTACAACTAGTTATCAGTGAAGGTGGAGTGACACATACAAATAACTGTTTAATTTATTACTAGTTATCGGTGAAGGAGGAGTGACACATACAAATAACTGTTTAATTTACAACTAGTTATCGGTGAAGGAGGAGTGACACATACAAATAACTGTTTAATTTACAACTAGTTATCGGTGAAGGAGGAGTGACAGATACAAATAACTGTTTAATTTACAACTAGTTATCAGTGAAGGTGGAGTGACACATACAAATAACTGTTTAATTTATTACTAGTTATCGGTGAAGGAGGAGTGACACATACAAATAACTGTTTAATTTACAACTAGTTATCGGTGAAGGAGGAGTGACACATACAAATGACTGTTTAATTTACAACTAGTTATCGGTGAAGGAGGAGTGACACATACAAATGACTGTTTAATTTATAACTAGTTATCGGTGAAGGAGGAGTGACACATACAAATAACTGTTTAATTTACAACTAGTTATCGGTGAAGGAGGAGTGACACATACAAATAACTGTTTAATTCACAACTAGTTATCGGTGAAGGAGGAGTGACAGATACAAAAAAAGGCATGAAAGCACAATGTCATGTAGATTAATCATACATTGTCTCAAAATATAAAATTCATTTGTACAGGTCAAATGCAAGACTTGCTGAGCAATACTATTTTTTTAATAGTCAAGCATAAAGAAAGTTTAAGTTTTGAGACAATGTATGGTTGTTTATGTTACACTGCAAATCTAACAACTATTCCAAATATAACATTTTGTGTAGAAACAAATTTAAAGGTGACAATGTAAAAATTCTGCAAACCTGCATTCTTTCACAATGTCATAAATAACACATTACATTATCAATGATACAAACAAGGTTTTATAGCATCAGTGACTGTATATCACAAATTTCTATACTGTCAATACACTTTGACTGAGCAAATAGCACAGCCAAGTATAAAATGATTTATACTAAAAGCTTCAGTAAGATTTATAGAATAACCTACCTTGCAGGTGTCTAAAGCTTGTAGTCTACATATACAATGGTAAATGATCTGGATAGGTCTGTCTTAGTTCATCATACAGAGGGTTATCAGTAAGATTTATAGAATAACATACCTTGCAGGTATCTAAAGCTTGTAGTCTAGACATACACAATGGTAAGTGATCTGGATAGGTCTGTCTTAGTTCATCATACAGAGGGTTATCAGTAAGATTTATAGAATAACATACCTTGCAGGTGTCTAAAGCTTGTAGTCTACATATACAATGGTAAATGATCTGGATAGGTCTGTCTTAGTTCATCATACAGAGGGTTATCAGTAAGATTTATAGAATAACCTACCTTGCAGGTATCTAAAGCTTGTAGTCTACATATACAATGGTAAATGATCTGGATAGGTCTGTTTTAGTTCATCATACAGAGGGTTATCAGTAAGATTTATAGAATAACCTACCTTGCAGGTATCTAAAGCTTGTAGTCTACATATACAATGGTAAATGATCTGGATAGGTCTGTTTTAGTTCATCATACAGAGGGTTATCAGTAAGATTTATAGAATAACCTACCTTGCAGGTGTCTAAAGCTTGTAGTCTACATATACAATGGTAAATGATCTGAATAGGTCTGTCTTAGTTCATCATACAGAGGGTTATCAGTAAGATTTATAGAATAACCTACCTTGCAGGTGTCTAAAGCTTGTAGTCTGGACATATACAATGGTAAATGATCTGAATAGGTCTGTCTAAGTTCATCATACAGAGGGTTATCTAATTCAAGTCTGAAATAATGTATTATTATAAATGATTAAACTTGTTTAACTTAAAGAAATCGATAATTATGCCAATATACTAGGTATTTTACGACTTATAAATAACTGGGCTAACTTACCATTAATTAAAAGGTGTTGAAACATTCAACTTATCTGCATTCAAAATAACATAATTCATCAAGGGTTCTCTGGAACCCTGTGCTGCGCCTGCTGCTGTTAGTGTAAATGTGTTATGTTGCCTGCCAAAAACTTAGTTTTTTTTTTTAAAAATGTTTTCTTCAGAAGATATTTCTTTATCTTGAAGAAACTTCTGTCCAAGTCTCATAAAGTTCCATGAGATGTGACAACGTTATTGATATCTGAAAAACTTTACCCCCAGATTATATCTAAATGTTAACTGCAAAAAAATATTTCCTTTTATCAGTAAGATAAGGGAAAATGAAAAAAAATTTGTCAAACATTTTCTCTGGATACTGTCTCTTGATCATAAATAAGGTTCTGTCCAAGTTTCGTAAAATTCCATGAAGGTTTGACAAAGGTATTGATGTAAAAAAAAAACTTTAATCACAGACTGTACTTAACATTGACACTGCAGACAGAATGAAGCATTACTGTGTAATATTTCTGTGATGAAAAGGTCACAGGCTCAACAAAAAGTCAGCAGTATTCCTGAAGTATTTATGCAGAAAAAAAATAATCAACTATTCCTTTTAGTTCCTTTTTTGTTCATGAAGGTATCCATGATTAAAAGGAGATGGAGGGTTTACAAAATGAGACAGCAACCAAACAACAACAAAAAGACATCTATCAGTCAATATACTGATATATCTGAATAATGGATAAAGTTATATATCTACATTATGTCACATTCTATATTGCCTTGAGTCTAAAAAGTTTGTGAATTAACTAAACAGAGACCACCAAAGAACTGCCACCAACACCTAATTCACTAAATGACAAACAACATGAAGATATAACCACTGAGGAGGTTCCTGATTTGTGACAGACATGTGCATAGGAGCTTATATAACAGCAGACTATATACCAATGGATTAAAATATATATTTCTTCATATTGTTTGATTTATTAAAAATGTTTTATTAGTCTCTAACAATTTAGAGCTTGAAATATTGCATAGACAATGGATTATTAATTAAGACTATATGTTACCGTCTAGAAATCTTTATTTATTTTTCCTATTAGGTTGCTGTCTCAATGACATATACACCAAATCTCCTTTAATTCATTTACATAAAAAAAACTTTACATTTTGAAGTCATTAACATAGTTGAGGAGAGGAATCGTGCACATAATGAGTGCTGATGCAACTGTTTTACAAAAATCAATGATGTATCATCAGTGCTTACCACTTTTCTATAATGGACCTGATAAAAAATATTAATATTAGTTGTTAAAAGATGAAGCTATTAACATTGCTGGAAAATTAAAACCTAGTTTTAACATGGTGAATCATTTGCTGGGGTCAAGACAAAACTTCAAGGACATTTAAAATCAATTCAAATCAAAATGCACTTAAAATTCTTACTTGGACAACCAAGATATTTTCAGATCTCTAATAGCTTCATCATATTCTTCTACTTTGGTCTTTTCTTTCCCTGCTGACTTCTCAGATTTATCTTTTCCTCCATTTTTGTTCTTTTTAGGTGAGTCAGTGATAACATACTTGAACTGAACACTTCCCTGAAAATAAACATAAATAATGAAATTTAACATGGATAAAATATGAGTTTGAAACATATCTTCAGCTGTGTGGAAATTGCCTTTGTCATGTGGTAAAACTATATACGTAAAATGAGTGGACTAGCCTTTAAAGAAGACGGATCTCAAATGGAAAGAACATAAAAGAGAAACCAAAGCACTAGTGATTTTTATCTGACCTGTCTCTGTGAACTATGTTGTGGTAAATTGACAATTAAAATATGACATTTACAACATAACTTTAAAGAATGTGTAACAATAAACTCATCATAGATACCAAGATTGAAATTTTGTAAGCCAGACGCGTGTTTAGTCTACAATAGACTCATCAGTGACGCTCAAATCAAAAAAGTTAAAAAGGCCAAATAAAGTAAAAAGTTGTAAAGCATTGAGGACCCAAATCAAGTTTTTACTGCATTTGTGTATAAATAGTGAAAACAAGATGATGCACCAATATTAATGTTAATTATACCCTCAATTCAAAGTAGGTCAGTAGACTTTGAGAAAAGTGTGATAACAATATGTGTTTCAATCAACATATTGAACAATTTAAAGTTTCTGCAAACAGGAAGTAGATGTGTAAGATCTGCAAAGCTCTCACACATTACAACCTGTGACTGTTAAGCTGCTGACCAAACATGAAGTCATTCTGTTTAGTTCTTGAAAAAGTGTAGCTTAAAAATTTGTTGTATTAACAGACAAAAGGACAAATGCACAGACTGATGAATGGAGGAAAAAAGTAATTGCAATATAAATGGGGTATAAAAAAAAATTTAATTAGTTCACTACTACAATCATATCAACTATGCGCCATTACAAAACACCTGAAATAATTTCATTCTGGTTATATTTCAATATCCATCTTCACCATGTTATCATAAATAAACAACATACTGGTTTACTCATTAATTCATCCTTAAATAAAGTCAAAGTTCCACACAAGTAATATCCAGGCTTAGCTCCCTTTGGTATTCTACAAAATAAATAAAATTCTATCAGCATGTCTCAATTTTATAAGCTACATTCAGTAAATCAATAACAAACATTCTGATCAAAGAACTGACAATAAAGCGTATATCTTAAATCTAAGCTGAAACTAGAATGGTCGTATAAAAGGAAACAGTCCTGATAACTCTGTGAAATATATTTAACAAATAAATTTCATTTTAAATGTAAATGGATTTCACATAAATTTAATCTTAAATACTGTTTTCCCTTAACTTCACCATGTGTAAATAGATATCATGTGTAAATAGATATCATGTTGTGTAAATAGATATCATGTGTAAATAGATATCATGTTGTGTAAATAGATATCATGGGTAAATAGATATCATGTTGTGTAAATAGATATCATGTGTAAATAGATATCATGTTGTGTAAATAGATATCATGTGTAAATAGATATCATGTGTAAATAGATATGAACTATTTTCACATGAAATTTAGATTTCAGCTCATTTCATTTGATAAATTCCATACATTTGTAACATGGCTTCTCTAGAGAAAAAAGGTGAAAAAGGCTTTATTTGGTATATTAAATGAGGTATAACAAAAGAGTGCTCACATTGAAAAGTCTTATCCAGGAAATTGACTTAATCATGAAAACTGAGGTCAAGGTAAAGTGAACTATCTAAGCTCAGTTGTTTTTTGCTTTTTTTTGTTTAGTTTTTTTTGTTTGTTTTTTGTTTGATTTGTTTTTTGTTTTTATTAATTCATTTCCTTGTTGTATTTTGTGTTCACTGAGGTTGTGATTTTGAATCTCATCGAATTACTCATAATAAATGAAACAAATAATTTGATGAAAAAAAGTATGCAAAACATAATCTGAAGTAAAAATTTGCATTTTATATTCTGTAATACCCACTTACTTGTCAGAAGGCAGTGGTCCTATATAGATGGGATACAAGTCATCTTTATCTATTGTAGCTGATCCCATCTTTTTATTATTGATAGCCTTTGGCCATGTATTATATACATCTAGTGCTATACTAGACTGTAATTTATGGTTCAGAACAATGCTAAGATCCTTTAGTCTTTCCAACTGATCTTTTTTCTCATGTCTCACTTGTAGAATAATGGTGTAGTCTCCCTTCTCCAATTTAACATTGTACTGAAACAGATTACACATTATAATTTCTAAGCATAGAAAACTATCATATCGTTACTGTAGAGGACAGAAAAGAGATTCAATGATTAAATCATAAACTGAACCGGTCTTGTTTTTTGCTTTATGCTGTTTATTTTTGGCTAAATTGATTAAAGTCTTTCATTAATTATCAAATTTCTTTCTGATTACTATACTAACTAGAGGTTTTAAAGTGCCTGTGTCGATCACCTAGGTCTAGGTGCAATCTTCAACAATGGACACTCTCCAACACTGTGGACTAGAATAGAAGTCATGACAAAAATCTCTTTTTTGTTGATCTTGTATTGCTGATCATTTTGTCTGTTTACAATTTCATTCTATCTTTTTTAATTTTGCCCCAAAACACAAAAAAGGGTAAAAAATAATCATCATTTGAGGGCAATCACTCCTATAAAGAGTCTACAGACGATTTCAGCATAATTTAGCTTATTTGTAGATCTTGTCTTGCTGATTATTTTTTCTATTCATAAAGTCAATCTATCTTTTATAGTTTTCCAGATATTAGGCAAAAATGCAAAATATTGGTAAAAATTTGTAAGGGGTGTGAAGAACCCAGTATCTCGCCTGTGATTACTGCTGTCAGTGTAAAAGAGTAATATTGACATAAAAGGGAGTCCATTTATCAGTATACTACAGAATTTTAAAAAAAATCCAAACTTTTTTTAGATGCTATTTCTAGGTCTTGAAGATTAGCTTCTGTCAAAGTTTCATAACAATCCATGAAGGTTTACAAATTTACCATGTAAAAAAAATTTAATCCCAGACTGTCTGTAAATGTTAACTGTAAAAAACGAAGTCCATCTATCAGAAAAATACTAAAAATGAAAAATATATATTTTCAAAGGTTTGCTTCAGACATTATCTCTTAACCATTAAAAAGCTTCTGCCAAAGTTTCATAAAACTCTATGAAGGTTTGACAAAGTAATTGATGTGCAACAAACTTTGACCCCAGACTGTATCTACTTGTTAACTGTAAAAAAACTAAGTCCATTTATCAGTAAATAGCGGAAAAATGAAAATAAATATTTTCAAATATTTGCTCTGGATACTGTATTTTGGTCATAAACAAGCTTCTGTCCAAATTTCATAAAATTCCATGTAGGTTTGACAAAGTTGTTGATAACTAAAAAACTTGAACCTAAGACTAAATTTGAATGTTAACTGTAAAAAAAAAAAACTAAGTCCATTAATCAGTAAAATATGGAAAAATGAAAATAAATATTTTCAAAATTTTACTCTGGTTACTGTATTTTGGTCATAAACCAATTTAAGTGCAATAACTCCTATAAGAAGTCGTTGAAGCATTTTTTGATGTAAATTGACAAAAGGTAGATCTCATCATTCTGAACACTTCTGCCTCTTTCAAATTTTCTCCATTTATAATAGTTTTAAAGGTAATAAACAAAACTTTCAATTTATCCCTTATGTTCTATTTTTAGCCATGTCGACCATGTTGGTTGGCAGGCAGGGACATCGGAAATTTTTTTAACTGCTTTTGAGCACTGAGGGGATAAAGATTTCATTCAATTTGATTTGTAATTTTAAAACTAATTATAGCATTATTAGGAACTGAAACATACCTATGAGATCTTTATACTAAATCCTTTAGATGTGTACTGATTGATACTTTTAATAGTCTCAGACAGAACATGATTTATTTATTAGTTGTTGTTAGCTTTGAACTAGCTTTCAGTAACTGCGAGTACTATTTTTTTCAAAACTTTGTGTCTTTTGTTTTGATGTTAATTGTGCTTTGTACCAATGTATCAAGTTTAGCCATTTCCAACTGATTTTTACCGTTTATTCATATATTGTGCTGTTACACCACTGTCCAAGGTTAGGTTTACCTGGCTACATTCAATATGTAGGTTTACCTGGCTACATTCAATATGTGCCTGTCCCAATTCAGAAGCCTATAATTCGTTGGTTGTAGCTGTTTCATATCTGTCATATTTGTTTATCGTTTATTGTTTTGTTATAAATCTGGTTATAGGTTTTCTTGTTTGAATTGTTTCACATTTTGTCAAGACAGGGCCTATCCAATAACTTTATTTACCTTGCTGGCATAAGCATCTCCTGTTCCTAAGCACTGTTTATTGCTATCATACAACATCCAGATCTGACTTTCATATTCTGATTCATACAACATGCTGCTTAACAATGTACAGTCAGGGAACACTTCCACTGATTTGTCCTGTAAAACAAACAAAAAGAAATATAAAACATGCTGCTTAACAATGTATAGTCGGGGAACATTTTAACAGATTTGTCCAGTAAAGTAAAAGGGTAGCTGCGCCAAGAGCACATGAAACATCCTTCTTGTGCATATTGAAATTGGTGCGAAACAAAATGGAATATTTAGAAGGCATTAAATAGAAGTGAGTAAAATGGTGTATAAATATTATGTCAAATGTGACTGTTAAAAGTCCCATAACTAGGGAACACCAAACCAGAAATTTGTTTACATCAAAAGGGAGTCTAAATTCACAAATCCCCAAAACAGTGTAAAGTCCATAAAAATCTGGAATGAAAAATGATGTTTATGTAAATCAATCAAGACATACTCAAGTTATGGTACAAAATGCAAAAAAATTACTTAAATATGATAGTTAGTACAGTAACTCTGGAGTGTCAAACCAAAAACTATTGAAAATCTTAAAGGAGATTTCTTTATCAATCCCAGCAATGGTATAACGCTTTGAGGAAATCAATCCCTACATACTGGAGTATATGTGTGCAATATATGAAGATTTCCTCAAATCTGACTGTTAAAGTCCCATGACTCTGGAAAACACAACAAGAAAATTTTCAAAATTGAAAGGGGGCTTTCGTCAATCCTCATGCTGTGTTAACATTTTGTGAGAATTGGTTCAAGCAAAGTTGAGTTATCCTACAAACTGTTGATATACGGATGGACAGATGGACAAACAGACAAACTACAGTATACCATGATACGTCTTGTCTATCAAGTCAAGGGAATTTGTGCTTCTGATCTCAAGAACATATGATAAATATGAATCAACATCATGCAATATTTCTAAGTTTAATAGTTAATTTCTCCAAGTAGTTATTTCTATTTGCTTTTAATATCATTTTATTAATTTTCTAATGTTTACAATAAGATGTGTTTGTATAATTAAAACTTACAATATGAAAACTATAGGTCAACTCCAGTGCAAAGATATGCCTGTCATTTGGCAGTACATCTCTGGGTCCATTCAAACATTTGATCTTGTATTCTGTTGGCCTGACAATAGAAATAAGTAGTACATCTACAGCATGTAAACAGTCACAATCAAAAGTCTGAATAACATTTCATGATTATAAACCCATTAATTTCATACAGGCAAGAAAAGGCAAATCATATGTATAATAAAGCTTTTTTACTTTTGTGGAATCATTAAATGTTTTATGCAAACATCCAAGGGTAATAAAAGAAACAATTCCTCATATCTTTCATTATAAAAGGCAAAGTAAGAATTTAGCAGAATTAAACCAGATATATTAGGATTGATTGAATTGGTCTGCTATTGTTCTCAGGATTGGGAAACATGCAAAATCTGTTACATACTTAAGAGGCTGACATAAAGTCTTCAGTGAAATGGATGGAGAAATTTCTTCTGGTTTCAATGTAGCCTTGACATCATATCTCATAATTCCATCTGCTCCATGCTTAAATAATAGAATTTAAACTAGATTACAGGCATAAAATAGATCATGGATACAAGTTAACCATTTATAGTTGTTGCCATAGTAAAGCATCTCAAATGGGCTTTTGACATAAAATAAATATATTCTATTTCCTTTAACTCACAAAATTTTAAATAAATGGAGAATGTGTCCATGCCATGGACACAGATGATGCCCCTGCTTTCATATAATGTTATAAAGGGACATAACTAGAAAACTGTAAAAGTGACGCCACCCAAAATTAAACTTGATCTGTGTTTTGTGGTAATAAGCATTGTGTATAAGTTTCATAACCTTTGGTTGAGGCAAATTTAAGTTGGAGAACGGAAACCAATTTAGGCACGTATATGCGGACGGACGGACATACAGACGGACGTATAGATGTACGGACGTATTGACGTAAGGACGGACAAGGGTAAACCTTAATGCCTCCTCCGCTACAGCAGGGGCATCAAAATGTATCTTTAGAGAAATCCAAACTTCTGGAAGACTGTGTATATACTGTCATGTGGAAAGTTATTATCTAGCAGTACACCATGGAAGTCAAGGCTGTCAAAGTATTATTGATGATTGAGTATCATTTCTTCTTGGATTTCCTGGTTCAGGATATGTATTTTAATCAGATTGGTGTATGTGTGGAATATAAACAATTTACACACTTACATATACAGGAGACGTGTTATCTATCTGTACACCATGGAAGTTAAGGCTGTAGTTTAGAGTCACATCTCCTAGGTTGGCCCACCACTTAGCTATACACAACTCTAAAGTTCTGTTTTCCTGTAAAAATAGCATACAACTTTAGTTGATTACTTAACTTAATAATACTGCATCAAATAATTTTAATAACTATAAACTATTAACCTCTTAAGAGACAAAGACATTAAAATGTGTTTAAGATATCGCTATTGATCTTGTTCTTCCAAGTATATATATACATGGTTGATACTTATGCTTGTAAAATATATAATAGGTCTGAAAGGATTCCAGGATATGTACTGTAGTTGAAATTCTTATCTTTCTTATACCAGAACTCATCTTCAATGTTAATATTTGCTGGTATTGTTCCAACAGCAATTGAAATCTAATCATTTTATTTTATGTTAATGTATAAACATTCAGTTCTCAAAATCCTGGTTTTAACAACAAATAACTTACTTAAAGATGTTTCCACAGTTCGTCCAATTTATTTTATCTTTGAACTCATCCTAATCTATATATTTGTAATCTTTAAGCTGCTTAATTTTTTTTTTTTGTGAATATTATCTTGTCAACAAGAAGTGTGACAGAGAGAGTGGGTGACAGACAGACAGAATGTGGCAGACAGATGGAGCTATACTCCCTGTAGTGTGAGGAACAATAAACGACACATTTCAGTTATGTTTCAAAATGTTTTGATTATCCTTACCGTAACTTTGAATGTCAGTGTACTCTGACCATTATCGGACAAAGTGAGAAATTTCTCATATTCATGAGAAGAATAGCTGGATTGAGGAATAACTTGTATGGCATGTATCAACATCCTGCATTTCTTCTCCAGATCTGTAGAATTTATCTTGAGGACTAAAAAAAAGAACACAAATATCAACATACAATGAAATCCATTGCTTTAAAAGTTCAATGAACTTCAGACATCACCTCAAAGAATTACACACATGTAATCTTCATTGGAGACAAGTATGTGTCATATGACAGAGAAGCTCATGTATACATGTGTTTATGTTTACTTTTGTTTTATGTCATGAAATTCAAATTTAAAACTGAGGTGAAAATTTATACAGCTGCGCCAAGTGCCCATGATAGGCCATTATTGAAATTGTTGCAAGAATAAAATGGGATATTTCAAAGGCATTTAATCATAAGCAAATAAAAAGGCTCTGTAGAAAAACATGCCTGAGGATACTGTTTTTTATTGAACAGTTTGTTACGTTCACTAATTACAACAATTATGTAAAGTTTCCACTGAATGAACTGATTTTATGCTACAATATGTGAAAAATTTATTTAACTCTGACTATAAAAGTCCCATAACTCTGGAGCGACTAACCAGAAAATTGAAAAAATCAAAAACGGAGCTTCCTTCCACCAATCCCTACAATAATGTTAATTTTGGAGGAAATCAATCCCAACAATAATGTTAATTTAGGAGGAAATCAATTCAGGAATACTTGAGTTAGTGCAGGATTTGTGACAAATTGCCTTAAATGTAATAGTTAAAGTTCTGTAACTTTGGAAAGAAAACAAGAAAATTAAAAAAATCACAAGGGAGGTTCCTTTTATCAATCCCCACAATAATGTAAAGTTTAAAGAAAATCATTTCAGGAATACTGGAGTTAGTTCAGGATTTGTGGAAAATTGTCTTAAATCTAACGGTCAAATTTTTTAAACTCTGGAATGACAAAGCCAAAAATAAACAAGAATGTGTACATAGTACACTGATGCTCCACTCGCACTATCATTTTCTATGTTCAGTGGACCGTGAAATTGGGGTCAAAACTATAATTTGGCATTAAAATTAGAAAGATCATATCATAGGGAACATGTTTACTAAGTTTCAAGTTGATTGGACTTCAACTTCATCAAAAACTACCTTGACCAAAAACTTTAACCTGAAGCGGGACAGACAGACGAACGGACAGAAGGACGAATGAACAGACGCACAGACCGAAAAACATAATGCCCCTCTACTATCGTAGGTCGGGCATAAAAAATTGAAAAGGAGCTTTATTACATCAATTTTAATGTTTTGTAAAGTTATATGGGAATTGGTTAAAGCAAGTTTGAGTTATAGCACTAAGTGTTAACAGACAGACCGCTAGACGGACAGACATTGGAAATGTGGTATACCATAATAGTCCTGTCTTCGACAGAACTAGAAAAAGTCATTGGTATTTACCCTACTACATAAAAAGGTCTTAGCAAGCACTAGTTGTACATGTCTTAACAGTTAAATATTCCAACTACCTGCAACAGTGGCACCATGAGGAACATGTATAAAGTGTCTGTGTATCTGACCTGGTTTAAAACTAACATTACTGTAACTCATTTCACTGTTCAATGTGTCTTCAACTCTGAAATATTAAATACCAATACAATTAATTATTATAAAGTGACTGTGTATCTGTCCTGGTCTAAAACTGGCATGACTACAACTCACTTCACATTTCAATGTGTTCTACTCTGAACAATTAAACTTTATACAATTATAAAGTGTCTATATATCTGTCCTGGTTAACATTGACATTACTGTAACTGATTTCACAATTCAATATATCTATCCACAATAGGTCTCAAGATAAAAGCCAAAAACAGCAAATTATGCTAATAAACTGTTGACACATATATAGATATATCTCAAATGTATGTAATTTTGATAGTATAATGCAAATGATGAAATTAAAAAACTTTAACATGCAACCTATGCCAAATTTTCAAAATCAATGAACCATGAAAAAAACCTCAGTGGAAACGAGAAAATTGCATACCTAATATCGATGACTTATCATATTAAAGTGGTTCCCCTTCAATTGACATAATCACAACTTTGACTTTCAAACTTGGCAAAATTTCCAAAAAATCTCCTTAAAATTGAGATTTGCTAATGAAACAAGTATCATTGATCTACCATTAGTGGTTCTCCTAAAACTGACCTAATAATAAATTTTTAACTTTTAACAAGTGATGGAAATAACTCACAAGAACCTTCAGTCCAATTGAGGAAAAAACGGTAATGCAGATCCAATACATCTCATTATTTTCATAAAAAAAATGGTTGCTAGCCTTTAGATATATAGAAAAGGCTATTTCTAACTACTGTATTCAATATATTTACTCACTCATATTTAACACTGATAGCAATGAGCTAAAGAGAAAGGTTATTAAGTAAAATTTAAACATTTCATCATTCATGAATGACTAGTATTTTTGTTAAAAGTAAATATCTGTTTTAAATGACCTTACTTTTGAGGAATTATAACTGTGACTGGTAATCGTACAACAACACCTTTCTCTATACAGCTGACATCATAACCACGAACCTGAAATAATAAAACATATTAAACTCAAATTACTGTATAATTTGTATTTGTAACTTGAATGCCTTTTAATTTGAAAACAAAGAGACATTACTGAAAAAATCTTTATAATTTGTTTTCAAAACTGTCATCAATATACAAATAAAACAAGTGAAAATGCTAGCTACTACTAGCTACTGCTCACTGATGATACCCCTGCCCAAATATTTTGGTAAACAGGAAGTTGTTGAGTGATGAATCTGAAAACGCATCACATGGTATAGCTGACTTATATAAAACCCTGAAACAAATTTCAGAAATCCTTATGATGTAGTTCCTGAGAAAGCTGCGACGAAAAATATTCATGGGACTGATGGATGGACTGATGGATGGACAGACTGATGGATGGACGGACAGACAGAGGTAAAACAGTATACCCCCACTTTTTTAAAGCGGAGGTATAATAAAGTCATAGTTTTATCTTCATTAATTTTAAATGGGTTACATGCCTTACAATACATATTTTCAATGTATTATAATCAAATCTTTTAAAAGAATACTTTACATTATTGTAGGGATAAAAGTATGTTAACTCACTTTTATAAACTTATTTGTGTATTATGGGACCATCTAAAATATATCTGTATCAAGCTATACCTTGATTCAGATGACACTGTAAACTTCTGTACAGTGGACACCTGTCTGCAGATTTATTTTTCTGGCTGTATTTAGCTACAAATATGTTGGATGCTATATCTTTAGACTTATGTGCATAACATGTACTGAACTTACCTCTTAATAGTAGATGCCTGTCTAGACCAAGAAGGTCAACATTCTAAATGTATTGATCGACTCAAGAGTGCTGCCGCAGGTTAAAACATATGTTCTGTATTAACCTTTGTATAGTAGACACCTACTTATACCAAGAGAATTTATTTATTTATCAATCATAGAGGTGCTGAGTGCAGCCCCCTGGTTACATGACATAGTCTGAATTAACCTCTGTATGGTTGACACCAGTCATGTTCCTTTGTAAATAAGAAACTTGTTGGTACAGCAATCCCTGTAAACCTCATGATTTAATCTTGATTAATCTGTATGTATTCATTAGTTCAGTAGTCTTACCTTGGCATAGATAATACAAGTCTGTAAACTCCACAAATCAATCTTGACATAAGTACTGGATGTATTTGTCAACTCAAGATGTATTGTGCTGGTGCCCTGCTTACATTAGATGATCTATACAAACATCTGTCAGTTGACTTTTGACTATAGGAGTAACTGTGTGTAGTGGACTTATCAGGACTGATTTTTCTGGATGAATTCATTACCTTTAGATTAGTGGTTGGCATGCTACATCACATGTACTATGTACTAACCTCTGTATAGTGGACACCTGTCTGTAAACCTCTTGGATCAATCTTGATATTGATGGTTCTGGATGAATTCATTAGCTCTAAATGTGTTGGGTGCTGCACCCAGGCTGCATCACATGTAAAACACATCTCCATACAGAAATTTATCTTCTCTTCTTGTTCTGCAATGTGTAATTTTCATTCATAAGCATGTTCATATATAAGACAAAATTCTGCCCTGCTGTTGTTAAAAAGGAATATTTATATTGGTTATGATCTTTTGGAAAGTTATTCTGTCTATAGAATCATTATTTCAAAATATTTTAGATGACAGAACTAAAGTAATATTAACTTTAACAAACATTATTTCAAAATATTTTAGAAGACAGAACTAAACTAATATTTACTATAACAAACAGAAATCTCACTAGCCTACTTCTGATGAGTATTGTTCTAAATCCATAACATGTTGGCTCTAATATTTAAGTAAATTGACTTATGATTTATATAACAATTGATCAATTCCAATGAAGAACAAGCTTGTTGCTTTTCAAAATACTAGCAAATGTTCTACTATAAATCACTCTTCATCAATCAAATTCACCAAGAAAATATGAATTTTGAATCGAGCAATTTAAAATTTATTTATGTAAGTGTAAACAAATTTGGCATTTAACTGTAGCACTCACCAGATGTTTGATATGCAAATAGATAAATCATTTTATTCTTGAATCTTTTTTTTTTTACATCTGCAGTCAATGTCAGTATTTATAACTGAAAACTCTCAAAAGGTAAAACAAAAATCTCTGTTCTATTTAAAAAGAGCATGAAATCAATAACTTGTAGTCATGGCCAGAAATTATACAGACTTTATGCATTGTTTGTATTTGGTTTAAACTTTTCACTCTTTCATAAAAACTTCAATCCTTATTAGTCAACTAAAATTGAAAAGCAAAAAAAAAAGCCAAACATTTTCTTCTTTTTGTCATAACATCCTCATAAAGAAATATTCTCACTGATAGGTACATGATACAATTAAAATCCAATATCAGTCCACTTTATGGAAGTTCATACCTGTCTGACAAATCTCTTTGTCACAAAATCGAGGTTCTATGCTAACATTAAATTCTAAAGGTTTAATCAGCTGTCTAGGTTCCCTGAGGTAGATTCCACGCTTCCCACATCCAGTTATCACAGAAAGTTGTACTTTACTTTCTTTCTGTTTGTCAAAACTGACGAGATAGTCCAAGGTTTTCTCTACCTAAAATTTAAATTGGATGATAATTACACAGTAATTACAACTTTAAAAATCAGTCAATTTTTAAAATAATGGTCGAGAGACAAGCTTTAGTCTTTTCATCTTCATTGAGTTAAGGTGTGCCAAATAGAGTTAGTAAATACCTAGAAAGATAACCATTACATTAGGCCTAATCCTTTCCAAAAGTTTGAAATTGTACTAAAATTGAAATGAACTGAACTTTCAATTTAGAAAAGGATAAATAAACACTTAATATAAAATTGCAAAAAATACCTTTCACAGGTCTGTAATAAACTGTTTAAAGCATTCTTAGATATGATATTTTTCAGTTTTATTTTATTTGTAGTACTTAGTATTTTTCTTGTAAATATGAAAATTTCCTGTATGGCTGTCATATCTAAGCAATTTTGATCGAAGGATGAACAGATGTAACCCAGTATTCCACTCCTTTGAAGCAGGAAAATTAAACTTTGGCATAATGCAAGCACTTCAAGTGTCCATTTCGTCAGTTGAGATTATACATGAATTAAACCATTACATAATACAAATCCTAATATATATTTGTTGTAATGATACAAACCAAAAATTTGGAGGCTGAAATTTCATTGGCTGATGTTATAATTACCAGAACAGAAAGAACATATATTTTCTTTCCTGACAGTTAAGTTTATATCTTATGACATATTTGACAGTTGGTTTTATATGACAATAAAATGCTCCGCTGGGGCGCAGCTTGATACGACCGCAGAGGTCGAACCCTGAACAGTTGGGGCAAGTATGGACACAACATTCAAGCTTGATACAGCACTGAATTTGGATTGTAATTAAATATTTGACACAGCATAGGTTTCTCACACAGAATGGAAGTAGTCTAAGAACTTAAATTTTTTTAATTTACCTATTCAAACCATATCATTATTATTTGCTTTTATATATAAATCAGAAATAACCAATTTAAAATGGAAAATTTTAAAGAAAATAAAATGCTTCGCTGGGGCGCAGCTTGATACGACCGCAGAGGTCGAACCCTGAACAGTTGGAGCAAGTATGGACACAACATTCAAGCTTGATACAGCTCTAAATTTGGATTGTTATTAAATATTTGACACAGCATAGGTTTCTGACACAGAAAGAATGTGGTCTAAGAACTTGAATTTTTTTAATTTACCTATTATGGTCCAATGTCCAAAATCAAAAAACATGGTTAGATTCAGCATATCAAAGAACCCCATATATTCAATTTTTGTTAAAATCAAACAAAGTTTAATTTTGGACCCCAACTTGGACAAACTTGAAAACTGGGCCCATAATCAAAAATCTAAACACATGTTTAGATTCAGCATATCAAAGAACCCCAAGAATTCAATTTTTGCTAAAATCAAACTAAGTTTAATTTTGGACCCTTTGGACCTTAATGTAGACCAATTTAAAAAACGGGACTTAAAATTAAAAATCTAAATACACGGTTAGATTTGGAATATCAAAGAACCCCAATAATTCAATTTTTGATGAAATCAAACAAAGTTTAATTTTGGACCCTTTTGACCTCAATATGAACCAATTTGATAGCGGGGCCCACAAATAAAAAATCTTAATTCATGGTTAGATTCAGCATATCAAAGAACCCCATATATTCAATTTTTGTTGAAATCAAAAAAAGTTTAATTTTGGACCCCAACTTGAAAACTGGGCCCATAATCAAAAATCTAAACACATGTTTAGATTCAGCATATCAAAGAACCCCAAGAATTCAATTTTTGTTAAAATCAAACTAAGTTTAATTTTGGACCCTTTGGACCTCAATGAAGACCAATTTAAAAAACGGGACCCAAATTAAAAGTCTAAAAACACGGTTAGATTTGGCATATCAAAGAACCCCAATAATTCAATTTTCGATGAAATCAAACAAAGTTTAATTTTGGACCCTTTTGACCTCAATATGAACCAATTTGATAACAGGGCCTACAAATAAAAAATCTAAATACATGGTTAGATTCAGCATATCAAAGAACCTCATATATTCAATTTTTGTTGAAATCAAACAAAGTTTAATTTTGGACCCCAATTTGGACCAACTTGAAAACTGGGCCCATCATCAAAAATCTAAATACATGTTTAGATTCAGCATATCAAAGAACCCCATATATTCAATTTTTGTTGAAATCAAACAGAGTTTAAATACTGGACCCTATCTTGGACCAACTTGAAAACTGGGCCCATAATCAAAAATCTAAACACATGTTTAGATTCAGCAAATCAAAGAACCCCAAGAATTCAATTTTTGTCAAAATCAAATTAAGTTTAATTTTGGACCCTTTGGACCTCAATGTAGACCAATTTAAAAAACAGGACCCAAAATTAAAAACCTAAATACACGGTTAGATTTGGAATATCAAAGAACCCCAATAATTCAATTTTAGATGAAATCAAACAAAGTTTAATTTTGGACCCTTTGGACATTAATGTAGACCAATTTGAAAACTGGACCCAAAATTAAAAATCTAAATACACTGTTAGATTCGGCATAACAAATAAATAAATGTGATCAAAGATTTTACAAATCTAATGCGCCATACTGTGCAATTAAAGATTACTTCTTGAAATTTTTCAATATTTGAAATTTGAAAAAAAAAAAATATTTGAAGAATAATTCTTTTTAATTTCTGAAATCTGAAATGAGAAAAAATTGGCCCCCCACAATTTCTTTTTATCCCCCCCCCCCCCCTTTTTCCCCCCAAAAAATTCTTTCCCTCAAGATATGGTCATAATCTCAATTCAAATTTCCAATGGAGTTGGCAACCATAATTACCCATTTAAATTTACCATAGTGCTAACTTAATCTATTTTATAATAGAATTAATAAAAATATAGTGTCAAATCTTTCATATGGATTTTTTTGTAAAAAAAAAAGATGAAAACATTTGCAGATATTTTTACTGGTCTTCCTTTATAAATATGCATTTCTTTAAACATAATTTAAAAGCAGTGTAAGGGAAGTAACCAAAACGTTGTATTTGGATTACCTCCCTTACACTGTTTTAGATTATCTTTATTGTTCATTAACCATTACTTTATACATAATTTAAAAGCAGTGTAAGGGAGATAATTTCAATGATGTATTTGATTTATCTCCCTTACACTGCTTTAAATTATGTTTTGTACTAAAGTATTTGTCCATTAACCAGGACAACCTTGTTTTTCCCCCTTTTTTGCCCCTAATTCCTAAACGGTTTGAGCCATAACCCCCCAAAGCAAATCCTAACCATCCCTTTGTGGTATGGAAACTTGTAGTATAATTTCAGAGAGATCCATACACCGTTCCACAGTTATTGTCTGGAAACTAGAAAATGCTCATTTTTGGCCCCTTTTTGGCCCCTAATTCCTTAACTGTTGGTACCATAACCCCCAAAATCAATCCCAACCTTCCTTTTGTGGTATTTAACCTTATGGTCAAATTTCAAAAAGATCCATTCACTTAAACTAAAGTTAGAGTGCGAAAACCAATATGTATTCGGACGACGACGCCGGACGACGACGACGCTGGACGACGACGACGACGACGACGACGACGACGCCAACGTCATACCAATATACGACCACAAAATTTTTTTGCGGTCGTATAAAAAATGAAAAAAAAATCCCCCCCCCAAATTTTTTGAAACCCCCTTATGATTCATCACCCCCAAACTCAATCCCAGCCTTCCCTTTGTGGTATGGTACCTTGCAGTACAATTTCAGAGAGATCCATACACTTGAACACAAATTATTGTCTGGAAACTAGAAAAATGCTTGGGTTTTTTGCACCTTTTTGGCCCCAAATTCCTAAAAGTTTAGGGCAATTACCCCCAAACTCAAACCAAGCTTTCCCTTTGTGATATGGAACCTTGCAGTACAATGTCATAAAGATCCATACACTTACACACAAGTTATTGTCATGAAACTAGAAAAATGCTTGTTTTTTTGCCCCTTTATGGCCCCTAATTCCTAACATTTTGAGACAATTACCCCCAAAAACAATCCCAGCCTTCCCTTTGTGGTATGGTACCTTGCAGTACAATTTCAGAGAGATCCATACACTTGAACACAAGTTATTGTCTGGAAACTAGAAAAATGCTTATTTTTGGCCCCTTATTCCTAAACGTTTTGGGCAAGTACCCCCAAACTCAATTCCAGCTTTCCCTTTGTGATATGGAACCTTGTAGTACAATTTCATAAATATCCATACACTTACACACAAGTTATTGTCATGAAACTAGAAAAATGCTTGTTTTTTGCCCCCTAATTCCTAAAATTTGGAGGCAATTACCCCCAAAATCAATCCCAGCATTCAAACCCTCAATCAGCATCATTTAACAGTAATATCTAAAAATGGAAATTACATAATAAAGGTATTAAAATAGAAAATGACATCATAGTCATGGCTAAAAATAAACAAAATCCTTAATCGGCAACATTTTACAGTAATATCTAAAAATAAAATTCCTTTGTAACCATAAAAGCCCATTTAAATACATCATGACAGATATTAAAATAGAAAATGACATCACAGTCATGGCTAAACATAGCAAAAACCTTAATCAGCATCATTTAACAGTAATATCTAAAAATAAAAATTTCTTTGCAACCATAAAAGTAAAATAGAAAATGACATCATAATCATAGCTAAAAATAAACAAACATTTTTTTTATTACCAAATTTTAAATGGAGTTTATTAAACTAAAACAATAAATTTGCAACCATAAAACCCCATTTAAACACATCATAAAAGTATTAAATAATTCAACTACATCATAAGGCTATAAAAATAGAAAATGACTTCATAGTCAAGGCTAAAGGTAAACAAAAAACCTTCATCAGCAAAATTTTATATTGGCAAATTTCCAATGAAGTTTATTATACTAAAATTGTTGGCAAATTTCCAATGCATTTATTAACAATAAAGTTATTGGCAAATTTCCAATTTACATAATTTAAAAGCAGTGTAAGTGAGATATTTAAATGAGTTTGAATTACCAACCTTACACTGCTTTTAAATAATGTTTTGTACTTATTTGTCTATTAACCTGGAAACCCTTGTTTTTTCACCTTTTTTTCCCTTATTATTTAAAGGTTTGAGCCATAACCCTACCCCAAAGCCAATTCTTAAATTCCAATGTAACCTAAATTTACAATATACATAACTTCAATTTAAGTTTTTGATAAAATCAAACCACATCATTATTATTTGCTTTTATATCTAAATCAGAAATAATTAACCAACTTTAAGTGGAAAATTTTCACACATCACGCCCCCCCAAACTCAATCCCAGCCTTCAGTTTGTGGTATGGTACCTTGCAGTACAATTTCACAGAGATCCAATTACTTAAACACAATTAATTGTTGGAAACTAAAAAAAAAAATGCTTATTTTTAACCCCTTTTTTAGCCCCTTATTCCTAAACATTTGAGCAATTATCCCCCAAACTCAATTCCAACTTTCTCTTTGTGATCAGAATTAACCAACTTAAAATGGAAAATTTTAAAGAAAAAAAAAAGGAAAAAAAATCCCCCCCCCCCCAAAAATTTTTTGACCCACTTCCCTTTGTGGTATGGTACCTTTAAGTACAATTTCAGAGAAATCCATACACTTGAACACAAGTTAATGTCTGGAAACTAAAAAAATGCTTATTTTTGCCCCCTTTTTTGGCCACTTATTAATAAATGTTTTGGGCAAACATTTTACAATAATATTTAAAACTGAAATTAATTTGTAACCTTAAAATTAAATAGAAAATGACATCATAGTCATAGCTAAAAATAAACAAACTATTGGTAAATTTCCAATATAAAATTGGCAAATTTCCAATGAAGTTTATTATACTAAAATAATTGGCAAATTTCCAATTTACATAATTCAAACATAGTGCAGGTGAGATATTTAAATGAGTTTGAATTACCAACCTTACACTGCTTTTAAATAATGTTCTTTACTCAATTATTTGTCTATTAAAATGGAAACCCTAGTTTTTTAACCTTTTTTCCCCTTATTCCTTAAACGAAAAAAAATAATTACCCCTTTTTTGACCCCCCCCCCTATGATTCATCCCCCCCCCCTTCCCCCCCAAACCAAGCTCAATAACAGCCTTGCCTTTGTGGTATGGTACCTTGTAATACAATTTTAGAGAGATCCATACACTTGAACACAAGTTATTGTCTAGAAACTAAAAAATGCTTATTTTTCACCCCTTTTTAGGCCCCTTATTACTAAACGTTTTGGGCAATTACCACAAAACTCAATTCCAGCTTTCCCTTTGCGAAATGGAACCTTGTAGTAAAATTTCAGAAAGATCCATACACTTACACACAAGTTATTGTCATGAAACTAGAAAAATGCTTGTTTTTTGCCCCCTTTTGGCCCCTTATTCCTAAAATTTCGAGGAAATTAACCCCAAAATCAATCCCATCATCGACCCTTTGTGATATGGAATCTTGTAGTACAATGTCAAAGAGATCCATACAATAACACACAAGTTATGTCTGGAAGTTACAAAAATGCTTATTTTCGGCCCCTTTTTGGCCCCTAATTATTTAACTGTTGGTACCATAACCCCCAAAATCAATCCCCACCTTCCTATTGTGGTATTGAACCTTATGGTAAAATTTCATAGAGATCCATTCACTTAAACTAAAGTTAGAGTGCGAAAACCATTGTGTATTCGGACGACGACGACGACAACGACGCCAACGTCATACCAATATACGACCACAAAATTTTTTTGCGGTCGTATAAAAAGCATACATTTCTATATTGTCTATTCTGACAGTTTGGTTTTATACATGAATAAAAACATAACTTAAAACATACATTTCTGTATTGCCTATTCTGACAATTGGGACTATATATATATATGACAGAATGCAAACACTTCTGACAGCGTCTACTTGTGACTGCTGATCTTATACCTGAATTAAACCATGTCCTAATGCAAACACTTCTATATTGTCTACTTTAACAGCCATATTCTCAAGAGCTCTCTTCACACTGAATGGTGTGTAACCTATTCCCATGGCTTTCAGTGCTGATAATACCAGACCTATAACACAAACATAAATTCTGAGTATTAAAATATGTAGAGGGCCTGTATATATTTGTGTCTAAAGCTTAAGGAAACACCTTATTTTGTGGGGAAAAAAAACATCTGGAAGATGTTCAACAATTCTGCTAAATGTTGTAATTTCAATATGGCAAATATATGCTACTAAAATTGTATTTAACTTTGACCTCTTTTAATACATTAGATGACACAATAAAATTAAGTTTGACGACTTCAAAAACAGAAGCCAAAAAAAAAGGACTCTGTTCAAATTAGGTCTCTTTCAACATTAATTCTCAATTTATATCTTAATATCATATCTGACAGTTTAACAAATTATTTAAATATTTCAATTTCTCATTGTATATAACTCATGTTCTTAAAAAGTCCATATGATCTATATAATCCCAATATACAGATCTTATTTTCCATCTATAAAGTGTGTCAGATACACTGAGCATTATATTATTATCATAAAAAAGCCTGCTCCCTGTGTTTTCTATTGCAATTATTTTCTTTAAAGTAATGAAATAACTCTAAGATCAGGGTAGATAACTGCAGTGAAACAAGTTTATAAATCTTATAATTAATGGCAAGTAATCCTAGTCATACCTAAACAACCACAAGCATTAGGTGAACTCATACTGGTCCCATTCATCAACTGACAACCTCTGAGAGTCCAGTTAGGAACTGATGCTATAGCTCCACCAGGGGCACTTATACATACACCTAGAGCCCCATCATGTCTGAAAATAGAGATCAAAAATAAGAATCAGTATATAATTGATGGTAAAGCTCAATACGGAACACATTTATACTGTTTTTATTCATTAGAGACTTAAGTGTTGAAAAAAGATGTTTGAAACTCTGTTAATTCATTCACAACTTAATCAAAATCTAGGTCAATTAGAGTTTGGCAGTTGGTATAGACATTTCTCTATATGTCTTCGCTGGTTTTTATGCTTTGGAGTTGTTGTCTCATTGATTAGCATCAAACTCCTTTTATTCATATCAAGACCACAACCACAAATTTTCTGTTTTTTGAAAATCAAGGGGTAAAACTCTTCAATCATTGTCAATGAAAAAATGTTGAATCCACTAAAACTAAATATGTTCTTGCCAAAAAAATCATATGCTTGTACTCTTCATACACTTGTTCAGTATTTTGTTATTTTACTTTTTGTTATTTGACTTTTTGTTAATAAGTTCACTAAAAGTCACCTACGTTGGACCTCTAGAAGACCATGTATACTGCATACAGGGTAACTTCTCTCTCAAGGAATATTCTGCAGACATCATTGCTGGAGAAACCTGAGCACCAACACCTGTAAACATACAAATTTCCTTCTTATACATTAATAAATCAAAGCCTTAAAGGCTGTAAAAGCAATTGCTGCCATGTTAATGTTTTGGGGACTATTATTTTTCATCCACATACATATAAGAATTAAACCTGACAGGAGTGTTGTCTAGTGAGAAGTAAGAAGGTTTTAACTTTATATCAATAAAAGACTTTAGCAGAAAGTCATTTTTGATATGTTTTATATTTCACAAGGACACAACACGTTTACCAGGCTAAAGTTGGGGTCAAATTTACATGTGCTGAAACATATAACTCAAAAAGAAATTATCCCCTGGTAGTGTTTGTAACTGGGCAGTAATTTCCTTTATTGATTTAATTTTAACAATTATCATAATTAATTTAAATTTAACCATTCAATTAAAACATTTCAACTTTCCAGACGCAAATGTTGAAAAACGGGAAAGAAATAAAATATCTTACAAGACATAAACATGTAAAAAATAAATATATATTTCAGCTTACTAAAAATATTTTCATAATGTTACTTTGTCTTCATTTCTTACAACTAAGTCCCAAACATTATTGCTCAGTTGATATGTGTCATCCTCATGTGGTACGAGATATCTATAATTCTCATGCAATCCCGAAAAGGGGGGTCATCACAGACAAACATGACATTAAATCGTCATTATACGAACAAGAACAAACAGCTCTTCGTTGCTTTGATATTTATCAATTTTCAGGAAACATAGCGAAAAATGATCTTCAATATTTCGAAAACATGTGAAATAAAATTGCAAACACGGTGGACCGTCGAGTGTCAACACACGTAGTAGACTCATCCACTGGAAAGATGAGGATAATGGTTTCATCATTTGTCATGCATAGCCAGTTTTGATTATGATATCCAAAAGGACGTACTTTTTTCAATCTATGAAACTAGAAAATTTCAAATTGTAAATATCTCTTCATCTGGACTTGGCATCTATCACGTTTTGACGGGTCCATTTCATTAGTAAGGTGATCCATAAATCTTACGGAGTTATGACAAAAAAGGAAAACGAACTTTTTGTTATGTGTTTTTAACAAGGGTTTCGTTCCGCTAAATTATTTGCGCAAACAAATCAACAAAATAGGTCAGTTAAGTTTGTCTATTTTTAGATTACAGGTAATCATTTGACACTACGTATAACCTGTGTAGTGATTTTGATTTTACGATTAATTTATGAATGAACGATAATTTTATGAATGAACAAGAGCACCTGGCCTCTTTCTTTGAAAAACACCAATTAAACATATAGAACCGTATTTAATAAGAGATAATTCAGTAAAATTTTCAATACTAAATCAACAACTGAAATGATTCCATATTTTGTTGAAACATCATACGAAAGGAGAACGGAATAGCAGGTATAAAAATGCACTTTTTTTCACTCGGACTTCTATGTTTTTTGATAGTGAAACGGTTGTCCCCCTAAATACAAAAATACATCTACAAGAACATATGCTGAAACCTCTTAAATCCACTAACGTTTTTCAAAAGTTTCAAGCTATGTTTTGCATTAGAAAACATACATAGGTGTTTAAGAATGACAGACCAGGAGCCTGTTTAACAAAATACTATGGCTTGATCTGGGCGGAGTCTCTGATTTGTGTCACAAAGATGGCCATACGCGATGGCATAAAAGCAATTGCTTTAAAAAGTATTAATGCAACTAAATGGAGAATAACTTTGGTGTATTCAATTTCTGTAACAACAGTATTATTTACAGTATTCAAGTGCTGTAAATATAAGTGCATCTGTGGTCCTTCCATGACAACCCACAGCAGACAAAGCAAGTCCATTATTACCATCAACAAACACACGTACACCTACTTATAAGTGCATCTGTGGTCCCTCCAGGAAAACCCACAGAAGACAAAGCAAGTCCATTATTACCAGCACTAGACATGTGTACACCTACCTATAAGTGCATCTGTGGTCCCTCCAGGACAACCGACAGTAGACAAAGCAGGTCCATTATTTCCAGCACTAGACACAAATATAACACCATGTTTTTTAACAGCTTCACTTAGAATATCACAAACACGCCTGAAAATATAGAATTCCATTTGATTAAAACAAATCAATTATTTATATTCATAAAAAAAATTTTTTTTTTTTCGAGTTTTCCAATTAGAGAACGTAAATTTTCTGAACAAAAGTAGTTTAAATACTCAAGAGACCATAAGTAATTATGACATACATAACAACTGACACAAAATATTATAAGCAAAATGAAATATAGTGTTATTCGCTGGAATAAATAGGCATGCTCTAATTTTTTTGTTATTCTTCTTGTAATAAATTTGCATATGATAGAATAAATTCTAGTGAAAAAAATAATGTTTACCAATCTTTTGCAAAATTCTGTTTGTTAGTCTCAGTATGCTGAATATTTATTTTAATACATATGTCTTTTACTTCTGGGTATAATGCATGGAAAAAATTTCAGGACATTTCCCCCAACATTTTGTTTAGTCCATCTTTTTCTCATTATCAACCACCAATAACTAAACAAGTACAGCATTTAGATTAGTCTGAAAATTGAAACTTATAGAGCTGAATCTATTCCACTGTTTGGCAAACACTGCATTATGATAGCTAATATTATAAATTTATCACCCATTTAAATAGAACAGCTATGCATATTTTTGCCAGTGCCACCAGTAAATTGATATTATCAGAATAGTATCCATGATATATCTTAAAGATTTACCTCTATTAATTTATCTTCAAATATATACATTAAATTACACTGCATTCTTACACATTTAGCACACTATCATGTATAAAATAGAATTCAACAAACAGCATAAGACAAACAAACTTTTCATTAGTGGCAGAGTTTACTGTAAAAAAAGATATTAACTTTTATGAACTTAATCTTTCCCCTTTTTTCTGTAATTTTAAGACAAGAAAAATTGAGCTTTGAATGAGCATATGCTGTACTTTCCTACCCCAGATTAAAAAAAATTACTATGATTTTTTTTTATTGTAACTGTGTAATGAATAACATAAGAATGACCAATTATAAACATACAGCTGTACAGTTTTATTTTATTAATAAACTGAAATCTACATTACCCAGAATTTGGCCAATTAGCTGCCTCTCCGTAGCTGTAGTTTACGAGGTCACATTTGTATTCAATTACTTTGATCATCTGAAAATATATAATAAACAATGCTAAAATATTTTGTTTTGCTTGAAAGATACTATTCTCTGATAACCTCTAAGACTATATGTATAATCTATATGTTTTCTATGTTATATTTTCTCCTCTCCTTTAATAAAGCAAATATTTAACAAGATAAGTATTATCATTATACATAAATTTTAAACAACATTAGTTTCATTATATGTAAAACTTTTTTAATGAAAGGAGGGCACAAAATATAAACAGTTAAATCCATAAACTTAATAACATATATCCAAGTACACGACAATACTGTACTAAACTACATGGAGTTAAAGGAAAAATCAATGCATAAAACAAGTCAATAAATATTGATACGTACAGCTCTGACTAGTGATGATCCACTTTCCATGGAACCTAATCTTGTGTCTCCTATTTTGATGGAGATAACCTGTGCACCTGGAGCCACACCATTCCTCTCTGGCGAGTCAGGGAAGAAACCTGCAGCAATACATGCTACATGTGTGGCATGGGATCCTAAAATTCACATATTTTACATTAATACTCATGTATGAATAATATGCACATATTATATAATGCACTGTTTCTATAAAGTGTACCACAAATTTGTCCTTATAAAAGAAAATAAAATCACCCAAATCAAATTTCAACTTTTTTAATGATATTAAAGTTCTCTAGTTACACTATGAAAACAAATTTTTTTTCCCTGCTCACCATATGTACAAAATCCAGCTAGTTTTTTCCAATGGAAAAATACTTTATACATTGTTCAACCTTGGCATCTTATATCTAGACTATATAAAAATGAGGAGATGCTGTATGATTACCAATGAGATAACTCTATCAAATACCAAATTGTGTAGAGGTTAGCAACTTTAGGTCACCATACAGCCTTCAACAAAAAGCAAAATCCATACTGAAAAGCAATCTATATAAGGCCTCGAAATGACAAATGTAAAACAATTCAAACGAAAAAAAACTAACGAGAAAACTAACGGCCTAATATATGTATAAAACAATAAACAAATATGATATACAGCAACAAACAATAACCACAGAATTACATCCTTGGGACATGCACATAAAGAATGCGGCTGGTTTAAACAAATTTACAGGTGCCCAGACCAGAGTTCTTGAAAAGTGGTGGTTTGAAGGTTTTGACCACCAAATTTTGCAAAGGACTGACACAATTTTGGTATTTTGCAAAAGAAATAATAGTGAGGACTAGCAAATTTTCTTCAAGGAACACCAGAGAAAAACAGTGTTTGAGAACTCTGCCAGCCCTCCCCTAATTCAGGACATTAGTAACAATCTCTAGGACATAACCATTATTATTGATACTCACCATCATTAGTAACAATCTCTAGGACATTACCATCATTATGGATACTCACCAGCATTAGTAACAATATCCAGGACATTCCCATCATTATGGATACTTGCCAGCATTAGTAACAATATCCAGGACATTAACATCATTATGGATACTTGCCAGCATTAGTAACAATATCCAGGACATTAACATTATTATGGATACTCATCAGCATTAGTCACAATCTCCAGGACATTAACATCATTATGGATACTCACCAGCATTAGTCACAATCTCCAGGACATTAACATCATTATGGATACTCACCAGCATTAGTAACAATCTCCAGGACATTAACATCATTATGGATACTCACCAGCATTAGTCACAATCTCCAGGACATTAACATCATTATGGATACTCACCAGCATTAGTAACAATATCCAGGACATTAACATCATTATGGATACTCACCAGCATTAGTCACAATCTCCAGGACATTACCATCATTATGGATACTCACCAGCATTAGTCACAATCTCCAGGACATTAACATCATTATGGATACTCACCAGCATTAGTAACAATATCCAGGACATGACCATCATTATGGATACTCATCAGCATTAGTCACAATCTCCAGGACATTACCATCATTATGGATACTCACCAGCATTAGTCACAATCTCCAGGACATTAACATCATTATGGATACTCACCAGCATTAGCAACAATCTCCAGGACATTCCCATCATTGTGGATACTAACTGTGTAATTCATCATATCTATACATATAGAAGAAAGTTTGAAGAGTTAAATTTAAAGATACAAAAAATAAGAATTCTTAAACATGGTGGTAAGAACAATACTTAATGTACATGAACAACTATAAATATCATGACATTACAGAATTTTTAGAACTAGGTCCTAAGAAAAAAAATATGGCTACAAACTGAATGATTAAGTTTATTTACTTCTTGGGTGTTTTGGGGGATAAGTTTTGCTGTTTACATTTCGATATCAACAACACAATTTAGCAAGCTATATGAATACCATACAATTTAATTAAAACCACATATATCATACATACAATTTAATTAAAACCACATATCTATTTGCACTGGCTAACATATTTGTTATAAAGATCTGGCAAAGTTTCATTAAAGGTTAGAATCAATTAATTATCTGATCAGCACACTTACTGAAGAACTATACGGTATAAATTATCATGCTTTTAAAAATAAAATACAAGTGGTCTGGGTCTAATGAAAGGCATCATAAATTCACCAATACTGGCTTCCAAAATTTCCTTCTTAAGGTAGAAAAAGAGGTATTAATCAATGAAAACAAATTTCTCTTGATACATCAAAATGTGTTTACAAAGTCAAAGTGATGCCTTCAATACAAAGCAAAAGCTCCCGCTGCTCAATGCAAGTATAAGAAGGCCCCTTGTACAGGTTTGAGGGGATTATAAGGATAACTTTTTTCTTAAAACAGATTTCTAATTAAATAGTAAATCTATCAACCTGTCTCTAAGTTGTGCATGGATACAAAACATGAGAAAAGTGTGACGAAAATATATGTTTTCATTCAACATATTGAAAATTTCTCAGTATTTCTTAAAAAAAAGTGTGACAAAAACATTTGTTAACATTCAAAATATTGGCAAATTCAGTCTGCAAACAGGAAGAAGTTGTCTGACAGATAAAAAAAAATCATTACTGTCAAACTGCTGACCAAATATGAAGTCATTCTGTTCTGTATTTCCTGAAAAAAGTGTGATGAAAATATTTGTTGGACAGACAGGCAAATAGACTGGACAAAATGAATGCAAAATTGAATATATGAATTGCAAATTCAAGTGTTGTGGTATACATATAGTCCTCAGAATGTGACCATTGCATTGTTCTTACCAGAAATATATGTGGCATATCTTAATAGAAATAAATGAAGTTCTTGTTTTAACCAAATGAAATATTATAATGATAAACCACAACATACCGTCTCTACTAAATGTAGCAAACTGTCTCTCTTCCCTGTAACTGGCCAGAAGTTTACATTCACCAAGATTTCCTTCCTCACTTGTATCAACACAAGCCCTAAAACAATAACATTAATATTAACACCAGCTCTAAAACATTAATATTACTAAGAAAATTTGAAGTCTTTATCATTGCTGCAATATGAACTCCATTGAAAATTATTATCATTTTGATATGACTTGTCCAGCTTATAGGCTTTTGAGCTTAATATTTTTGTCTAAATATGTTTGTTCCTGGCCTATAATATATAAGTATGTAAAATTTTGTATCACTAATTTGAACAACACGTAGATCTTTGCTGTTGAAACTTTGTTCTTTATTAAAGGAAAATTAGAAACTACAATCACAATCAATTACTTATTATTGTTGAGGTATGATTGCCAATAAGACAACTATCCACCAAAGTTTAAATGAAGTGGATGTAAGCAATTATAGGCAACATATAAATATTAACACAAGCTTTATAAATATAATAGCTTAACATTACTATAAATATATACACAAGCTCTAAAAGCATTTTCTGCATGAAAAATAGCTCTTTCCTTTATAAATTTGTTGATTCCTAGTACACTGTATTTCATTTGCTTTTTATCAATTCTTTTTTTTATTGAGACTCTTTATTGTATTCTGTACCATTTAATAAATTTACAGAACAAAAAAACTGAAGAAACTTTTAACCCTGCTTTCCAAATTATGCGACTTCTTTAATTTCTTGTTCAAGTGAGTGGTCATCCTGTTAGTAGCTGCAAGTATTTCATTGTGTATTTTACTTTGTCTATATAGTTACAAAAGGAGGTTAACATATAGAACTAGTTTAACATCACCACATTTTCTGTTTGCCCAATTCAGACTATCTGGACCATGTGTTGTTCTATATTCTTTGTTTGTATCTATTTTTTCGAATAAGTAATGTGTTAGGGGTTGGTGCGGTCTGTTGAACTGTCCATCATACAAATGTTGGTAGTTCCTGTTATCTTTTTAACATATATGTATGATCGATATGAACAATCAATATAATTTAAAAGAGAAGTTTAACAAGCATACCTGGACTATGCTTTGAACATCATAAGTTTTCTTCTGTCTTTTATTTTGGTGTTGCTAACCCCATGTCATTTTTATGTGTTATTATTATAATTTTCCCCATATAAATATTGGATTAAAAGGAGCTCAATTGTGTCTATATTTGAACTACCTCCATGTATTTCCATCAAAGAAGACAAGACAATCATATACTGGTCCACAGTCAGTGTATTTCTTGTCAAAGTTAGTTAAGATGTCTATCTGGGCCTGCAGATCTTCTCTTATCAACTTTTCTTCCTGTAAAAAAACATATTGACAGTAAATCTTCAACTTAACCTTATATGGCTTGATTTGTCTATTATAGCTCAAATGAACTGCAGACAATTATCTTACATATTTCTACAAAATCATTTAGATGCAAATTAGAATCAAATAGTGATATCTAGGGTCATACCCTAAATGAAGTATCATAGTACTTGGATTTCTTATTTCATCTCCTGTTTTAAATATTTATGGGGTGCTGTGTTTTATCTAGTTTCCCAAGAGTATGCAAAGATGGAAAAACATGTTGTTGCAGTCAGTATGTCTATAAACATTTCCTAGATACAACACCGGTTCAATAATTAGGCACCTGGATTGCTCACCTGGATTTAAACCTCTGCAGTATTTATTTTTTGTGTGTATGTTTGCTGTGATTTTTTTTGAAATTGTTGCATCATTTCTGTTAGTATAGCATGTAAACTTTATTCAAGAGTAGCTGCCATATTGGTAAAGTTAATGGATCAAAAACTATATTTCTCATGGACAACCAGTTGAAGATCATTACCGGTATATGGATATTACTATTATTGATGATCAAGTAACCAACAATCAAATATTTTGTTCTAGTTTGGATCATAAATATATCTGGAAGGACTGTAGATAGTAATTCACCTTAGGTTGTGAAAAAGTTTTGTTTTCAGTTATAAGGTAGAAATTCATGTGTGATGGGAAAGGAGTCTTTCTTTCAGCTATAAGATAGTAATTAACCTGAGATTGGAAAAGATTTTGATTTTAGTTATAAGCTAGTAAATCACATGTGAATCTTCTTTGAAAGATAGTAATTCACTTATAAAAAGTATGACCTGGAAGGATTCTTGATATTTTTAAGGTAGTAATTTACTTGTGATGGGGAAGGAGTTTTTGCATCAAATTCCTCCAGTCTTCTCGAAGCTTCAGCTAAAGCCACTCTGTTGGGTGGGTCCCACTTCTTTTCTCTCCTGTCTTTTGTCATTCTATCTTTTAGAATCCTTGGAAACAAATCATATGCTGGTTTAACACCAATATGGTATTGTCCAGAAGGATTATTCCAATCATCTGGAATCTACAATATAAATATCATTTCTTTATTCTATACTGAAGTTGCATCAAGACCTCAAGCAATCCTACCATTATATCCATCTCATACTGTTTTTGGTCATGAAAAATCTAACTTTGTAAAGAACCACACTGATTCCAACAACAAATACCCTATTTTTGAGTTTGCTAAATTGATATTTCAATTTACAGAACAAAAATAGGTAATAATTGTGCACCTCTTTTTTTCGTACTCTTATGAAGCAGAATTCATACAGAACCTTCTCCAAGACATAATTAAAAAGCTTCTTGTCAAGTTCTTTAGTTAAAGTTAACTTATTGATATATTGATGATGACGTCCTATCACTCATTAACCCACATTTTTGTGAGTGCTTGCATCTCATATATCTCAGTGATATCAAGAATATATGTACCTCCAAAACTAGGTGGTCTGCTTCAGATCTTGATCATTTCCTACATGTAGATATTTGACACAAATGGATGACATCAAAGTAGAATCTATGACAAATGTGAAGATTTCAATTTTCCAATTGTCAACTTCCCATTTATCAGCATTAGAATACCCTCTGCCCCATCATATGTGGTTTGAAGAAAATATGTACACACACACATGATGTATGCTTGTGCATGTTCACACTATACAGACTTCATTAACAGGTCCTACTTACACAAACACAGTTATAACTTATAAGGAAGAACAACTTACATGTACATAATTTTACAGTCACCATCTCTAATTAGATGACCGATACAATGTGTTGATGTCTCAACTCACCAGCCACTTGCTTTCACAGTCTTAGATCTTTAGATACCAGAAAAGTCAACAAAAATTTTGGAATCAGTGTGGATTGTTTTGGCGGGTGATGCATCCATCTTTCAATTCATATGAATATGGTAACTTTCAATTTAAATTAAACTATTAGAATGACCATGATGACTCAGTTATTATAGCAAGATAACTTATTCTTAAGAAATATTACTAGCCTTGAACAACTTGTCAACAGTTTAAGTAGTACCATGCCTAAAATGTTTCACCTCAATTTTGTTTCATATACATGTATTATTATTAATATGAATACCTTAAATTTTGTAATTTCAAAAAAAATAGTATTGAAGATTTAATTATTTTAAATCTACCTTTAGTGTCCTTCCTGTTAGTCCTGTTATTTCACCATCTTTAACATCTACTATAGTTGATGTATCACAATCCCCTGACCCTGTTGTATCAATCATGTCCACGATCTTAGGTTTCCCATCACTTGTCACCTGAAAGAAACAGTTTCTACATATATTTGTTCAAATATCAATGTAAACTATATTTAAATAAAATTGAGAATGTCTATTTTAGAGAAGTTGTTGCTCAGAGTTGCGGCCTAATAAACAGAATTTACCCACATTTCCTTTCAAACAGATATTTTTAAAACATAAAAAAAGCTGTCACAATCCAAGACTACTCATTACATAATGAAGAAATCAAACATTAAACCATAGGTAAACCAGATACTAAAATAACAACAGGTTGTAGGTATTCCTATGGGCACCTCTTTAATAGCACACTTGTTCTTATATGGCTATGAGTCAACTCAACTTGTTTGCTATGCCTGTGTCTGTATTGATGTTTTGGATTTCAGTGAAGGTAATCTATGTATTGCTGGTAAAATATTAAGTCAAGGATTTCATTACCACAAGTTACATGGTACTTAAAACCGGTACTAAATTCAATCATACTCATAGATACAAAGATTTGGTTTGGAAGTTTGGCTGCACCTGCAGAAAACTTATAATAAACAGGATAACACATCCTTTACAGTTAAGTTGTTTACAGAGCCCGCAAACTTAGATACATGTACTATAGCCAGTGTTCTCCCCAGGATTTTTGGATAGCACCAGGGTAACGCGTGTGAACAGCTTGGTGAAATGATTCATACAATCAGTTGTGTCGCGTGGCGTCGCTATATTTCTAGTTACTGCAGTTTTTATGTCTCTTGTTTAGTTTTAATACTGTGGTACTGTGTTATGTCAGAATATTATTGGTTAAAAAGATCAATAAACAGTTTGTATACTTTTAATATTTTTTTAAAATAAATAAAACATGATTCATTACATAATATTCATCTAAATTTAAAGTAATTAAATCTTTTATAAAATCCATGATCAATAAAAATAAAATATCATTCAAACAGGAACATATATATTGTTAGATATACTGTTCCCAGATTCAAAAGAGAACAAAAATGTTCAATTTAAAAAACCTTTCTAGTTTCTAGAAAGAAAGTTGTTGTATGTGAAAGGATTCCTGTCATAAGGAGATATAAAATTAACAAGAAACAAAATTGTGTAATAATCTGAACCAGTTTCTATCTTAAATTTTAATAAAAAGAAATTTTTCATAAATTTTAAAACATTTTGCCATAGATTTCATGAACATGTAAATATTAGCCTTTCTTGTCTTTGGTGATAATCAAACATAGATACAGACTTAATACTGCACTGAAATCCAAATCTTTATTTGTCATGATCCATTTCAAAAGAATTGCTAAATCTATAAATTTATCTTAGGTCTATAGATCTATAAGTAACATATTCAATGTCAACAACAAAGTCTCCCTATTTTCCCGCCTAAATGACAGGAAGTAGATATAAATAGATTTAACATGTGCTTATGGATTAAAATTGCAAGATCACTTCTGTTATTCATTAATGATCATATGGATATATATATCCAGTTTTAAGGTACAGTCATGCATTTTATTTATAAAATAGAATAGATTGCAGTTAATTGTAAATAATCTTGAATATTCTACATGAACTAACTGGGTCATGTGATCCTTCTCCTTTGAATTACTTGTTGACAGTTTGAAACCGGAATAGCATGCAATAAATATGTCATAATTAAAGATAAATTTGGCCATGGTTTAATCAGAGACATATAAAACTATAATATAAGTATTGAGCTGACTTTATAATGTACAAAATATGTACCGCCGTGTGTACAACTATCGGGTCAACACGGTTTGTGTACAAAGTATTTGCCGACTTGTCAGGTGGTGAGTGAAGCCTTAAAATAGTTATCTTTGATCATAAAGTTATGATCTCTAAATTAAAACACAAAAGAATCATGTAATAAAATGCTTCGCTGGGGCGCAGCTTGATACGACCGCAGAGGTCGAACCCTGAACAGTTGGGGCAAGTATGGACACAACATTCAAGCTTGATACAGCTCTGAATTTGGATTGTTATTAAATATTTGACACAACATAGGTTTCTGACACAGAAAGAATGTGGTCTAAGAACTTGAATTTTTTTAATTTACCTATTATGGTCCAATGTCCAAAATCAAAATACATGGTTAGATTCAGCATATCAAAGAACCCCATATATTCAATTTTTGTTAAAATCAAACAAAGTTTAATTTTGGACCCCAACTTGGACAAACTTGAAAACTGGGCCCATAATCAAAAATCTAAACACATGTTTAGATTCAGCATATCAAAGAACCCCAAGAATTCAATTTTTGCTAAAATCAAACTAAGTTTAATTTTGGACCCTTTGGACCTTAATGTAGACCAATTTAAAAAACGGGACTTAAAATTAAAAATCTAAATACACGGTTAGATTTGGAATATCAAAGAACCCCAATAATTCAATTTTTGATGAAATCAAACAAAGTTTAATTTTGGACCCTTTTGACCTCAATATGAACCAATTTGATAGCGGGGCCCACAAATAAAAATTCTAAATTCATGGTTAGATTCAGCATATCAAAGAACCCCATATATTCAATTTTTGTTGAAATCAAAAAAAGTTTAATTTTGGACCCCAACTTGGACCAACTAGAAAACTGGGCCCATAATCAAAAATCTAAACACATGTTTAGATTCAGCATATCAAAGAACCCCAAGAATTCAATTTTTGTTAAAATCAAACTAAGTTTAATTTTGGACCCTTTGGACCTCAATGAAGACCAATTTAAAAAACGGGACCCAAATTAAAAATCTAAAAACACGGTTAGATTTGGCATATCAAAGAACCCCAATAATTCAATTTTCGATGAAATCAAACAAAGTTTAATTTTGGACCCTTTTGACCTCAATATGAACCAATTTGAAAGCGGGGCCTACAAATAAAAAATCTAAATACATGGTTATATTCAGCATATCAAAGAACCTCATGCATATATTCAATTTTTGTTGAAATCAAACAAAGTTTAATTTTGGACCCCAATTTGGACCAACTTGAAAACTGGGCCAAAAATCTAAATACATGTTTAGATTCAGCATATCAAAGAACCTCATATATTCAATTTTTGCTAAAATCAAACAAAGTTTAATTTTGGACCCTTTGGACATTAATGTAGACCAATTTGAAAACTGGACCCAAAATTAAAAATCTAAATACACTGTTAGATTCGGCATAACAAATAAATAAATGTGATCAAAGATTTTACAAATCTAATGCGCCATACTGTGCAATTAAAGATTACTTCTTGAAATTTTTCAATATTTGAAATTTGAAAAAAAATAATATTTGAAGAATAATTCTTTTTAATTTCTGAAATCTGAAATGAGAAAAAATTGGCCCCCCACAATTTCTTTTTATCCCCCCCCCCTTTTTCCCCCCAAAAAATTCTTTCCCTCAAGATATGGTCATAATCTCAATTCAAATTTCCAATGGAGTTGGCAACCATAATTACCCATTTAAATTTACCATAGTGCTAACTTAATCTATTTTATAATAGAATTAATAAAAATATAGTGTCAAATCTTTCATATGGATTTTTTTGTAAAAAAAAAAGATGAAAACATTTGCAGATATTTTTACTGGTCTTCCTTTATAAATATGCATTTCTTTAAACATAATTTAAAAGCAGTGTAAGGGAAGTAACCAAAACGTTGTATTTGGATTACCTCCCTTACACTGTTTTAGATTATCTTTATTGTTCATTAACCATTACTTTATACATAATTTAAAAGCAGTGTAAGGGAGATAATTTCAATGATGTATTTGATTTATCTCCCTTACACTGCTTAAATTATGTTTTGTACTAAAGTATTTGTCCATTAACCAGGACAACCTTGTTTTTCCCCCTTTTTTGCCCCTAATTCCTAAACGGTTTGAGCCATAACCCCCCAAAGCAAATCCTAACCATCCCTTTGTGGTATGGAAACTTGTAGTATAATTTCAGAGAGATCCATACACCGTTCCACAGTTATTGTCTGGAAACTAGAAAATGCTCATTTTTGGCCCCTTTTTGGCCCCTAATTCCTTAACTGTTGGTACCATAACCCCCAAAATCAATCCCAACCTTCCTTTTGTGGTATTTAACCTTATGGTCAAATTTCAAAAAGATCCATTCACTTAAACTAAAGTTAGAGTGCGAAAACCAATATGTATTCGGACGACGACGCCGGACGACGACGACGACGCCGGACGACGACGACGACGACGACGACGACGACGCCAACGTCATACCAATATACGACCACAAAATTTTTTTGCGGTCGTATAAAAAGTGTTAATTACATCGGTTAAATCCAATCAACAAAGGTTAACCTCATAAAGGTAAATCAATCACGTGGTGTAAACAATATGTGTTGAACTGGTTTGAACTGGTCAAATTTCACCTGGATTTTTATACCGCACGGAAAAGATTTAACAAATCGTTTAAAACTTTACCGATTTAAGATTTTTTAACTGAAAATTTTAGCACCACGGAGAAAAATTATACATCGCGGTAAGAACGATACCACCATGGTGAAAAATTATACATCGCGGGCCCGCTGCCCTTTAAGGGCCTGGGGAGAACACTGCTATAGCAAACTTATCAATCATTTAAACAAACTTATTCTAAAAGTTCTTAAAAATGGCTGGACTATTTCTTTCTTATCTTATTGTTGACAATATAAATTATCTTTGGTTATCAAACAATAATTTTAAGCATAACTTAAGAGTGACATAATAAAAAGTATTTAGTTAAATCCACATTTAGTAAATAACAAAAGGTGCTAATTCATTTTATTCATCTATCAATTAAATGTATTCTTAAGACCACAACTTGGATGAAAACAATTACAGAAATTATATTAATCCTTAATCTCAGATATTTAACAAAAATCTAATCTTGGCAGTTTGCAAAAAGGCTGAAAACTGCAACAAATAGTTTTAACTATTAATTCTTAAAAACTAATCTGAAATCTAAATAATAAAATTAACTTGAATTTCTTAGACTTTTAACATAAAGATAAATATGAATTTATCTCAGGGAGATTATTATCCTCAATATATTGCCAATGAAAACCTTTGCACAGGGGCAAATATAAAATCACTTTGATAGTTGTCTCTGATTTTAACTGTGTTCTTTTCTCTTTTCAATATGGTTTCAGAGTGCTTGTCTTTGGGCTTTAAACTCTTAATGATGTAAAAACTCTTATTTTGGTGCTTTGTGTCTATTGTTTTAATATTAGTTATTTTTGTGCCTCGTACCAATTTTTTGAGTTAGGCCAATTGCAACTGATTTTTACAATGTGTTCTAATGTTGTGCTGTAATACCACTGTCCCAGGTTAGGGGAGGGTTGAGCGCTCACAGACCTGTTTAACCACGCCACTTTCTTAATGTGCCTGTCCCAAGTCAGGAGCCTGTAGTTCAGTGGTTGTTGGTTCATGTCTGTCATATTTTTTTTGTGGTAATTGGTTTGTTATAAGTTAAGCTGTTAGTTTTTTCAATTGAATTGTTTCACATTTTTCATATCGGGGCCTTTTAAAGCAGACTATACAGTATGAGTTTTTTTTTCATTGTTGAAGGCCGTACTGTTGCCTAAAATTGTGTACATTCACTTCAATTGAACTTTGTTGAATAGTTGTCTCATTGGCAATCATACCACATCTCCTTATTTTTATATTAAAAGTTATTAGAAAAAGCAATTGGTGAAACTGTGTATCTGATAGTGTAAACAGAAATGAGCAAGCACTCATTGACAAGTCGTTTATAGTATCACATTAGGATCAGAATAATTCTGTAGAAAGAAACCCTAAATACGCATACAGTAGAATCCCCTGTGGCCACGCGGCCAGTGATATTGTTCAAAAGTAGGGTCGGTCGGGTAACCGTAAACAGACATATATTTTTTTTTGGCCTTAGCCTTCCAAAACGACAAAAATGGTTAAAATTGATAAGTTCAAGCATAACTTTATAATTGCAATCCCATGATAAACTATATTTAGACATTTTATATAAAAAAAAAAATACATCATCAGATAAAATTGGTTTCATTTTTGGTCAAATTTTTATCAAATGTAATATATTTTACTCCGCATCCTTGGCAGTCTGTTTGGTTCAAACTGAACTATATTTCGTAGTTTAAAATCTTTCCTATATTCAAAATTATTTATTTTTAGAAGGCATGCCTGAAATCACCTGAAATTTGAAGAACTGTCAAAACAGGGGTTTCCCTTATTTTGGACACACATTACATAAAATCATACATAAAAAATAGATTTCATGAAATTAAAGTATGTTATGAAATTGTTCACATGATTATTAATTTTATGAGATTACCATAGTGATGCCAAAAGTCTTAGGTACGCTGATACAACGGACTGCACCTAACATGTAGTACCACAATGTTTTTTTTTCAAAAATATTTTGTTACTGGTAGGATTGATTTTGAGGGCATCAATATGGTTACTATTAATTATATAATCTTGATTGTAATTTCCATCCTTATTGAATATTGTACAGTTGTACAATGCAATGTAGACTTTCTGTAACATCATCAAATAATATAATCAGTGATTTTGAATTGCTTTCAAAATACTTGAGTCATTTTATTTGGTATCTTTACTGACAATACTTTAATTTATGCAATTTGAATTATGGTGTTGATAAATGACATTGATTTTGTCATGCTTTGTCATTGTTGACATAATTTTCCATCCCCTTACCTGTAGACCAGGTGCACCTGGGTCAACCCCAGTGTCAAGGATTGCTATCAATACATTTCTCCCATCGTGATCAGGGTATTTATCTAAGAATGAAGCTGCTCCTGTCTCTTTTTTAGGCAATAATCCATGTACAGGAAAGTCGATGTCAATTGTTGACGCCATGTTTGTGGCAGACGATTACTGGTGTGAGAAAACGCTTGACATCAACGATGGAAATTATAATTCAATTTCAAGCGTTTATGAGACACATACAAAAAATTCTTGACGACTACTCTATAGATGCAGTAAAGAACCAACTGCATTCAACATGTTCAATAAAAACTGATAGCCGTGCGCAAAATTATACAGATTATTTCACACATTACTATTTTTTTTTAACTTCTTTGATTCTAAATTTCCAGAAACAAAACTGTTTATTAATGGAGTTAAAACATGTTTGTTACAAATATTTTGTAAAGATGAAAAAAATGCTTGTCTCAAGCAAAACGCGCAATCATTCCTCACCATCAACCTAAGACGACTGGACAACAATCAATTAATTAATTAAGTTTAGTTATATATAAGAAATATAGTAGTTTCTATAAATATATACAGTACTGACTTATAAATATATTCTCAGCTTGATTTCAGTGCAGCTGACTGGTTTGTTCCGTACTCACAATATACATTCCTGGTATATGCAATGTATAACCAAAATACAAGATTAAACAAGCCAGACGTTGATTAAAGAACTGTTCAAAACATTGCCTTTTCCATCGACAGTATTTGATAAAACTGTTAAAACTTCTTATTACATGTAAAATTATGTTTCGTGGAATATTATAATTCAATAAGTGTCCAATATTCATGTAATATGATGGAAATATACTCCCTAAATTGTATCCAACATATTTTTGCACCATCAAAACATCTGGTATTTCTTAAATTGAAAGTGGGAAATTATTTGAAAAACGAGATCTTCATGTACTTGCCTAGCCTGAAAATAAGTAATCTATCATAAAAAAGTAATTGAAACCATACTCTATGATACTCAACCACCAACTAATGTGTGTGTAAAACAGTTATTAAACCATACCCGAAGTGCCTTATTCAATCTCACACACTTGTTCAAAGTGTGTAAAATAGTGGATAAAATCATGCTTCATGGCGCCTAAGTTACATATATAGCCACACTGCTGACAGCTTTATGTAAAATGGTGCATTAAACCATGCCTCATGGCTCCCAACATCAAACGCCTGTATGTATGTAAAATAGTGTACTAAACCATGCTTCATGGTGCGCCATCTTCAACTTTTGCATATAAAATAGAACATTTAACCTGCTGCAAATTACCCAAGTTTGTCTTCCACTGCTGATTGTAAAATTCTCAAATGGTTCATTAAACAATGCTTCATGACGCCGGACCTCAAAATATTGCATGTGACATAGCAAGCGCATTGAGCCACGCGACATAGTACCAAATCACCAACTCTTGTATTCAAAATAGTGCCTTAAAACAGCTTTACTATATATAACTCTTGTATTCAAAATAGTGCCTTAAAACAGCTTTACTATATATAACTCTTGTATTCAAAATAGTGCCTTAAAACAGCTTTACTATATATAACTCTTGTATTCAAAATAGTGCCTTAAAACAGCTTCACTATATATAACTCTTGTATTCAAAATAGTGCCTTAAAACAGCTTCACTATATATAACTCTTGTATTCAAAATAGTGCCTTAAAACAGCTTTACTATATATAACTCTTGTATTCAAAATAGTGCCTTAAAACAGCTTCACTATATATAACTCTTGTATTCAAAATAGTGCCTTAAAACAGCTTCACTATATATAACTCTTGTATTCAAAATAGTGCCTTAAAACAGCTTCACTATATATAACTCTTGTATTCAAAATAGTGCCTTAAAACAGCTTCACTATATATAACTCTTGTATTCAAAATAGTGCCTTAAAACAGCTTCACTATATATAACTCTTGTATTCAAAATAGTGCCTTAAAACAGCTTCACTATATATAACTCTTGTATTCAAAATAGTGCCTTAAAACAGCTTCACTATATATAACTCTTGTATTCAAAATAGTGCCTTAAAACAGCTTCACTATATATAACTCTTGTATTCAAAATAGTGCCTTAAAACAGCTTCACTATATATAACTCTTGTATTCAAAATAGTGCCTTAAAACAGCTTCACTATATATAACTCTTGTATTCAAAATAGTGCCTTAAAACAGCTTCACTATATATAACTCTTGTATTCAAAATAGTGCCTTAAAACAGCTTCACTATATATAACTCTTGTATTCAAAATAGTGCCTTAAAACAGCTTTACTATATATAACTCTTGTATTCAAAATAGTGCCTTAAAACAGCTTCACTATATATAACTCTTGTATTCAAAATAGTGCCTTAAAACAGCTTTACTATATATAACTCTTGTATTTTAAACAACACATTTACAAAACCCTTTTTTGCACCCAAGTTAACCTACCACCACTGTATGTAAAATTGAGCTTCAAGACACCAAAACTCAAACTCAAAATGATTGCCAATGAGACAACTATCCACCAAAGTTCAAATGAAGTGGATGTAAGCAATTATAGGCAATCGTACGGCCTTCAACAATGAAAAAAACCACTACCGTATAGGTGTATAAAAGGCCCCGACATGAAAATTATGAATCAATTCAATTGAGAAAACTACCGGCTTAATTTATAACAAAACAATTTACGAAAAACAAATATGACAGACGTACTTTGACCTATAATGGCTTACTTTTATAAATTTTGACTTGGATGGGGAGTTGTCTCATTGGCACTCATACCACATTTTCTTATATCTATAAACCAACGACAACCACTGAACTACAGGCTCCTGACTTGGGACAGGCACATAAAGAATGTGGCAGGGTTAAACATGTTTGTGAGCGCTCAACCCTTCCCCTAATCTGGGACAGTGGCGTAACAGCAAAACATAAGAACAATTTAAACTATAAAAATCAGTTGAAAAAGGCTTGCATTGTATCATAGATCAAATTTATTTGTTCAGTGTATGTTCACTGGTGTTTATATGTCTTTTGATTGAGTTAAGCCATTTCAATTGATATTTTATAGTGTGTCTTTCTATGTTGTGATGTTACACTATTGTTTCTGATAGGGGTGAAGGTTTGGTACCATTAAAACGTTTAAACCCGCTGCAATTGTTTGCACCTGTCCTAAATCAGGAATCTGATGTTCAGTAGTTGTCGTTTGTTGATGTGGTTCATAAGTGTTTCTCGTTTCTCGTTTTTTATATAGATAAGACCGTTGGTTTTCCCGTTTGAATGGTTTTATACTAGTAATTTTTGGGGCCCTTTATAGCTTGCTGTTCGGTGTGAGCCAAGGCTCCGTGTTGAAGACCGTACTTTGACCTATAATGGTTTACTTTTATAAACTTTGACTTGGATGGAGAGTTGTCCTCATTGGCACTCATACCACATCTTCTTATATCTATTAACTCATCAGATCGAGACAAAGAAAAACATCAAACAAATGCAAAGACAGGACATGGCAGGGTATATACCCATCCCTCATCCCTAACAACAAAAAAAGACACAAGTACAGATCTGAGAGTACTCGCAGTTACTGACAGCTAGTTGAAAGCCAATAACATCTAATAAAAAAATCATGTATCTTAGACTAAAATATCAATCAGTACACATCCAACATCCACTATATTTAATGTAACGACGTCATTAACAGTCATAGAAAAACAACACATTTACAAAACCATGTTTTTTTGCACCCAAGTTAACCTACCACCACTGTATGTAAAATGGTGCTTCATGGCACCAAAACTCAAAGTCTTATAAAAATAAAGAGATGTGGTATGAATGCCAATGAGACAACTATCCACCAAAGTCTAAACGAAGTGGATGTAAACAATTATAGGCAATCGCACGGCCTTCAACAATGAGAAAACCCATACTGTATAGTCGGCTATAAAAGCCCCCGACAAGAAAAATATGAAACAATTCAATTGAGAAAACTAACGGTCTAATTTATAACAAAACAATTTACGAAAAACAAATATGACAGACAAAAACCAACAACAACCACTGAATGTGTGTACAAATAATGCACTTGCATTGCTGTTTGTAAAATGAGACTTTAATCATGTTTGATGGGATGTAAAATAGTGCTTTAAACCATGTACATGGTGCTCTACCCCTAACTAGCGTATATAAAATATTGCACCCAAACCATGTTGTATCTGGTATTCATTTCCGTTTTCACGTTTTATGTATAACATTGATTGTGTAAACTTTACTATTTTAAAACAACAATACTGTTATTTAAGTCCAAAAGATCATTTGATGATAACTCCGACGGCTGACGTTAATTTTCTACAGAATTTGATGCGTCAAACAAAAAATGCTCAGTCAGGAAAGCCAAAGATGTATTTAATAAATATTTTATAAAATTTATATTGTAATTTGGGTTAACATCATTGAAAAAAATGTTTTATTAAAATGATATTGTAATTTGGGTTAACAACATGGAAAAGATAAACACATACAATTCAAGGAAAAGCTAAAATACAATCCAAACTACAATTGGTAATTGACTGCATCGTGTACTTTGAAATGTAACACAATGAACAGCGGCTTTTTGTTAGGTCATATCAACTTTAAACAAATTATTGAACATGTTATACATGATTTTTTTAACAAAAGCTTATTTGATCATAAATGATATAAACATGTCGAAAGTATATGCGACTTGTCTCTAAAGGACGGGTGTTAAATCGATTTCGAACGAGTCGCCATTATTCAGTTCTTCGGTTCGCACTCCCCCCTGTATTGTGATGTAAACGACATTTATATAGCAACGGGTTTATTATCTGAAATATGTATTATTTGCTCCAATAGTATAAACTTAACAATAAAATATAAATGGACATTAAAATTATATTGATCTCCAACTATAAATGAGGGTGACAAAAGGTATTACTAAGGACACTCCAGTTTGTAATAAAGAATTTGAACATTTAATGTATTAAGTAGAATTATCTCTGCCTTCACTCTAGATCATACAAACAAATATGTTGAAACGATTCTGTAGTTTGTGAGAAAGGACAAATACAGCAACATGGTAAGATTCTTATATTACTTCGGGTCTTCTACATTTTCACGGTTCAAATAGTTGTATTTGTGTAGAAGTAAATGTTTTCATAAAGATATTGAAATGAGTACCACTGTACATAGCGGATTCTTGTAGTTACTTCTCTTTGACGATTTTTTTAGATTAGAAAAGGAAGAAACTAATTCAAATTTATATAACGAAAAGAATTTCATCGAACAGCATAGATTTAAGTTAGTATGTCATTTCAATGAATATTCAATTTAAAAAAACTTATTATTTGACTCTTATTTTTCTTTTTCTTTGGCTTAAAGGTGATACGACACATCATTTGATTCTTTTAATTTGGGTAATTTTTTGTTTTATTTAGGGATGTATAAGTGGCCAGTTTGGCATAATTGGCTCTGTTAATTTTACTTCAAACCTGTATACTAATTAATTTGAAAACTAGAATGACAGTTAAATTCAATTCGAACTGCCAATCTTATGCGTGAAACTTTTTTGGATTTCAGTTTGGTCACCTGAATGTATTCATTAAGAAGTTTGTGACAGAACGACACGGACCTCAGTCTTGGAGTTCCATCATGTAAGAGTGCTTTCTTTAAAAGCCATTGTTTCTGTATAAGACAGCTTCACAATGGTTTCCTTATGTGGTTATCTCCTTAATTGAAAAGGTAACAATGTTGTCGAAACAACAACCCAACAACACACATGTGCCAAGTTCTTAATATGACTGAGATACAAATAGACAAGTTGTGAGTGAATTTAGCAGATTTACCAAACATATGCCAGCAAAATAATTCTCTTAAAGATCAACACTCTTAATTATAAACGAAAACAAGTACTAACTAGGCTTCTGAGACTGGCCCTGTAACATGTAGTGGAGTATATTGCAAATTCCCCTAGTACAACTGTTTTACATATACTTAGGCGGTTTGTACCTTCATGGAACAACCGGAAGTTCACTGTTTCGTCTTTCAGGAAATGGTTTAATGTTTATGTTCCTAGTTATCGTCTTTTATAATAACTTGAATATTATATTCAACCACAAACATGCAAACATGCAATATTGACATCGCTCCATCGATATTTATGTTCAACATTCGGATGAGTTACAGGGTGGATATTAGTGGAACAGGAATCGCTTTCCCTTAAATCCACAGTTTTGTTTGGCTTTTGATTTGATCAGTCGTTGGTTTTCTGTATTATGATTATACTGTGAATATAATATACACTATTTGATTTTTCTACATGCTCCAATAAAATCAAATGGTCATAAATTAGGGTATATATTACATGTAACACACATAATTATATCCCCGCTTTCAAAAAGTGGGGGTATACTGTTTTACCTCTGTCTGTCCGTCCGTCCGTCCGTTTGTCCGTCCATCCTTCCATCCGTCAGTCCGTCCATCGGTCCCATGAATATTTTTTGTCGCATCTTTCTCAGGAACTGCATCATAAGGATTTCTGAAATTTGGTCTCAGGGTTTATATAAGTCAGCTAAACCGTGTGATGCGTTTTCAGATTCATCACTCAACAACTTCCTGTTTACCGAAATATTTGGGCGGGGGTATCATCAGTGAGCAGTAGCTCGCAGTTTCACTTGTTAGTAGCTTAATTCACACTTCATATTAAAATGTGAGGAGCTAGACACTAATATGGTCAAGTTTTCAATTTGCTATTACATTTAGTAGACACCAGGTCCGTTCGATTTTTTTAACGAGCGCTTTCATGCATGGAAGTGGTTTTAAGGACTATCTTTAGTTTTTTTGTAGATTTCGATCAGTTTTAGCTGATATTTTAATGTTTCAGATTTATTACCAAGATTTCAGGGAATGCTGCATATAAATAATGCTATCAAAATTTGAAATGCAAATTTTTATGAAAAATGTTGCGAAACCTACCCTGTTGCAATTTTAACAATAAAAAAAAATAATTGCAAAAAGTTTTAAAATCTACAACATTTGATATCATTCCTGAATTTGACCTCTGATCCTTACCTTTTGTTTGTGGTGTTGTCTTTCCATCTTCGAATTATAGTGTGCGGGTGCTCTTTGTTTCTTCTTATTATTCATTTGCATAACTGAACGGTTATAATTACAAATAAAGCAACTGTATCAATACGTAAAACAGAGACAGAAGATACCAAAGACACATAAAAAGTGATAAGTTGGAGAAAGTTGGAGAAAGTTGGAGAAAAACAGACAATGACATGGCCAAAAACAAAAACGATGAAAGTACAAATAATTGTCTACAAAACACCACACAGAAAGCTAGAGTAACACGAGGCCCAACAAAAAAGAATCCAGGATTACACGAAATCAGCTGTTAGGAAGGACAAGCAGACCATGCTCTACTACCCGTCGTGTCACGACAAATAAACAATTGTTGATAGTAGCAAGTCGTATGCGATGATGTCACAATTGCGGAAGGAGGACGGGATTGTGGCTAAGACATTTCAAATAAAAAACATTATTTAAGAAAATGTAAACATTTAAAAAGCTGTTATGATACATGCTCAAGATTGGTGAAATTACAATGAACAAAGTAAAATATAACCAGCTTTCATTTTATGAATTCTTTTCCAGAAAAGGATTAAACCATTCAGGGAACTTCTCTGAAAAAGACCAACATGACGATGAACTGACACAAAGACTGATTAACTTGTCTGTTTCACATCTCAGTAAGTTATGTATACCCTTTTGTTTCATTCTGTTGCTCATGCTACATTGCTCATGTAGAAAATAAAATGTGAGTACAGGGTTCCGGATATATATATATCTTATTCGGAGTGATGACAACATACTAATACAGAGGTGAATAAAGTAGGTAGCAATATTTGTACTATAATGCTGAAAACAGTTGGACATATTTACGTAATACAATATGATACTGTTAATAACTCGTTTGGTAGCTATACGTATAGCTTACAGTAATATATCTATGTCACATAAAGAAAAATTATTTCCATATTCTTCGATCATTTCCCCGTCTAAAGCGGGATTTTGTGCATTATCAGTAAGTTGTTTATTTGTGTCATATTGGTACGACATTGACTAGACACAAACGATAATATGATTTAAAAGGAATAACGTTACATAGTTAAAGTAGTATGTTAAGATACTATTATGACATCCGTATTTATATTCAAAATACCAATTGATTGTCAGTTTGGTATGGTTTTATTGCAATTTTTGAAGTAGTGACTTCTTTCTGGACTTTATCCGTAAGAAGTCCTGTTCTGCGTCACTTAGAGTTAAAATAGACTCCCATTTGTTTGTAAACAATGTATAGTTATATAATGCATTGGACAATAGGCTGACAGATATCAACAGGCATTGAGGCAGGCGTAAATATGAACCAGTAGAATTACAACGTGCCATTGATCAGTTTCATAAATGTAGTGAATGATTTTCAAAATGACTTTCGTATAGTTGTATTGGAACGATCCAACATTCCATTACATTAGCAAATTGTAAAACTTATGTAAAATCTTATTTAAATGTAACTGTAAATGGCCAATGGCACGAGTTGTTTTAATTTACAAAACGTTGCAAATCTACGTTTGCCTCACAATTGATATTTGTTAAGGTTGCTTTGCAATAGATTTATTTTTACATATATGCAATAACATATTGGAATGACAGAGGAATACTATACAATTACTGTCTTTTGATGAGGTAAATGTGTGGTTTTATTGACTTTTGAAAAACTGATATTCACTGAGGCCTACGGCCGAAGTGAATGTCACTAGGTTTTTCAAAAGTCAATTAAACCACATATTTACCGAAACAAAAGACAGTAATTGTTTTATTCCATGTTCCGAGAGAGAAAAATGTGTTTAAAATAACAGTTATTTACCAAAACCAACTAAACGTCATACATTGTATCGTTATAACTCACGTAAAAGCACGCGACGTTTTGCGCGGTGAATATACTTTTTCCGCAGGTGAATATGCTTATTTATTCAAAGTCCCATTCATATAGAAAAACCTACTAAAGTTCTTTCAATATGGAATAAATTATATTATATGTATTTAGTATTCCTAACGGAAAAGTTTTTGTCCAAAGTACAGCTCTTCTTTACATTTGTCCTGAATTTCATTAAAATTAAAACATTGATTTTGTAGATTTCAAACGAGAAGCATTCTTAGTCTTGATTGGAGAATACATTTTACATTACTTCACACGATTTGGGTATGATGAATTAATTCGACTTCTTGGTGGAAATATCTTGGAATTTGTTCAGAATTTGGATTCCATACAGAATTATTTGAGAGATGATTATCAAGATGTAATAGCACCATCCTTCCACTGTGACGAAGACTCTGTGTCTGATAGAATGATACTCCATTACTTTTCACACAGACCTGGGTACCACCCATTGGTCAGAGGTGAGGCAAATAGTACAATATTTCTATTGCGTTGAATAATGAACACAGTCACATTCTCTCTTATCATATATATATTTTTTTTTTATCCATCTTGTCTTCATGATTTTATTAGAACGTTAGAGCGGCGTTCATTGTTTTATTCAATTTTCAAATTCACTAGCAAAATATTATTTTCAAAATTACTAACATGACTTAGGGTGGAAATCATGATAACGAAAGGGTATCTTTTCATAACAAAAATGCTGTTATTTGAACGTTGTGTTGTTTCCATCGCACCAAAAATGCAACATCCTGAAAAGTTCAAAAGTTAAAGATAAGACATTACACAAAGACAATATTTTCCCAGTTGCTGTTGAGTCGTTTGACTCCAGGCATAAGTATTTCTAGAAATATATACATATTCAAGCGTACCATTAAAACTAACGTTAATAACATCCACCTTCTTACTTCAGTTGTAAATATTTTTCACACACGATTGGCAATATGTGGAGTTCTTCAAATACAAAATCCAAAAAGATACCTTTTATATTAATTATAATATTTGTATGGGGGATGACGTTTCTTTTGTTGTCGTCTGTCCAAATCTGTATTGCTTATTTCACAAATTGATGTGTTTTTAAACAAAACATATTTCCTACCTTCTAGAAGTCAGAATTCTGAAAGGTTAATAACTAACTTTTGATCGAAAATACACTCTCCTGAACTAAATCAACCATATTGGATGAGGGTCATTTCTGTATTCATTATTTATTTTTGCTATTTTTCTCTGGTTAAATTATTTGTCCATTATTTGATATATTTAAGCCCTTTATTCTCTATTCTTGATATGACTTGACTAATTTTTCATTATTTTTTTATTTTTTGGCCCATTATTCCCTATTCTAAAAACTCCAATCTGATTCTCATACATAAACTTGGTGCGTCCGGAGTAGTTTTCTGGATTTTCATCATCATAATTGCTGAAACTCGAAAAAAATGAAAGCAAAGTACTTGAATACGTAATGACCAAATGGTACCTTAATCATTTTGGTTCTTCTCATAAATGAGTATACATAATGAATAGTCACATCTGTACTTGTTATAGTGTATAGTAAGTATAGCAAATAACTTGTCGTTTTCTGAAACCACACACGTTTTGAAATAAATAACCTGAATATATTTTCTAGGTTTTATCACGGAAGTAGCCAAAGTTTTATATAAAATGGAACTGTCTATCACCATAATTTCCATATCCAACGAGTCAGTGGCCGAGGAGTGTGGACATCGTGAGCACGTGATATTTAACATTGTAGCAAAAAGGATTGCAGAAACGCCGGACGATTTAACACCAACATTTGTTGCTCAAACTAAGAAACACGGAGAAAGACAAATACATAAAGAGGTACTGCATATCACCATTACAAAACTATTTAATGTTGTTTCTGTTATCTTTTTAGCTACCATTTTGTTTGTTTTTCCATGTACCATTTTTCCAGCAGGGTTTCTGCTCTTTGGTCGGGTTGTTGTCTCTTTGACACATTCGCCATTTCTATTCTCAATTTTAATGTCGTATGATCAAACGTTTAAAGTCGTTAAAAGCAATTTTTTGAAAAATAAAGTACACTAAATATTTTAAAATATACTATGCATAGTTAAACTCTCTGTATCTATCAACAAATTTCGTCACAATATTTTGAAATAACAACAATGCAAAACACCAATTAACAGAAATCTCTTCTATTACGAGCACAGCAAAGTCAGCAACGCTGTGTGTGATAATACTGATCATATATTCATTCAGTCTAATATTAAAGCAAGACTGGGTTGATGACCAGCATCATGAGATGACATTTTTTACACTCAAATTACAATTGAGAAATTTAATTTGTTGCACACCAAATCTTACATCTTTCCTTAAATGTATTAAGAAGCAAATTATATTTATATAGGATGTGGATGCTGTTAAAGAAAAATTAGATCAAATCAGACGAGAATTTGGAGAGGAGGCTTTACCACTGGCTAAATTTCGCAGCGCCAAGGCAAAATGGCGGGCTATAGCACGTATTACACTGTTAAGTAGAGGATTTGTTCCAAATTACCCGGAACAAAATTTCATCAACCCTAGGATGTTCATTGAAGTCTTTCCATACCATCTTATTTTGAATGAGGAAATGAAAGTGATCCAGTCTGGAATTAAGATTCAGCAGATGATGCCATTGATTAGAAGCAGTCGGACAGCAGAAGTACAATTGTTCTTCAATTTACTGTATCCCAGACACACAGATTTCACATATGAAAACGTGAAGAAGTTTATCATGTGTCCATTTGTTTTGGAATTCAAGAGAGATAAGTTGGTAAAAGATTGGAAAAAACGACCACTTCTTTCACTAAAAGGTAATTTTAAGAAGACCAAGAAACGACACCGAAATATATTTCTTCAGAGAAAACAGAACAGAACCGACAAATACATACATATACGCAATGCAAATGCAATGCTGATATTAAAGCATAAAAGACATAAAATATATATGTCATGCCAAATTAGGCAAAACCGAACTAAGATTAATAATTAAGATAAACACAATAATTCACATTATATGCATGCCTGATTTAAGAACTAAGCTAAAATACACTTTCATCTATGGTAAAAGTATCGATGAATAAAAAAAATCAGCCCGATTCTCAAAAACTTTTTAAAAATGCCTTCACCATAATTATAAATCGCGAAATATACAATATATGTACATTGTCGGAAAATATAAAATTTATTTGTATGAGCTTTAGAAACAGGACGAAAAGCGAGGCTCGCCGAGCTTTTCTCCTGTTTCGTAGCGAGTACAAATAAATTTTATATTTTCTGACAATTTACATATATTGTTTTTATCCTGAAATTTACACCCAACACTTGAAACTTTAGTTGTTAAAATCTAAATCATTGTCTCTAGTTTTTCTAAGAAATCGACATAGTTTAAACGCGGACTGCGAAGAGGACCCCAAAATGAACTGGTACGCAAAAAGAAATATCCACATTACCGCTTGCTCAACATGGAAGCGGGGTAACAGGAGACTTTATTTGTACAAGTACAAATAAAGCAAAAAATTATTTGTGTACCTGTTATTTGTACAATAGTTAGCTGATTGCAGGATAAATATATTTATTAGACTATTTGTCGGTACAAATATTTAGTTATTTTTTCATCAGATTTTTACAAACCAATCTTAGTGTTTTAACAATAATTTTAAATACTTCTTATGAATAATTGGTAAAATCTTGATTTGTAATTCTTAGTAATAATAACGATGTAATTGAACTAAATTCCTAAGAACCACTTGTATTTACAGGTCAGATGTACTTACTTCGTGATAGAGGCTACTATTTCTTTATTTGTACTCCCACTGTTAGATGTTGGTACGACCTTGAGGAAAGAGAAATGCGTTTGGCTGATATACCAATGTGGGATGCTACCAGGGATTTCCTCTTGACAGACTTGGCATACAGGTCTTTATCATTTAACAGATGTATTCAAGTACTTGTCTCTGAATTTTGTTTTACCTTTATATAAAGGTACAAAGTTTAACAAAAATTAAGAGACAAGTGCCTGTTGATACATATTTTTTTATTATTACCAAGAAATATGCATATTTTTTCTATTTCTGAAAATTAGGAAAGTATAGGAAACGTTGTATACCATTAAATAACTTTTAATCATTCATGTAAATGGCCTTTACAGTACCAGACATATAAATATACATCTGTCACTTATTAAACGCTTAACATTTTATATCCAAGATTTGAATTCGCAAAAGATCTAGTCTAGAGTTATGCAAAATTTTATACACGTGAATTTTAAATCCGGTCGTCCTGAATTCTATTGTACAGAGATATACCCACCCATCCGACATAATATCACCTGTCTTCTGGGAATGGTTAACACTCACAACCTACAATAGTTTGACCTAATCCCGAATTATGGCATAAATCTGCCCATCAGCTCCTTGAGTTTTACACTGACATATGTTCAGAACGACGTAAACCTGTGGAACCAAACACTTTTATCTGGATTAACAAAGATTGTCCTATTATACACCCAAAGGCTAATGCAGTATTGAGCACAAGAGATTCCAAAATATTTATAAAGCTGGGATGCTTTGAACACCCTTCATGATAGATAATTTGTTTTTATGAATCGATCTTCTGTCAATACTGATACTTACTACATGTACTTCAATTTATACTTCTCTACACTCCAAGTTTTGATTGAAAGATCGCTTGTAATAAAAAAAAAGTATTTCTGTTCAACGATTGATGAACGTAGATCCCAATTTTCTGTCCTAAATTGAGAAAAATATATTGTTACATACCACATATACTTCAGTAAAGACAATGAAGGTACACATCAGGGAAATGCTTAATGTTTATCCATAAAGTAGTTGTTGATTCTTCTGGATTGGTTTTCAAACAAACAGTATAGAATTGTAAGAGACAAGAACAAAACGGAAAATAAGGAATAGATGTTTAAATTCACGATACTGAAAAAATCTCAGACAGGAAGGATTGTTTCATGTCTATACAATAATAAGGATTTGTGTTATGATCGCTAACAAGAAAACTATTCATTAACAATTAAAGCTTCGACCTTCCACATTGAGCAAAACCCTATTTCGACTGATGAATACACATTTTGAAATTACTTTTGAAAACTTTTTTTAAAATCTAATCTATGATGTTTTTTGTCTTTTTTTTACATTGACAGAATTGGAACGGGACAAAATTACACTAATTCGTTCTCATTCACTGAAAATGCCGATGCACAGGGTTCTCTAGGCGTACGTTTAGATGACAAAAAGACCGATTCGAATGAAAAATGGAATATTCTGATGAAAGAATTAAACAACGAGAAACAAAGAAACCAAGCCTTGTACAGCTCATTTTTACCGAGACACTCTGCTGCGATACTAAGTCAAGGTCAAATGCCAAAAGGAGGTATGTATTATATAGTGTGTGTATTATATAGTGGTAAACATGGCTTGAGAGTTCAGTTGAATGAAAACTTTTTTTTAAAGGATAAGTTGCGGACTAATAGTAGTGTATCAACTGTATATATCATTGTGGTTACTATTGCATAAAACTACTGACTTTGGTGTGAAGTGAAATGTTGTTCTACTTGTATTTACTCCACAAACGTGGTTGAAAATAAAATGTTTTTCCATTATATATAAAATTCTATAATGAAGTCAATTATTTAAGTACATGAACTGGTATACATTCGAACAAAATTCCTTAGGGAGAAAAAGCGTCGATAGGATAAGCATTTTCTGATGGGCAGCAACTTATTTTCGGATTCCATAGTTATATCCATAGATAAATTTTGCCATGAACATGAAGATGGCAAAACCAGCAATATGACAGAATGACAACCATGGACATGTGGGATCTATGTGAGATTGACAAAGGCAGGCACGTGTGATGTATGCCAGAATGGCATTGACAGACATGTGTGATATATGCCAGAATGACATTGACAGACATGTGTGATATACACAGATAACTTATGTTCACCGTTTGTGTGAACTTTGGCAGAATGACTTAGCGGACATGGTAGATCTCTAAGCATACATGTGTATTGTGTTAAGACACTGAACACTGCCTATATTGACTTACTTTACTATTAGATAGTTATACTGATGAGACTTTATTTTTTTAGATTATTATCCTGATGTGACAGCATTGTTCTGTGACATTGTCCATTTCCTGCAGGTTGTTGGAAGTTCTAAACCCGGTGAAGTTGTCAATTTCATCAACTGTCTGTATTCCAGGTTTGATAGAGTCACCAAGATTCACGATACATACAGGGTAAGTAGCTATCAACTTTCACTTCTTTTTATAGAATTGACAGATATAAGGAGATTATAAGATCATTGAACAGCAAACCATTTCACTCATACATTGTAGAGAAATTTCCTAATTTTGTTTTAAATTACCACTTCCTCATATATATATATTTGTTAACTTGTTTAGTTTTTCTAGCTCAGTTAATCTTTTTTGTTTAAAACGGTAACAAAGAATTGTTGATTTATATTTTGTTAGCCTGTTTGTTTTTTCTTGTTAGGTTGAATCGATTGGCGATGCTTATTTTGTTGTCTCTGGTGTACCAGACAAAGTACACAACCATGCTGAAAGAATAGCTAACACTGCTCTTGGAATGATGTTCACATCACAAGAAGTGGCCTCGCCTGTGAATGGTGAAAATGTTCAGGTAAAGTCATTTCACAAGTAAGTGGTGAAAAGTTTCAGGTAAAGTAATATAACCTGTAAATGGTGAAAAAGTTCAGTTAATAGGATACAGACTTTCCGGTCGATAGAAAATAATTTAGTGTCTTGTCCAATATCGGCACTTTTAACATTTTATAATAAATATCAGATGTGACTATTTTGTTCGTGTATATTTGAATCAAAAAGAGAGAGAAGATACCAAGGTTACAATAAGAAATTTTTAGTCCAATTAAAACTCGGGTGCTCCGGAAGGGTTAGAAGTCCTTCTTCACCTATTTTGAAGCAACTTGGCATTTTATCATTAAAAAAACAATTTCCTATTATGGTTTGTGGTTTGAGTAATTAGATAGTTAAATATGTTTTCAGATTAGAATCGGGGTACATACAGGCTCTGTTGTCGGTGGCGTGTTTGGAACAAAGATTCCAAGATATATAGTTCTCGGTGAAACTGCTGTTGTTGCTTCTAAAATGGAAAGTCACGGTGAACCAGGAAAGATCCACATCACTCCATCAACATACAGGTAAAAAACATTATACATCTATTTTTTATTTTGCATTTACAGAAGGAATTACGAATTGACTGCCCATTACAGAGTCTGAGGTTTGTAACTAACGAAAGGATTTTAAATTTATCATAGATTCCACATTTTCACCATCATACATCTTTTTCAAGTGTTTTCATGTTACTGTCTTTGAATCGTGTTACTATATATGACTCTGGTTTTAACAGATAATACATAAATAGCAGGTCTCTGAGATATATCTCTTGTCTGGTCCCATTATATTTGTTTCCGATTCCAGTCGGTTTTTTTCCCTATTTTTGCTGTTTATATAAAGGTCGTCATCATATATAAAGTGAAATCACATTTAACTTTAAAAATATTACTGTATCAGATGCACATTTCGACAATTGATGTCTCCTCAGTGGTGCTCGAGGCCAAATTAAGATTACCAGAATTAAAAATTGCAATCCCATTATCTGTAAGATGACACGGCCATTTAATAATCTGATGTATCACATCTGAAGCACCAACTTACGCTTCACTTCAGAAAAACCTACTATATATGTTATGTGTTTACAGTTAAAAGGTATAATGTTGACAAAGATCGCCAACAAATTATTTGTAAGCATTTATAAATAAAATTTATGTGGTGTATATAGGCTTGTAATGTATGTGGTTTATATAGGCTTGTGATTAAAGAAACAATTTTGAATTAAATCTTCATTTGAATGCAGTTATACCGAAATGAAAGAGTCTTTAAAATCGTCTGTGTTGAAGCATATTTAGAAATTTACCTTGCAATTTTTTTATGTCTTACCCTTTGATATATAAATACAAGAACTATCCATAAAAGATTAAAGAACAATGATATACACTACTACTGGTCACCAAACAACCTTCAACAATGATCAACACCTATACCGTAAAGTAAGCTATAAAAGCCTGGGATGTTATAGAAATTTCATGAACTCAATCTTGCTCTTCTAAGATCAGATGAATGTTTGTAAGGACAAAAGATACACTCCATTTATGAATGATCAAGGGACTATTTGATTATAAATCTGAGTGGTTTCTGATTAGATTGCATATCAGATTGAACTACTAACTCGACTATGTGGGTTTTTCTCATTGTTGTTCTATAAATGCTTACATCCTCTTCATTTAAACTTTGGAGGATTGTTGTTTTCCTTGACAATCATACTACATCTCTGCATTTTTATAGTATTAAATTCTAGATCAATGGAATTTTTTAAATTCCTTTTTTTCCGTCGAAAATTAAATTTTAGTTCTGGATCCAATATTGTGACGAGAATTGTAATTTGCTAAAGTTTTTGAGAGAATAAAAGCGTTTACAATACACTATAATTTACATACGCAATAAAGCTCTCCAGATTAGGGAAATAATTCAAAATGAGGTAAGTGTGAGTGTAATATCTGACAGTCACTTTCAATAAACATTGTACTTTCTACAGAGCATTGAAAGGTAAAGGATATTCCCTGGAAGAGAGAGGAAAGATTGAATTACGTGGATATGGAACACTTGGGACATACTACCTTGTCGGAAATGAAAATGCCTCAATAGAGGACATAGCAGGACGAACTAAACAGGAGGTATCATACATAAACGAAGGGAAGGAGAAAGGTAAGATTTGTGTGAAATAGAAAACGTCCACAAAACGGCAGAGATGTGAATTATATTATCATTTTTATTTTCAAAATTTACATTGTCATATATAAAGTAGATGTAGGTGTTACTGGTGTTTAAAGGCGCAAAGTGAAATTTGTTCATCAAGTTTAATTTGCATATTTTTTTCATCGTGTAATTTTGCTAGTCTTAGAAAATTTGTATTTTTTTCAAGAACGTTGTTGTAAGTTATTGTTTGCCGAAAACAAATTCGATCAATCCGAAAGTTATGTCTTTTAGTGACGTTAAGCAAATAATCAACTATTCATATCTTAAAGGGGCGTTAACTAAATAATTATCAATCAATTAACTAATCACAGTGTAAAAAGGATTAAATAATTCTTCAATCTTTTTTGTTCTTCACCTGACTGGGAGTCTTCGAAAAAGAGCGATAGCTTGGAGATGTATGGGCAATTAGTTTATAACAAAAAGAAACCTCTGTTCACAATTGTGACTTTTAATAATGTAAAAGATATAATGCTTAGTATAGATGTTCTGTTTTGTCTTTTGTTTTAATTAGGAACCAGACCCATTGTAGATGAGAATGAAGTTATTGCATTTAACTACTGAGCAGTTACTTGCCAGAGAAGGAACTTTTAATGTATAAAATAAATTTGTTGATGTATCTGTATGTACTTACATTTTAAAACCAATACTATCTTCATTTCTGTATGTTTGTAGATAAATTAAATTAAAATAGCAAACTGAGTAGAATTTTGTAATTAGACATTCAGTATTATAAGAGGGGAAGCCATCTTAATTATGGATCTGTTATATTGCTAGTATATTTATTGTAGAACTATACCATATTCATAAAACTGTACAGATTGTAAAATATCATACCACGTTACCATGGTGAAATACCTAAAGGAGAAGATATGAAAAAAGGTACTGTAAAATCGTCAATTTCACTACCACATAAAAAAAAATTCAGTCTCGTTACTAGTATCTCAATGCATACCTGCTTAGTATGATTTCATTTTGACGATGATATATGGCTGTTGCTGATATCTAAGATAATTTAGAAAAGGTGTAAATATGACAGGGTTTCCTAAAAAATGAAATTATGGTATTGTTTATAACAGACAGACATTTTATTCATTTATGTGAATGACGGTTACTGATTTTATTTTATACCTGGAAATTGTTTTTTTTTTAACCAAAAGTGAGGCCTTGTTAAGCCTTCTCCTTTAGGATGTCCTGTGGCATTTATAGATTACAGGGAAACATGGCCTTACACTGCAGATCTCTTCTACATATAGACGACTCAAAGAAGTACACATTTTATTATATTTGTAAATACATTAAAAAAGGTGTTGTGTTGATAGATTGTATATGTAAATTATTATTGTGCTGAGGTTTAATAACTGTGATTTTGAATTAAGTCTGTGATCCAATTAATATATTATAGTTCATTAAAATGGTTTGCTTTTTTGTGTTTTGCATTGATTCAATAAATTAACAATACAAGGATCCTTCGTTTAGATAATTGATTGAATAAATTAACAATATAGGGACCCTTCGTTTAGATCATTGATTCAGTACATTAACAATACAGGGACCCTTCGTCTAGATCATTGATTCAATAAATTAACAATACAGGGACCCTTCGTTTAGATCATTGATTCAATACATAAACAATACAGGGACCCATCGTTTATATCATTGATTAAATAAATTAACAATACAGGGACCTTTCGTTTAGATCATTGATTCAAAATATATTAACAATACAGGAATATATAAATAAAGAGATGTCGTATGATTGCCAATGAGACAACTATCCACCCGAGTTCAAATGAAGTGGATGTCAGCAATTATAGGCAACCGTACGGCCTTCAACAATCAGAAAAACCCATACCGTATAGTAAGCTATAACAGGCCCCGATATGAAAAATATGAAACCATTCAAACGAGAAAACCAACGGCCTAATTTATAACAAAACAATTTCGGAAAAACAAATATGGCAGACATGAACTAACGGCAACCACTGAACTACAGGCTCGGGACAGGCACATAAAGAATGGGGCGGGGTTAAACATCATTGTCAGCGCTCAACCTTCCCCTAACCTTGGATAGTTGTGTAACAGAAAAACAAACTGTAAAAATCAGTAGCAATTGGCTTATCTCAAAAGATCGGTACGAGGCACAAAACAACTAACATAAGAACAATAGAACAATAGAAACACAGCACCAACATAACTCGCAGTTACTGAAGGCTAGTTCATAGCCAATTACAACTAATAAATAAATCATGTTCCCAGATTAAAGGATCAGTCAGTACACATCCACAGGATTTATTGTAAGACTTCATAGGCAGTACGAGAAACGCATGACCTTTTGCAATGCCAAATTATAAGTAAACAGTTTATTTAGTTATGTACTTCTTTGGGTGCAGGACATTTTAGCGAAAAAGTTGAACTACCAGGGAACATTTTAGCGCAGACATTTTAGCCCATTTTACCCCCCGGAGTATTCCGTTCACCTGTATTTTCTATAGCCCATTTTAGCGAAAACTTACCCGGTTATATAATACTCTCGAAACTAAAACCATTAACAGTCATTTATGCTGGCTTAATGGTTAAGCTTTTTGCATTTACAATTTGGTTAAACATGGAAATACATATTGTTGAAACAAACAGGAAATAAAATGGCAATATGTGATGGTTTGCTGGATACTTTTATCAAATTACAAACAACAACATATATGAAAATAAGAAGTACCGATGAATCTGCAACTCAAGATAAAGATAGTTCAGGAACAGTTCCTATCGCAATTATATAAACAACATTGTACAGAGAGTATATCAAGATCACATACATACGTTCACTGGGATAAAAAAAAACATGAATAAAACGGACATTTGAATTAACATCTATAGACATTTAATGCTGTATTTACCTAAATGAACATGCTATTTTTATGTTGTGTTGTCTTGATACTATATACATTTATTATTATACTATGAATTAATTTATGTCGCTAAAATGGACATTGATAATTTTCCTTTTTTTTGCTAAAATGTGTTAGAAATCTTGCGCAAAAACAAGTTATACAAAAACGTCCTACTTTTTCGATACAATTCCTATCAATGCGCTAAATGTCCTCCGCTGCTTCGATTAGATATTTGATTCAATATTATAACAATACAGGGATACTTCCACGGGCACTTGTCTTTGAAATGTTTTTCCTATATACCTTTATACTTGTGTTATATAAAGGTATATAGGGGAAAAAATCGTGACAAGTGCCTGTGGATACTTCGTTTTGATCTTTGATTTTTACTTACTTATGGAACCGTCCGAACGTATATAATTATAGACTAAGGACGCATCCAAATTAATATCAGCTACAATATTGTCAACATATGACCATTGCCCACATTCTGTATGTGCCTGTCCGAAGTCAGGAACCTGTAATTCAGTGGTAACGGTTGTCGCTGGTTGCTGCCTGTCATATTTGTATTTCTTTTATTGTTATGTCAGAAATCGGGTTTTGTGAGCTTAAATTCACTTCATTTTATTTTTGGCAATCATACCATATATAATTCATTTGAAATAGCTTTCATTAACTATGAGTACTCTAATATCCGTACTTTGTGTTGTTTGTCTTTATGGTAGTTGCTTTTGTGCTTCGTACCAATCTATTGAATTAAGGCATTTCCCAATTGATGTTTATTATTTGTTCTTATTTTGTGCTGTTACACCACTGTCCCATGTTAGAGGAGTTGAACGCTCTCTATCATTTTAAGTCCCTCCACATTCTTTATGTTTCTGTCCCAAATCTAGGAGTCTGTAATTCAGTTGTTGTCATTGGTAGCTGTATGTCATAGTTTTCTTCGTTTATTGCGTAATGGGATTGCTTGTTAAAATCTTAGATTTTAATTGTAGATCTGTAGATATGATTCTTTCATTCTCTTGTGTAGTAGTGTCTCCAGGAATATCATCTTAGAGCAGAAGTTTCATGAGTGAATTTTATTAAGAGGATGAGTGTTGTTTGTTCCCGTTGAACTCCTGCATGTTGTACATACTAATTTTGTATATATTACAAAGGATTATAGAATACTAAAAGTCTAAACTTTACACCTATTGTTTTTAATTAATTTGTATGTAATTCAAGATTATTGAATTGTAACTTTAACTTATCTACAAACGATGCTCGGTGTTTAATTTGTACATTGGTCAAGATTTTTGAAATTACCATAGCTAGTGACGCCATTTTACACCAGGATGCTCATACTGATAACGGTATTTATTATTCGAAATATTTATTGATTTTTTCTTTTTTTTTTTTCTTATCATTGTTTTGGTGTTGTTGTACACTTTTCAGACGTATGTTTTATTTATTTCCTGTGTACAGTATCGTTCTCCATAACGATCCGACAACACTCGTAAGAGTGATTGTATACAGATTTAAACGGGAAAATATGAACAAAATATGATAGATAGCGACCAACGACAACCACTGAATTACATTCTCCTGATTTAGGACAGAAACATTAAAAATTTGGCGGGATAAACATGTTTATGAGCGTTCATCCCCCTTCTTCCCTATCCTGGGACATTGGTGTATTAGCACCACCTAACAAATTATAAAAAAATCAGTTGGAAAGGTCAGATCGACCTGAAGCACACAACAGCTAACAAATTGACAAAACAAACAAAGTATCGATATAAGATCTAGAGCAGGTCTTCTCAGTTACTGAAAGCTAAAGTTGAAAGACATTTTCAACTCACAAATAAACCATGTTTTCCCGGACTTTAACAATCATTAAACCATTGTGGTGACGTCAGCCTATTCATTTACCGTGGATTCTTTTTCTAGAATCAACGCTTCCTAAATCTGCCGCTGAAATTGACTCACCAAATTATATTCAATTGTTTCCTTTGTGTGCCTAATTTCATTAAGTTTGAATTGGCTAATTTACTGATTTCTGTTCACTTATGGAATTAATTTAAAAACTTACCTTTAATTTTTGTAATTTTTATATGCCTTCACTGGGAATCGAACCCTTCCTCGAAATCTGTTATGTGTGACTGACATCAACACATCGACGAAACCTCTCGGCTACCAATGGGTTACAGTATAGATGTCTATTTTATATATTTGAATGAACATCTGATATACATCGGTTCATCGGACACACAGGGCTTGTACCTTTATATAGACACAATAGGCAGTCGTATAATATGAGTTGGTAGCCGCGAGGTTAGCATGGTTAAAATCAATGAGTTAAAGATATGGATTTGTCGGTTTAGGTTCGAATCCCTGTATTCTCTCTGATGTTCCAATTCGTAAGTTATCCTGTTTTTTTTTCTAATTTTGCATGTTAAAGTGGATATTTTTGTAATAATAGCGAGTTTTACCGGTTTTTTTTTTTTATTAATATTGGCTATTTCACATGTTTGAAACAAAAATGATTACATTCTATTTGTCAATTTTTGTTTTATAAATATAGTATGATTTCATCTGTTTTACTACATAATTTTACACAGGTTTGTTCGCAAATTCCTATGCGAGAAAATCGTGATGTGCCTAGAGTGCTAGAAAAATTTCGATAACATACTTATTATATATACTTTATATATGCTTTTTGGTCGGGTTGTTGTCTCTTTGACACGTTTCCCATTTCCATTTTCAATTTTATTAGAAATAATTTCGAATATGTCTTATTTTGTATAAACAGATAATATTCATATGCCTGGTAATATAAAGATCTTTAAAGGTAGAAGTGTTATATTTGTATTTTGTTCACCAGTTAATTGTGATCTGAGAATTATCAATGCATCGTTTTGGACACGATAACATGGTTATTTAAACTCACTTACAATACCTTCTAATTAAGAAAAGGCTTTAATTTTGAAAAGAAATTAACACAATAGTTTAAGTTATAGATACAATGGATAAGCGTAGATTCATGAAAAACAAACCATTCGCCCTCCGGGCTCATGGTTTCTTTTTCAAGAATCCACGCTTATCCATTGTATCTATATAACATAATGCATATCCAATAGATTTAGTGTAAAGACGTTATAAATAGTCTGAAAAATGCATAACCTTATGATAATCCAAAATATAAGTATCAACAGGATGTAGAACCACAAGTGTTCATAGTGTATATCAATGCATATTTAGTTCTGTTTTAATTTATCAAAAACTAAATCAGTGTTTATGCCGATAAAGGCAATATTCAAAGATCTTACTACAGTGATAAATTTATCAACTTAAAGAAAGAATTTATTCAAAGGGTCAATAATTTTACACGTGTCGTAAATTTAACCGGCTCTATAAACAACATCAATGTTAAAATTAGGATGAAATACCGTCTGTAATAAGGTTTCTTTAGGTACAGCCAAACTTCTGAATCAAATCTTTGTATCTATGAAAGAATTTAGTAATGGTTTAATCGACTTGATAATTTACCAGTTATACATAG